ATTTGGCGACTGTACTTAGTCGAACTAACTTGGATTGATTAAGAACAAAACCGTGTATAGTCGAACTAACTTGGATTGATTAAGAACAAAACCGTGTATGTTGTGTGCCTTTGTTTACTTTTAAACTGATTTCAAGTCTAATTAAAATGAGCATTAAATGACATCAGTACGATCGAATCCACTTAGTCGTGGGACCAGTTAATTGGGCAGCCATTTTTTTATTCAGATTGTAAAGAACAAACCCGAAGTGTTGAATTTCGTATATACCGGTCAGCTGCCCTTAATATGGCGAAAAATTGTCATCTGGATGTGTCCAAATTAAGAAAAAAGTATAACGGTTGGGTAAAGTGATGGCATACTTGTACAAAACATTTGGAACTTGTACAAAAGGTTTGAGACTTGTACAAAAAGGTTTGGGACATGTACAAAAAGGTTTGGGACTTGTACAAAAAGGTTTAAGACTTGTACAAAAAGGTTTGGGACTTGTACGTAAAGGTTTGGGACTTGTACATAAACGGTTGAGATTTGTACAAAAAGGTTTGGGACTTGTACAAAAGGGTTTGGGACTTGTACAAAAATGTTTGGGACGTGACTGATTTAATGCTATTGACTCAGCTAAAATAGGAGGAAACATCAGATGGAATATCTGTGTTGATTTCCCCGCTTAGTCAGGATTAGGGAATTGGCTAAGATGTAAAGGCAACAAGAAATTTAGCTGGGAGACTGGGAAGGTTTTAGCTGTGCTGGCTAGTAGTATGGTGATGGTGTGAGGTTTCAGGACGTAGATTGTTTGCTAAAATGTAGCTGTGTTAGCTAGTAGTATGGTGATGGTGTGAGGTTTCAGGACGTAGATTGTTTGCTAAAATGTAGCTGTGTTAGCTAGTAGTATGGTGATGGTGTGAGGTTTCAGGACGTAGATTGTTTGCTAAAATGTAGCTGTGTTAGCTAGTAGTATGGTGATGGTGTGAGGTTTCAGAACGTAGATTGTTTGCTAAAATGTAACCGTGCTGGCTAGTAGTATAGTGATGGTGTGAAGTTTCAGCAGTAGTGTCACGTGACTGGTGAGGGATGTGAAGACCGCACCGAGTGACTCCATCCATGGGGGTGACACTTAAAAGAAAAGTTTCAAATTTTAATGAGAAATTTTTTCTCCTTTAATTTAATATCTTATTAAAGTGTATATACGTCATTAGGTACACGTTGGCACCATTCAAGATTCGGCAACAAATTAGTATAGTTTTAGTCCATCGTTGTACGGGGGGGGGGGGTGTCACCCGACCTACAGACGTTACTGGGTTTCAGACCGTTGACGTGATAATACAATCAACATCATTTTATCATGTACCAAGAACATCCAGGCCTATAAAAGTTGAAAGGAGGGATCTTATTTTCCTTTCGTTAACAACATTTAATTTAAAAAATTGTCATCGCTTACAAACTTTGATTTTTTTTACATTTTCCTTTCTTCTAATCCTTATCTCGCGTGCTTTTTCCAACCTTTTTTTTTACAATTTCATGTTATCGATTCAGGCTCTCGACGAAGGGTACGTGCATTACAAATTACAGAAACCCTTTGCAATGGCTTGATACGGTCTGATAGTAACTAGTAAATGACGGGCGTGTAATGGTTTTTATTTTTTACTCATTAAACTGCCGCCAATGTATCAAACTGTGGATTAGTTGTTGTCAAACAGGGAGTGGGTGGTATACAGTGCCGTTAGATAATTTGGGAACGTCTGGGATGAATGGGGAAGGTGTAAAATTCAAATATTCACCAAATCCAGAGCGTAATATTTTTACCAAATTTCCTTTCTTTAATCAGTTTAGCCTTCTAAAAAAAAATACCCTACCATCCATAGCTATTATGTAAAATACCCTACCATCCTACTATCCATAGCTATTACCATGTAACATACCCTAACATCCATAGCTATTACCGTGTAAGATACTCTACCATCCATAGCTATTACCATGTACGATACCCTACCATCCTACCTACCATCCATAGCTATTACCTTGTAAAATACCCTACCATCCATAGCTATTACCCTGTAAGATGCCCTACCATCCTACCATCCATAGCTATTACCTTGTAAGATACCAGCTACGGTAGAGAGAATCGATAGGGTGCTGTTTACCTTGTCTGATAGAAAAACATCGGTCCAAAACAGGTTCTCATTCATACACACAAGTCCAGTCATTTAGTTAGCTCTTCTACTGACTGGTGTCCCTTGATCTAGGGAACTGTTGTGTAAAGATACTCTCCGGTGCGGGAGTTTAGAAACACGAATATGTTGTTACCGTTCTTATATTAATTAACGTGCGTTTACTTGTACTCTATCAGTAGTCTTTAAACCAATCAAAACAAGATTTGCTACTGTATTTCAGAAAAACCCCTAGGTATCGCTATATGCTTTATTTAAAGTAACATGTTATCTTTAATAAAAGAAACGGCGTATACAGTATTTTATTATGTAAGCTAGTTTGATGTTTCTTAATATTAAATGTCACTATATGTCTACAAACATGTTGTTATTTGTTTTATTGAAAATAGAAGTGTAAATAAAAGTATATAATTTTAAACTGGGATGAACTAGTTGCTTTGTTATATTAGATTGTTTATTTATGCGTTTGAATTTACTTTAAAATGGGGAAAATTACTGTTCTACTTAACTCGTAAATCCACGGGATGCCTTTGAAAGGTGTGGGGGAGACTATTTTTGCTGGCCAAATATATCCAAACCGACTTTTAAAAAAAGAGAATACCAAGAGGGTGGGTTTTCCCCCAGTACCTTCGTGTCGTCTGCTAAACCCATTCGTCAGACTAAAGAGGATTAGCCTGGAATTACAGTGGGAAACTGTGCCGAGCTAACAAGATGACGTTTGTTAAATACGCGAATATTGATCCAATAAAATGCATTAATTTCTCTATTCAATGGCTCAGTTCTCTGTCGTCTGCTCATACCATGTCTGCTCGTGTTCCCCATCTAAGCGTTGGTAAAATAATCTTGTCTTAACCACGGCTTAATTGACGTACTTATTTTAGTGTATAGATAATTTCAAGGTCCCTGTACGGTAGCCAATATGTGATTTGACGAGACCTTCTGTACACGCTATAGTTTGATCTGGTAGTTTTACCTGGGTGGGGGGGGGGGGGGGGGATCACCCTCTTACATAACGAGAGCCTCACGCCATAGTTCAATCTGGTGATGTATCGGGGGGAGGGGGGGGGCGCACCCTTTGACGTAAATAGGACCTCCTAAAATCCAGAGCTATGTGAGCGGCAAGTTTCATTTTTTTTAAGTTCTTAAAAAAGCGGTGCGTCGTCGCCTCCTCCCTACCCCCCCCCCCCCCCCCCGCCCCATTTGGAAAGGTTGGAACTCTTTTACCAGCCCGTGTCTCTTAACATTTTGTTTTCTTTTGGTTTCATACGATTGATGTAGAAAATAGTTTAATTAATCCGTTAAACAAAGTAGTAGTCCGTTTTCTTAACTTTAACTGTATATAATTAATAGTTTCACCCAGTCCTTACGGCTTACCAAGTCATCCTGAAAAATCAGTTTAGAATTTTCTTTTATAAAACCGAGATGGAATGGTCCGTCTAGCCTAACCAGGGACTGGTTTTTAGTCCTAAAATCGATATCTGAATATTTATTTAAAATCAGAAATCACTTCGTATTACAAACCAACGGACAAAAACTATCGGCAAACATAACATAGTTTCACGGAGAGCTACACATTTTTGTGTAAGTGATGTATTTCTTAAGATGAACAGTAGCGTTGGATTAAAAAGATTTTCCTTTCTCCAACTAAGCTTTTGTTAACCCCCGGCGTTAGGAAGCCTCCGTGAGCTTGTTGTACCAGCATATAATAATCCACTCAGAGATTCTTGGAGGAAGAAAATAGAAAAATGTATGTCTGTGCGGATCTTAACAATGGCATGCCACAGTGTGGGCGGTTTGCTGATTATATGGATAATATCGAACAGCTATATCATATTTGACTCCCTATGCATGCTGTGTACAGTTTTCCTGTATTTGTTTAATATAGTTTTCGATACATAATACAGTGATTAACTATATATATTCTCTGCAGCGCTGAATAAATTTAGCTCAATATTAATTTCACTTCCGTGATAACTTTATTTATCCTGTTTTATCACCCAATCTTCTTTAATGTATTCATCCTATTATTCCCTTCAGTGATCACTATGTTTATAATCATATTATTTATGATCACAATTTTCTCTACTGTAATCGCCCTATTCCCTACTGTAATCCCCCTATATTCCCTACTGTAATCCCCCTATATTCCCTACTGTAATCACCATATATTCCCTACTGTAATCCCCCTATATTTCCTACTGTAAACACCATATATTCCCTACTGTAATCACCCTATTTTCCCTACTGTAATCCCTCTATATTCCCTACTGTAATCCCCCTATATTCCCTACTGTAATACCTCTATATTCCCTACTATAATCCCTCTATATTCCCTACTGTAATACCTCTAAAACCCCTTCTTTAATCACCCTTCTTCCTACTGTAATCCCTCTATATTCCCTACTGTAATCACCCTTCTCCCTACTGTAATCCCCCTATATTCCCTACTGTAATCCCCCTATATTCCCTACTGTAATCCCTCTATATTCCCTACAGTAATCCCTCTATATTCCCTACTGTAATCACCCTTCTCCCTACTGTAATCCCCCTATATTCCCTACTGTAATCCCCCTATATTCCCTACTGTAATACCTCTATATTCCCTACTATAATCCCTCTATATTCCCTACTGTAATACCTCTAAAACCCCTTCTTTAATCACCCTTCTTCCTACTGTAATCCCTCTATATTCCCTACTGTAATCCCTCTATATTCCCTACAGTAATCCCTCTATATTCCCTACTGTAATCACCCTTCTCCCTACTGTAATCCCCCTATTTTCCAACCCCCGCGCTGGTCAGCTCACCGCTCTAACATTACTGTTGTATCTTCCAGGATCCAGGCTCAGGGCCACTGGGACACCAACTACAGCAACATTCCTTTTTTGTGCTACACGTTCACCTGAAGGAGGGCAAGGACCTGGTCATCCGGGACAGCTGTGGTGAGGCACTCTGCACTTAGATACCATAAGAGTTTTCTCCCTTTAGCTTTTTACGGTTATGGGCCTTAGCCGTTTCGAAAAATATAATTTATCAGCACATACCAAAAAAATGTGGGCTTTACATTTTACATTTCTTGAAAATAATTCGATAAAATGAATTGTTATTTGTATTCATTTATTTATTTAAAAGCTTAGCTTTCCAAAGCAGTTTTGTAACCAAATTATATCAATTACGTTTTAAATATTTATAAGACGTCTGTGACACACTCGATAGCCGAGCTCTGGCTATGCATAGTTTCTTGGCAAATGATGGCAGTTTAAAAATTAGCGCTAGCTATGCGAGGGGGGGTCCGACACTATCCAGGGGGTAACACTGTCCTAGAGTGTGACACTGTCCTAGAGTATGACACTGTCCTAGAGTGTGACACTATACTACACAAGAGGGTGACACTATTCTATACAAGAGGATGACACTATCCAATATGGTGACACTACCCAAGGGGGTGATACTATCCGATGGGGTGACACCAAGTGGGACTAGCCAATTTAGTGTGTGCAGTAGGTTACCTGACTGTAAAAATGATATATCATCAAGTCGTGAGACGGCCACTGACTTGCACATGTATACTCCCATGAGGGGGTGACACACTTTATAACCTCACTGGATGTCACCCGACCTAGTTGCGCCACTGACAAAACATTGCTAGACTAAAATTCGAACTGGTGGTTGCTGCTTTAGACATCTTATGTTGTAGGCGTGGTATCAACTTATGTTAAGCTGAACGTTATTTTGAAGACCACCTCTTATTAAATCACGATAATCCTGTCATTTAAATTCCAGATTACAAGCATGTCAAAAACTATTATTTAAAATTTGAAATTTTTAAAATGGAATTTTTTTTTATTCTTTAAGTTTTTCTGGCATGTAAGATAAAAACTCTGGAAATTTTAAGCGAATTTAAAAACATGTCTCCCATTAAACTTTTTATATTTCCATTAACTTTTTAATGTTACTAGACCTAAATTTTTGAGTCATACGAGAAACCCTTAAGGCAATAATTATTCTGATTTAGTAAAGTTCTACACAATTTTGAAATGGCCATTTTAAAAAATTTAAAGTGTTATATAGTTTCCATGGTCTTCTAAAACTGTAACCAAACTTGGGTGTGTCCTTTTAAAACGGGACTGAACTAAATTAATTATCAGCAGTGGTCAATGTACGTACCATCAAGATTCGATTCAGTTGTTTTAGTAATAATCGATCCTAACTTAAGATATAGCCAGAGTATGTGAGTGGTCACTGGCCCTACTTTAAGATGTGACTCAATGAGTAGTGTTTCTTTCAGACTTTTTTCTCCGGGGAAGGGGGGAGGGGGGCACTTGAAATTTTCGGGGCGGGGGCGGACACTGTTAAAAGTATATATTTTTTATACAAATTCCATTTGGTTCGGGGGGGGGGGGCTGGGCGCCCCGCCTCCACACCACAAAGATGCCTGGAAGAAACACTGCTCAATGAGTAGTGTAGCATTAGTGACCCAAATGTAACACTCCACACTTGGCGCAGGGAGAGACAACTGATCCTTTGTGAGATTCACCCCAACTAAACAGTAGCATCTTTTAAATTTTTATCAAGCTAACTGTGGTTGCACGTTATTGTAACTCAAGCCTGAATTACCTGCAATCGAAACGTATACATGTTTTAATGAAATTAACTTGTGATCTTAACTTGGGTGAAGTTTCTTGCGATGGTAATACAAGTTTTTGAGAGAACAATCCTGTGATTGTCATAAAAGTTTGAGTGAAGTTTGTCATGATCAAAGTATGAGTTTTACTTTGCCTATGGTCGTAATTTTGTGATCGAAGTATGAGATTTACTTTGCCTATGGTCGTAATTTTGTGATCGAAGTATTAGTTTTACTTTGCCTATGGTCGTAATTTTGTGATCGAAGTATGAGTTTTACTTTGCCTATGGTCGTAATTTTGAATTGAATTCTAATTTGTCAGGAACCAGCGACCCGTATGTGAAGTTTAAGATTGGAGGCAAGTTGCTGTACAAAAGTCGCACCATCTACAAAAACCTGAACCCAAAGTGGGATGAGCAGTTCTCTATACATATAGAGGATATCACCAAGCCCATCAACATCAAGGTGAGTTACCTTATTAGTTCTCTATAGAGGATATCACCAAGTCTAAAAATAGTAAGGTGATGTGACATTATTTTCGTATAATAAAAAACAATTTCGCCAATAGTATGTAGACATATGTCATAAAAAATTATGTTTAATAATTAGCAAAACAATTATTTATTTCTGTTTGATTGTGACCATTATTCTTATACATTAATTAGTGTGTAAATATAAAAATGAGCGAACATAATTAATTACTGTAGTTATTGATTATAACCATAAAACAAACATTACTGTGTGCAAACCATAAAACATACATTACTGTGACAAACCATAAAACATACATTACTGTGTCCTTCAATGAATGTCCAACATTAATTACACCAGGTGTTTGACTATGATCGTGCCTGGAACGATGACCCGATGGGTGGAGTGGACATTGATGTCACAACGTTGGAGGTCAACAAGTGAGACCAATTAACTAATTACCTCATTAAATCATTTAACGAATTAACCACACTAACTCTGAATGTAAACAATATTTTAATCTTTTCTAACTTGACTCGTTTCTATCTGATGCTCACACTCTTTAATACCTGAGGTTTAAAAAAGTCATGTGGCATTATCTCATTAGTGTCTCTGTTATTATATTCTATTTTTTATACATATCTTTTAGCATTTGATTAATCGTTGAGCATATCAGGCTGTGTTAAACGTAATCACCATCTAAATAAAGATTTAACATTGATGCTCTGTGCTATTTTTTTTATTGTATTTGTACACACCAGGTAAGTATTTGTAGAAGGTAGAAGACCAGGTAATAAAAACAATATTTTAATCTGCAGGGCAACAGAACTGAAACTTTTACTAACGGAAAGAGGCAACACGGAATACATGGGTTACCTGATACTCAACTGCACATTGTCGCCTAAAACTAATGAAGACAAAGAACAGGTAACTTTAACATAGTGCTTGCTACGGTACTTTATATTGGACTAGGAAAGATTGTCTTGTACTCGGTACTAGGTGGTGTACTGGGTACTTTTATAATGTACTGTGATGCACTGTGTACTAGTGGGTGAACTGTGTACTCTCATAATTTACTGTGAAGCACTGTGTATTAGGTGGTGTACTGGGCACTCTCACATATGTACTATAGGTTGCACAGTGTACTCGGTAGTATACTGTGACTGTGTACTAGGCAGTAGACTACACTACCATGTACAAGACACTTTCCTGGTGTACTGAGTAGAAGACTCACTAATAATGTACTAAACACATGAATATTGTACTATGCACTAAGCATGTTACTGGTGTACATGTACCGTGTACCCGACGTTAACTATTGTCTCCATCTGTGTACTAGGCACGTATAAGGTGTACTGTGTACTAGCTGTACAGTGTACCCAAGTGTACCCCAATGTGTCAATCCTTTGCAGCACCCCAACAGCCAGATCTCGTTTCTAGCTCTAACTAGCATGGCTGGCTATTCGCACATCTTTCGTTCTGTTTATAATGTTCACAATACGATCCACATTTTACATTTACTTAACTATAATCTACACAAAACGTTGGGAAAAAAAACAAATATTTTTCATCTCATTTCAAACGTCCAAAGTTAATAAATTCAATCAATGAAATATAAAGCCTACACAACGTTTATTACAATTTTCCTTTTGAATATCTTTGAACGCTACGTATCAATCATCCCCGTCATGAAACATTAAAATACTTTAAAAGAACGTAACATCCATTTCTTTTATAGCTTTCGGATTTAAAACTTAAATAAATGATAGAAATATTTTTCAGACTTCATTGCCGAAGAGCGGTTTTCCCAATACCATTAGAAACATTCGAACAAAGCTGTGACGTAGCCAAGGGTGACCATAAAAAAACATCCAGCTATTTTCGCTGCTGCCCCCTCGTGGGAAATCAATGGCAGCAGCTGTTTATCCCATCAAACGCCAAAACAGACAGCGCTAGCTAAAACAATAAACCGGTGCACCGTTCGTAGAAGAGAGACGCGATAACGGTGTTTGGGTGGATTGGTCCTTTAGTGAAGAACACCACAGTTTGGTGAGTGGTGTGTCGACACCACGGTATACACCATCACGGTGTTTGGGTGGATTGGTCCTTTAGTGAAGAACACCACAGTTTGGTGGTGTGGTGAGTGGTGTGTCGACACCACGGTATAAACCATCACGGTGTTTGGATGGATTGGTCCTTTATTGAAGAACACCACAGTTTGGTGGTGTGGTGAGTGGTGTGTCGACACCACGGTATACACCATCATGGTGTTTGGATGGATTGGTCCTTTATTGAAGAACACCACAACCACAGTTAATTGAAAATACACATTGGGCTTTAGCTGTAGTGACTGAGGTGTGTTAAATAAATATTCTGGTTCTCTTTAAATCGTTTACTAGCACTAGATAACAAGCATAAACCTTATATACATACACGGCACTTGCATAGATATGTGTATAAATAAATAACTATACTATATATGTATATATATATATGTATATATATATATATATGTATATATGTATATATATATAAATATGTATATATATATATATATATGTATATATATGTATATATATGTATATATATGTATATATATGTATATATATGTATATATATGTATATATATATATATATATATATATATATATATATATATATATATATATATATATATATATATATATATATATATATATATATATATATACTTTACAAATGTAAATAAAAATAATGATAAAATGTATAGGTGCTTGTGAATCCAAGACCAGGGGTCAGTACTCCTGTATACTGGACATATCTAGATCTAGGTCCCACGAGATAGTTGAGACAGTTTCAATACGTTAAACCAGGCAGACGTCTAGTTAGTCCTACTGTAATGGCCTGGCTGAAAGGGACGCTATTGGCTCTGGGAGTTGTGTGCCCCTGTATGTCTCGTATGGCGCAGGACCTGTAACGGTAATCACAAACATCGGCCATCTTCCCTCGTAATTGAGTTCAACAAGCGGTGTTTTAATGAGAGAAATATTTTTAGCTTTCGACCGTCAATTTACTGTCATTCCAGCCATTATAGTTTTTTATTTGACTAAAAAAAATTAAATGATGCAAAAATGTTGGCATAGGAAGACATCTCCTAATTCGAGTATAAATTTGACTGCTCAGTTTTATTTTATTGATTCCATCTACTGATAAAATAAAATGTATGTTACAGTGGATAATCCAGTTAAAAAATAAAATTTTAGCTAACAATATGTAGCGGAATAATCTAAATAGTCGGTAAATTTCTAGAAATAGAAATTGTATAAAGTATAATCCTACTTATGTTTCTCGGCTAGTGTAAAATAATACAATGTGATCATTTATTACACTACTGAACAAAGTAAACCAATTAATAAGGGTAAAGAGAATATATGTGTGCACATTTTGACGAGAGTACCGTGTGACTTGAAGTACATGCATCAATTTATATCTTGAAACCATAACAGCCATGGTAATATAACAACTAGGTAATATATGGTGGTGTCTAGTTGGACATTAAGACAACAGACATCTTGTGAAGTTGAAGCACAGCCCACAAGCTCATCACTAATTACCATAGATATATGTTTACAATTTTAAACTTTCACTCAAAGCTCATATTATATAATAATATTTTACTTCCAATTTCAAAAACTGACAAATTTCATTCAAAAAATGTTTTTCCTAAAAAAAACCATATCCAAAAAAAGCCATATTGAACAAAAACCATATTAAATCTACGACTTAACAGTCTGAATCTAACAGTGCTAAAATTTAGCTTATTGAAAACTTTTTTCCCTTAAAACGAACGCTTGATTTCTCGTCAAAAATGCCATTGATAACAAGTTCGCTGAAAGGGAAACTTCACCAGGCGTATTTTCCCGACACGCAAAAAAAAAATTCGTTAAGAATTTTTAAAATGATTACGTCAACCGTCTTAAACAAAAAAGCCAGAGTACATTCAGATGATAAATTGATATTTCAAATCTTGACATCGGTTGGGTCCACAGTCTGTGGCTACATGTTATGTGTCTGTTACAGTCTGTTGGCTACATGTTATGTGTTTGTTACACCCTATGGCTACATGTTATGTATCTGTTACAGTCTATGGGCTATGTGTCTGTTACAGTCTGTGGGCTACATGTTATGTGTTTGTTACAGCCTATGGCTACATGTTATGTATCTGTTACAGTCTGTTGGCTACATGTTATGTGTCTGCTACAGTCTGTGGGCTATGTGTCTGTTACAGTCTATCGGCTACATGTTATGTGTTTGTTACAGTCTGTGGCTACATGTTATGTGTTTGTTACAGTCTGTGGGCTATATATTATGTGTCTGTTACAGTCTGTGGGCTATGTGTCTGTTACAGTCTGTGGGCTATATGTTATGTGTCTGCTACAGTCTGTGGGCTATGTGTCTGTTACAGTCTGTGGGCTATATGTTATGTGTCTGTTACAGTCTGTGGGCTATATGTTATGTGTCTGTTACAGTCTGTGGGCTATGTGTCTGTTACAGTCTGTGGGCTATATGTTATGTGTCTGCTACAGTCTGTGGGCTATGTGTCTGTTACAGTCTGTGGGCTATATGTTATGTGTCTGTTACAGTCTGTGGGCTATATGTTATGTGTCTGTTACAGTCTGTGGGCTACATGTTATGTTACAGTCTGTGGGCTACATGTTATGTGTTTGTTACAGCCTATGGCTACATGTTAAGTGTTTGTTACAGCCTATGGCTACATGTTAAGTGTCTGTTACAGCCTATGGCTACATGTTATGTGTTTGTTACAGCCTATGGCTACATGTTAAGTGTTTGTTACAGCCTATGGCTACATGTTAAGTGTCTGTTACAGTCTATGGGCTACATGTGTCTGTTACAGCCTATGGCTACATGTTATGTGTTTGTTACAGCCTATGGCTACATGTTAAGTGTGTGTTACAGTCTGTTGGCTACATGTGTCTGTTACAGCCTATGGCTACATGTTATGTGTTTGTTACAGCCTATGGCTACATGTTAAGTGTGTGTTACAGTCTGTTGGCTACATGTTATGTGTCTGTTACAGTCTATTGGCTACATGTTATGTGTCTGTTACAGCCTATGGCTACATGTTATGTGTTTGTTACAGCCTATGGCTACATGTTAAGTGTGTGTTACAGTCTGTGGGCTACATGTTATGTGTCTGTTACAGCCTATGGCTACATGTTATGTGTTTGTTACAGCCTATGGCTACATGTTAAGTGTTTGTTACAGCCTATGGCTACATGTTAAGTGTGTGTTACAGTCTGTGGGCTACATGTTATGTGTCTGTTACAGCCTATGGCTACATGTTATGTGTTTGTTACAGCCTATGGCTACATGTTAAGTGTGTGTTACAGTCTGTTGGCTACATGTTATGTGTCTGTTACAGTCTATTGGCTACATGTTATGTGTCTGTTACAGCCTATGGCTACATGTTATGTGTTTGTTACAGCCTATGGCTACATGTTAAGTGTGTGTTACAGTCTGTGGGCTACATGTTATGTGTTTGTTACAGCCTATGGCTACATGTTATGTGTCTGTTACAGCCTATGGCTACATGTTATGTGTGTGTTACAGTCTGTTGGCTACATGTTATGTGTCTGTTACAGTCTGTGGGCTACATGTTATGTGTTTGTTACAGCCTATGGCTACATGTTAAGTGTGTGTTACAGTCTGTTGGTTACAAGTGGACAATCCTAATCTCCCAGTGTTGTTTTATTACAAACCTGTGAGGTTTCATGAGACCGTGGAACATCGACAATTGAATTACTGGGTGGGTGGATGATTGACTCTGAGCCGTTAGAAAAACATCTTTTTTGGTTAAGACAGAAACAATTTTTATGCAATTAATTGGACGTTCAGGAACACATCGAAGTATTGTAGAAAAATTGGAATATATTCTTTGTGTAGAGTATACTTGTACACCGAATGTAGCAATTAGGTTGCGATTACAAAATAGCGTTTTATTTTCGTATAAGAATTTAAATCTGCCATTAACCTGTCATTAAGTCTGCATTATTTTTCCTACTGATAACCAAAAAAAATATTTTGTTTGCCTGATTCGCCACGCCTGCACACTGAAGCGCAGAGTTTAATCAGGAAATGAGAATTCCTAGTAGTCGCTCAATGAACAAATAGGGGAAATTTGAACCGATCCGCACAAACGTGATCGATATGAACGGTGCGTTATCTAACAGTCTGCAACCAATATCAAGGAAAAATTGGATCAAACTAGAGCAGTTAATATTGTGTACATGTTTTCCTACACTGAATGATTTCAACATTCCTTCATAAACCACATTTACTTTGTCAGAAATCGATTGTATAGTTTGAATTCACATTGTCAGAAATCAATAATTAGTTTAAATTCACGTTGTTAGGCACAAATGATTTCAGAAACAAATAATGTAGTGTGAAATCATTTCAGAAACAAATAATTTAGTGTGAAATCATTTCAGAAACAAATAATTTAGTGTGAAATCATTTCAGAAATAAATAATGTAGTGTGAAATCATTTCAGAAACAAATAATTTAGTGTGAAATCATTTCAGAAACAAATAATGTAGTGTGATATCATTTCAGAAACAAATAATGTAGTGTGAAATCATTTCAGAAATAAATAATGTAGTGTGAAATCATTTCAGAAACAAATAATGTAGTGTGAAATTATTTCAGAAACAAATAATGTCATGTGCAATCATGTCAGAAACAAATAATAGTGTACAATCATGTGAGAAAGATAATTGTGTGTGAATTAATGTTGTGCAATGTTGTACAGCCTCTTGGTGCTATTTCAGGAAACCAATGCCAAAAGATCGGTGAGTCATGTGTGAGTCAAATATCAAGGCTCAAATTATTTCTAGTTTTATTTAACCTTTTTGCACTAACTTTTTAAAACATTTTTAACTTGTGTGTGAATATTTGTGTTAAATATCCTATGCTCCAAACTAAATACCATTTTATATTACCCACATTTTTATTACTAACCTTCCCCAAAATTTTAACCTGCGTGAACGTGTATCGTAGCTTTGTTCTACTAATTTTTGTAGATATTTCAATGCATCTTGCTTTTAATTAATTGTAATTTAAAATATTTCAGCTAGATTGCACACATCATATTTTTAAATTCTTCGATGTATTTATTTTAAAATTATTTGTAGGTTGTTGTTTTTTTTTTTTCGTAATATTTAAATGTAGCACCTTCGCCGCCCTTAATTTCCACATAAATTTGTTATGTGCACTCGTTATCTCGTGTTTCTGATTGTTTTTTTACTTATTATACAAACTATTGGTGAGTTCGAGAGCTTATATCAGTCAATCAAAAAGTTGTTTGGTAATTATTTATTTGTCTTTCATTTTCAACTTAATCGGGATTTGTTGAAACATGATTGGCACAAATATGATCCAAAAATGTGCACTTTATTTATTTAGTTATTTATTGCTTGTATATTTTGAAATCGCTTAGTTTCCATTAAATTTATTTAACACAACTTATAAAATCGGTAGTGTGTATTGACATTAACTTATAAAAACAATAGTAGTCAATAATCTTACATTGTAAATTACAACTTTTAGTATACAATTAATCGGTTAAACTATAACCCAACTATGTCATCGTTTAACATTTAAATTTTACTAGAACCCGGCCCGCGACCACTTTTTAAATCCAAAACCCGATGACCGCCCTTGTCTATCTAGTGTTTTTAAGCTCCCACACGAGTTATGTTTCCTGAACTCTAATGGAAAACTCGCATCCTTTTAAGTTCCATCGAATGTTCAATTTTTTATTTTTTTACATGGAGAATGAGAGTGGAACTACACAACTCCACTAGTCTGGGTTTGTGAAATTTTTATTCCAACGAAAAATCGAAAAAATAAAACTTGGTGCGTCCACCCATCGTTAAACTGAACGTCGACTGTAGTGTTGTAGTACCGATTCTTAAATGTCAACAGGCGTTTCCAGTTCTGAAGATCCGGGTCCGCTTTTCTCGCGAGCCCGCGTGAGAGATAATTATTAAAGTAACTGGATTGGTGCGGAGAGACACTCGCGGACTTCCGCTCACCAGAAAAGTTTAATTATTACTTTAAAATTTAAACAGAGAAGTGAACAGTAATACATTAACTCCAACTAATTAAAACCGAAACTGCTTTTTAATTTTTTTAAATATTTAAATTTTAATCAGTAGACATTAAAAATCAGCTTACAATTGAAATGTTGAAATGTTTAGATTCAATTTTTTTTTCTTTTCACTCAAGATACATTTAGGATTGTTTTCATCACTTTTTAAATAACACATTTATTTACTAGTATATTTTTGACGGCTTGTGTGAGTTTGGACGAAGGGAAGTAAGTGTAAGGGGAGGTAACGTTTAATTCAAACTCCTTTGATCTTTTGACCACACATTATAATATATTATAATATAATATATTTCTTTAATAATTACTTTAAAATTGTTAACTGTTTTTTACTGCATTTATAAAATTTTGTGCGAATTTTTAATGTATTGTTATGGTTAGTTTAGTCTTTTTGGTTGCTGCAAGTGAAAGAAATGTCCTTAGGACAATGAACGGAATTTTAAAAATTGGCAATCAGGATATGGTACGTTTGATCAAGGGATCTGTTCTTGCTTTAATCTGGTTGAGAAAAGTGTGACGAACAACAACTCAAACTCACCAAGTGAACAAAGTGGCACAGCCAGGTCAACAAATACGCCACTGAACTGATTTATTTCCATTGACCACTACACTACACATGGGGATGTACAACAATTATGCTAATGTTAGCACCAAGACGATAACCGTATGCTGCTTTGATACAAGACAGTCAAATGTATAAATAATTTGTTACCTCAGAATAAGACACTGCTATTGAGTTTTCTTTCGGCTTAAACAGTTATTTAAAGGTTACGCGAATAAACAAAATCTATAACACAAGTGATTTGTAAATCGCAATGAAGTTTACTGACATCGAGCAGAGAGGCGATACTCGATGTCACCTCTCACGCTTCAAACACCTCTATGACATCACAGGGCAGACGGCTTCAGCCCACGATTGCTAACCCGAAAATTCCGAGTTCAAACCCTCGGGCAGATGAGATTCCTTTGCTGGGGAACAGCTAACCATCTAGGAAAGAACTCTAAAATCGCACAACTGTTGCCTAGCCAATGTTCTTTGGTTAGTAATGGAAGAAAATCAAGAAGAAAAAAGTTGGCTTAAATCTGAGTCAACGATCTGCATGGTACATAACAAGTTGACATATAAAACTTAATTGAGGAAATCACGTCAGATATTACAATTAACAATGAAGAGGAAGAGGCTGAGATCACAAGATGTAGTCTCTCGCGTGTCACACGCCACTATGAGGGTATAGATTACAGGATATTACTGATTGCTTTTTATTAACTTCCTTCAGCCGTTTACATAGTCTGCTGGTGTGTAGTAGGTCAGTTAATATAACCATTTGCATTATGATGAAAAACAAAAATTGTTACCAGACTAAACTAAACAAAAATTTACCAGACTAAAGTACATTACGGAGATATAAAGCGTGGCTAGTAGTACCAGTATGTTTTCATTACACTAAGGCCCAGTGTCCAGTTGTGTGATTCACAAAACACCTGTCACTTCACCCGTGACATGTTTTAAGATTCACCTACTGCTCGCTATGGAATACAACCTAGCAACAAATCATCAGAATAACATTGGAAAATCAGCAAACGCGGTCTCGCTACTGGGCTAGCTAACATTACAATCAATGCTACTGCAAGCAGACGACATTGATCGTGTCATTGCGCTAACGTCGCACCGACCATCAAATAGACAATTTACAGTGAAGCTGCTCCAAGTTCGCTAAAAAAAGAACTTTCGTGAGTTCCAGGTTTAGTAGGTCCTGTGTTCACGCGAGATTTCTCCACATGCCATATTTGTGCTGATTCTAGAACTTGGTTTAACCCAGAGATTTCTATTTGTTTTTACTAATAAATAACCCACCATTGCGGCACTGAAAGTAGGTCATGTTTTAATATAATAGGTCATTTTTCTATTTTTATCTTCAGCTCTTTCGGCGATCAACTCGCTCCACGGAATCGGCGACTGCGTCCAAAAAACTGAAAATGCAGCTGTGGAACGGAGTGGTCAACATTATACTCGTGGAAGGTTCGAATCTCGTTTCCATGGACGACAATGGTCTCAGCGATCCTTACGTGAAATTTAAACTGGGCACTGAGAAATATCGAAGCAAAGTAAGATTTTCAATTTTCTGATTTCCATTGAGCATGGTGAAATAATATTAGGCTAGTAGACCCCGACATGCTGGGCTAGTGGGCTTGTCACAGAACTGGATGAGGGCGATCAGATAGTAACATCAGAAATACGATCATGAGTAGGCGAGGCACGTGTTAGAATAATTACTGTGCTGTAAAATAATTGCCTTCACAATTGAGCTTCCGCATTTCCCTCATGTAGCCAGCGGTTTATGGAATGTAGATCTAGTACATTAATGCGTGTACGTTACCATCTATCTTCCATAATTATAATTATGTGTAGGTTTAGGGAGAATACACGCGTGTTTTATATTAACCCTTACTATATTTGTACGTATATGTATGTATACATATATATATATATATATATATATATATATATATATATATATATATATATATATATATATATATATATATATATATATATATATACATACATACATACACATATATACATATATATATAAAACTCGATAATTGATATATTCCATATTTATATTACCAGATAAATGTAGAAAGGTAACATACATTCAATATACCTTTTATTTTCCCTTACTGTTCTCCATTATGACTTTTTTATTTATTCTGATTTGCCAGTATGGTTTTTTGCATAGCAGTTTTTCGATTAAATCTAACCTTTATCGGCTATGCGGGCTGATTCAAAAGCTTTCTATATGTCCTAGTTTTTCATTTATAAAAACTTTAGTCCGGGATCTTTTAGCGTTTGAACATACAAAAGCCCAATGCAACATTTTTTATTCGCATTCATGTAAGGAAAGAAAATTGATGAATATTTTTTTTTTTATCAAGAGAGAAAAACAATTTCGGCTACAATATAGAGAACAAATTAACATTGATAGATCACGGGGATAATGCATTTAATTGAAGTAAATTGTGTTTGATGATGTTTTGTTCAGCACTTTGCCTTTAATAACGCGAGAGCTTTAATTAATTTCTTTTCTGTCTTCTCCTTTGTCGCGATGGAGCGAAAAAAAAAACATGTTCCCATATATGAGTCACGGCGCTCTGACGCATGTTGTGATTCGGTCCTTTGAATTTATTGAAAATATATCTTCGAGCTGGGGTACCAATAGAAACTATGAGAATCACTGGTCAACGTTAAAATAGGCTTAAATGGGAAATAAAGGTGGTTTCGTCCGGTTTGGCTCTAAAGATGTGTGCAATGATGCTGTGATCCGACATTCACAAATTGTAATCAGTCGTAGGACCTATAATAACTATATTTTTCACGTTCTTGAGAAGGTCATTTATTTGTAATTTGACTAGTATTTATTTTTAAAATACTCGCATTTGATAAAAAATAAGGGAAAAAACCTTGATAAAATTTGGATGCAGAGAATTGAAGTTTATATATATATATATATATATATATATATATATATATATATATATATATATATATATATATATATATATATATATATATATATATGTATCAGGTCGAAGCTCATAGCCCTAACCTTGTCTGCAGCAGTTAATCCTGACCCTAACTGCAATCCCGGCTAAAAAAAAATAACACCTCGATACGATAGGCCTAGTGTATTGCCTGCCCGTGAGTTTTGATCTGAACATACAAAAATAATAAAAGAACGTGGCTAATAGATCCTGCGGTGATTGATGTGTGTGGAGAGACCAGGGAGGCTCGTGCAAATCAGATGCAACGCTTTTTTACAAAGAAATGCGTTTATTTTAAATATTCCCAATCGCTAGGATCGACAGGCATGCCCTCCACGTCTCCTCTGCTCATTAGAGAGCATTTAGGGGAGAGAAGTGAGTTCTCGAAATTTTAAAAAGTCGTTTAACACAAATGTACAGTAATCTTTTCTATTTCTTGTCTGTTTTATGATCATTTACATTTATTTTAAAACACGTTCAGTATTTTGAGAAGGTCATCGGGTGTCACTCAAGGGAAGTAACCCATAAAATAGAAATAGTGAGCAACTGCCGAAAATATAATGGGGGGGGGGGGGGTTGCACTATGGTGCTTTGCATTTATCAACTATAATAACTTGCAATTGCTAAATAATTCCAACATTTTTAGTTAACCATAATTAGAGAGGGGAAAAATAATTTAGATGATGTAAATCAACAGTGATTTTTCTTGTATATGAATAAAATCCATGAATAAATTTATTTTGCCAGTTTAAAAGTAAAACATTGAACCCACGATGGCTGGAACAGTTTGATCTTCGACTTTTTGATGACCAAACTGCACTGCTGGAGATTTCTGTTTACGATCACGACACAAGGGGAAAAGATGACTTTATGGGCAGGTATGTCATATGTATATGGTCACAACATATGGGGAAAAGATGAATTTATGGGCAGGTATGTCATATGTATATGGTCACAACATATGGGGAAAAGATGAATTTATGGGCAGGTATGTCATATGGACCTGTCAATCACAACTTCTTGTTTGAAATATTTTTAATTTGGGAGGGGAGATTTCTAAGCATGCACGTGATGTGATGTCCTTTTGTAACGCATGTGTACTTTTGTAAACTTGTACTTTTTAACATGTGTATATTTTTTAACTTGTACTTTTTTTATAAATGCTTATATCAGTAAGCTTGTACTTCTTATAAATATGCACATTTATAAACTTGTACTATTTATATAAAAATGTGTACATTTGTAAACTTGTACTATTTATACAAAAATGTGTACATTTGTAAAGTTTACCTTTTCTCCTCTATTTGTGTAAGAGCTGTGATAGACTTGTCTCAGTTGGAGAGAGAGAGGACACACACAATTGTACAGCCTCTGGAGGATGGTGCTGGCACCATTAAATTGTTACTTACTGTCAGCGGCACTTTTGGTGGGGAGTTGACCTCTGACCTAGCCAATTACACACCTAATCCGCTTGACAAGGACAACATTGTTAGCAAATATGTAAGTTTTATGTTCTCGTTTCATTTGGGGAAGGGGGGAGGGGGGGTTAAAAAAATTTTATGTCAAAATACTGATCAGTAAGCATTGTTAAATAATAATTTTTTCAGTTAGTTAAAATACGTAATGAGAATTTATAGCATAACCTTGTTTGTATAGAAATATTAGACTGTAAACTTTAAAGTTATTGCCTTATTTTCATGTTGCTTCTACATTGTTTTCCACCTCATTTCATAAAAGCTGTTATTTCTTTCTTTTTATTTCCTGATACTACTTTTTAATTCTTTTCTTTAGGGGCTGTTAAATTCTCTAAGGAATATAGATGATATTGGGCACTTAGAGGTAAAAGGTGAGACAAGCAAAAAGTGGTGTGTCATTTGACAAGAAGGGGTCGCCGTGGTCGAGTCGGTAAAGCTCATGGTTGCTAAACCGAAAAGTCTCGAGTTCGAACCCTCGGGCAGATGAGGCACGTTAGCTGGGGACAGCCACTCTTCTAGGAGAGATAACTCCAAAATTAAACAACTGCTGCCTTGTAGTTTGTTCTTGGTTGGACAAAGGCTATGGAAGCAAAATCCAAAAAGAAAAGCAGGCTGAAATCGGAGTCAATGGCCTCAATGGCGCATAACCAGTTGACACGTACCGCTTAATTGTATTGGAGGCGTGGTCGAGTCGGCAAAAAGCTCATGATTGATAAATTCGAACAAAGTCTCGAGTTCAAACCCACTGGCAGATAAATCTCGATCCCCTTCAACACTAATAATAATGAACGAAGAAGAAGAAGAAGATTTGACAAAAAAATTGTTAGACTTGTAGGCCTAAATATTTTAATATTACTATTTTAATCCCATTTTGTTTTTGAACCTACAAAACTATTTTTGAATCTTTAGATCTGCTTGTTTTATCATTAAGTGCTCACTTTTTATAATTTATTTTTTATTGTAAGGTATATGTAAACTATCCTTAGTTCATTGAAAATCTTTGTAAAAGAGTAAAAATGGCTTATCTGTGGCTTTTTTCTAGACCCTCTAACAAGCAGCTTATCTATATTTCTCTGTTTACTCAAGTAGCTTACCTTTTACACCTGTACTTAAGTGCTAATCATTGAGTCATTAAATATTAGCTCATCTTCTTTATTCTTTAAAATATTTTGAGAACCTGTTTAACCTTCATGATTATTATTTGAAAAGAAATATTATGATTGAAAAATTATTCCATTAATATATGGAATTTAAACTAAGTATTTATCATAAGATAGTAGCCTTGATTAAGGCATTACATGCTAAAACTATGAACCTGTTATCTTTTTCCTCTGTAGTATTTCGCGCCCATGGTTTGCAGTCAGCAGACTTTGGGGGTCTCAGTGATCCATTTTGTGTGATAGAGTTAATCAATGACAGAGTGCAGACACAGACAGAGTACAAGACACTCAACCCTGAGTGGGCTAAGGTTTTCACATTGTATGTTGTAGGCATATGTTGTCACATTGTATGTTGTAGGCAAACATTGTCACATTTTATGTTGTAGGCAAACTTTGTCACATTGTATGTTGTAGGCAAACATTGTCACATTGTATGTTGTAGGCAAACATTGTCACATTGTATGCTGTGTGCTAAGGTTTTCACAATGTATGTTGTAGGCAAACATTGTCACATTGTATGTTGTAGGCAAACATTGTCACATTGTATGTTGTAGGCAAACATTGTTACATTGTATGTGGTAGGCAAACATTGTCACATTGTCTGTTGTAGGCAAAAATTGTCTTATTGTATGTTGTAGGCAAAAATTGTCTTATTGTATGTTGTAGGCAAACATTGTCACATTGTTGTATGCTGTGTGCTAAGGTTTTCACATTGTATGTTGTAGGCAAACATTGTTACATTGTATGTTGTAGGCATATGTTGTCACATTGTATGTTGTAGGCATATGTTGTCACATTGTATGTTGTAGGCAAACATTGTTACATTGTATGTTGTAGGCAAACATTGTTACATTGTATGTTGTAGGCAAACATTGTTACATTGTATGTTGTTGGCTAAGGTTTTCACATTGTATGTTGTAGGCAAACATTGTCACATTGTATGCTGTGTGCTAAGGTTTTCACATTGTATGTTGTAGGCAAACATTGTCACATTGTATGTTGTAGGCAAACATTGTCACATTGTATGTTGTGGGCTAAGATTTTCGTATTGTATGTTGTAGGCAAACATTGTCACATTGTATGTTGTAGGCAAACATTGTCACATTGTATGTTGTAGGCAAACATTGTCACATTGTATGTTGTAGGCAAACATTGTCACATTGTATGTTGTAGGCAAACATTGTCACATTGTATGTTGTAGGCAAACATTGTCACATTGTATGTTGTAGGCAAACATTGTCACATTGTATGTTGTAGGCAAATATTGTCACATTGTATGTTGTAGGCAAACATTGTCACATTGTATGTTGTAGGAAAACATTGTTACATTGTATGTTGTAGGCAAACTTTGTCACATTGTATGTTGTAGGCAAACATTGTCACATTGTATGCTGTGTGCTAAGGTTTTCACATTGAATGTTGTAGGCAAACATTGTCACATTGTATGTTGTAGGCAAACATTGTCACATTGTATGTTGTAGACAAACATTGTCACATTGTATGTTGTGGGCTAAGATTTTCTCATTGTATGTTTAGGGCTAAGATTTTCTCATTGTGTATTGCAGCTAAAAAAAAAATCTATTATAAAAGAATGTGTTTTACATCTTAAATTATGTTTCTTGAAAATTTTAAAATGTTAGCAGTGAATTTTTAAAAATCAGAGTTTGGAACATTATTTTCAACTAAGTATTTGCAAATAGGCTACTATAATATTTCATTGTCTTTCATGTTCCTTTTTCAATATTTAAATATATAAAAAAAGCATATGTTTTATTTTAATAACTTATTTCTGTTGAGCAGTTTAAAAAGATATACATTCTTTTGTTTCTGCTATGTGACGTCTATACCACAAATTGTTTTAGCAATTAAAAATATGTCATTCAATTGATTTTTCAGCAATGTGAAAGACATACATTCAGTGTTGGAAGTAACTGTATATGATGAGGATCGAAATAAAAAAGTTGAATTTCTAGGGAAAGTTGCAATACCTTTGTTAAGGGTAGGCCTACATTTGATATAAGACTGAGACCCACTTTTTGGGTTTTACAAAAAATTTTGATGAATTATTTCAATTAGCCTAAATTAATTTGTGTGGTAATTATAATTATTTTTTATGGTTCAATAAAAAAGATATTGATACTGTTATGCATATAAATTTGATATTTTTTCAGATCAAAAATGGAGAAAGAAGATGGTATGCCTTAAAAGATAGAAAAACTCTACACAAAACCAAAGGTGCCATCCTATTAGAAATGGATATGGTGTATAACCATGTGCGTCACATTTTCTAGTTTACTCATAATCTATAGCTACATTTATATATATACATTTATAGTTTTGAAGTTACTATATGTAATTCATTTATTTGCTATACAAATTATGTTTCTTAATAATGAATTAATAAATCATAGTTTTTAATTATGTAAAATTATAGTATTAATACAATTATTTTATTTATATTGAATAAATATGATTTGCAGTTGAAGGCAGCAATACGAACCGTAAATCCCAAAGAAGAAAAACTCATGTTACCTGATCAAAAGTTTAAAATATCAGTAAGACATTTTTTAAATAAATAGTTTTTATATTTTTATCACGTATTTTCTAGTGTAGAACATTTTTATAATTTGATATCTTGAATATTATTTGTTCATCATAGAAATTTTGTTTAAAATTTCTTTTACAAACTTGATAACTTTAATTTAATCAAATATACATCTACTTTACCAGACAATGAAACAGAACATCAATAGGGTTTCTCAGATAATTGGTGTATTTATTGATACAGGACGATTCATTCAGAGCTGCTTTGATTGGCAGTCACCACCTCGTACTATCACTGCTTTCATAGTAAGTCCTATCCAACATGAAGCACTGCTTCAGATTAGGTTGTATTCATCATTTACTATATCATACTATCACTGCCTGTTAGATAATTCATCATAAAAACGCAACAAACCAGTTAAAAAACAAGTAAAACTACAGAATTCTAGATTTGTTTTACTGTTAACTTGAAATTGATATTGTGTAAACAGAAATTGACATAACTTTATTCAAAGCCTAGAAAGTTTATAAAATACAAATTTGTACATAAGTAAAGAAAACTTGCATTTACATACAGCATTAGTAATTTATATCTAATTTCCCCATTAGAACTAATTAGAAATGTGTTCTGAATATTTCAGGTATATCTTGTGGCTGTATGGAATTTTGAACTGTACATGTTGCCTATTTCTTTATTATTAATATTTATAAAGAACTTAGTCATTGCACAAATTGTTGGTAGTTTCAAGAAAGAACCAGTTGAAGATGTAAGCACCACTGTATTTTTGTACAAAACTTTCTAGTCATACTAGTTGTATACACAAGTTTAATATATCTAGAGTAATAATGTTCAGTAATCTATAGTTTTGTTGACAGGTCTATAAATAGTGAAAGATGTTATTTGTATTAAACAATTTTCACGCAGTTTCATTTCTTTAAAAGTGAACTTAAAATACTAGATCCTAATGTGGATCAGATGGTATATAAATTGTCTATTGCTGACCCCACTAAATATAACATTAATATACTATCTGCCACTCACACATCTATCTACTTGTGATATAATGTTTACAGCCTAGGTATATAAACAGTGATAATATGGGTTACATAAATGCAAAGTATGTACATAACTCCTTTAAGTTCTAAAATATTAGAGGATAGCTATTAACACTGCATTATATTATTCTTCACAGGACTATTTTGTGGAGGATGAAGATGATGATGAAGATGAAAAAGACAAGGTAACATTTAATGTTGCTAGATTTTATTTTGGGTATGTATATATATATATATATACATATATATATATATATATATATATATATATATATATATATATATATATATATATATATATATATATATATATATATATATATATATATATATATATATATATGCATGGTTGTAAATGTAATAGTCTACATGTGTACATCAATTGATGCCCCACCCAAAACATAATGTAGAGCTTGTTAAAATGTATGTAGTTGTATTTTGTTTAGAACCATTCAAAGCATTGTTGTTGTTTGTAAATTTGTATTATGTTAAAAATTAATAGCTTTGTTTTATTTTAATTAATAATTTAAATATAAGTTGTTTTTTTGTTCATGTGTCCAGATTAAATATAAAACTAATAAAAAATAGTTTTAATTTTTTTTTAATCATTTCTGTTTAGGGTTTTTTTTTTTTGGCCTAGGTCAAATTAAAATTCAGTTCAACTAAAGTATTTGTAAACACATTAATAAATTCTGAATTTAACAATTGCATTTGCTTCTAACCTAAACTACTTAATCATTGTGTTGGGAAAACAAATTTTAGTAAAAAGATAACACATTTTTAAAGGTATATGTGCCAGAATTTTTTAGCAAAAGCACTAATACCTTATAATTATGTTGTCTTGCCTTTCTCTAGCCAAAGAAGGTAAAGTTGACTTATTTCAATGTTTTGTAGATATCCACTTTCATTAAGAACACTTCAGCACTGCAAATTACTTTGCTTATTTTAACAAATGTCTTTTTTCTAATGGTATAGCAGACTGGCTTTTATTAATTGTATTTACATAATTAACCTCTCTCAAGTAGTTTTGACTGCTTATAACCATTTTCATTTATACACTCTATGTATTCAATCAATCTTGTTGTATTCAAAGTGTAAATCACAACCAAAATCTTATTTTTAGATCAATTCATTTTTATACTTCACAGAACATTATAATCTTCTTTTTTAAAACCTAGAGTAGTCTCCTTTTTAAGCTTTATAATATAATTCAAATTCTATAACATTAACGCGCAATTATTGTAGTGATATTGATTTGAAACTTCTGTTTTGTATACAAGATTGAAATATTGGCTTAACTAATGTAGATGTAGACTTAATGGTGTAGTAAATTTTAAAACACATGTAGATCTATCTACATAGAATTATAACTATTTATGAATACATAAAAACTAACATACATATAAATCAGATGTAGTATGGTAGTCAAATAGAAATTGATTAATTCTACTTTGTCAGAGAGATTATATTTTTCATACGACACCATAGCTACCCTCCTCTGACAAGGCTACTCCACCCTAAAAAAAGTTTTTAAAAATATAAAAAACAAAAGAAAAATAATACATTCCAAATTTCTTAAATTACACTTTTTTTTTATGAAGTAAAATGGTTTTCAACTTTATTCTCCATTTTATTGTGGATAACTTTAGGTCATTTAATAGATTCTCTGTTCTGTAGATAACCCGCTTTGCATAAAAATGTATTTAAAAAATATTACCAGTTTCACTATTAACAATTTTTTTTACCATTAAAAATTGAATACTTGTACGTAAGCCTTTGATTTTATCTTAAAATAATGTTTGAATCCAATGCATAGTATAACAGGATCCAATTCATTAATTATTATAAATGGATTAATATAAACTTTATAGTTTTTCTTTATTGTTATTATATTTAATTGATTCCTTTTCATTTGAAATGAAAAAGTTTCTGTCACACACATACATATATATATATACATATTTATATATATATATATATATATATATATATATATATATATATATATATATATATATATATATATAAGTAGCATACAAGTGCTTTGTGACAGTGTACCATTAAAATTATTTTTTGAAGGACAAAAGGAACATCACAAAACACACCTCACCCCACTGCCACTCCCTATACCACACATTAAAACCTACAACCATGTAGTTTCTCTTTTAAATGAATAGGTTAAGTGAAAGAACAGTATTTTTGCTTTTGTAATCCTTTGTAAAAATTAAATTTACCAACAGCTAATCAAACAGCTATACTATTTGTAAAAAAGAAGTATATAAAATGAAGAAAAAAACGAATAGGAAATAATCTCCCTTTATTAATATCACCGTGTGTTTTTTTTATTTTGTTTTTCTCATTTTTTAAAACATTTTCTATAAATAGTGTATATGATTTCATAAAAAAAGCTGTCTACTTAGTATTGTATAACGAGATTGTACATCAACAACAATAGGTATCAGACAGCAAACATACTATAAGTCCATTTGCAGCAAGTGGATGATGCAAAAATGCGATTTCATATCTGTTATAACACAATACTTCGCTGCTTATATTTTATATACATGTATATATTTTATTTATTTATTTATATAAATTTATAGATATCTAAATTTTAATATTTCGTCATCAAAAATAACATTAAAACAGTTTTTAGATAATGTTTATGATTTTTTCAACATTAATTCACAAAATATGCTATAAAAATGTTAATGTATCCATCTTCTACTATTGTGTCTGGGCCTTACAAGTTAATAATAATGTCATCTCAAAACCATTTTTAGTTGTGTTCTTGTGAAATGATTTTTTTCTGAATATATATGCATACACACACAAGAGTAGACCTATATATACAGCATTATGAATTAAATATTTATTTTATTTGATAGCAAGAAGAAAAGAAAAGTATAGTGGACAGATACCATGCTATACAAGAGGTGTGTTTGCAAGTGCAACAAGGACTTGACACAGTTGCTTGCCTTGGGGAGAGAGTTAAAAAGTTAGTCACAAGATAATTTTCTTGATTGTTGATAAAATATGATAAACCTGCTATAATGTTTCATTCTTAGCTTAAAATCTTGCTTCTTAAATATCTTTTTTATCAATGCTTAAGTTGTTATTTAGTAACAGCTTGATTAAAGGGTTACAGTATTTTTCATTGTCATCAGTTAATTAAATATTTCTAGGGTTACTTAACCTGTATCAGAGTTTACATCTTTTATTTAGATGGGTTCTATAATACATAAATAAAAGTCATAAAAATGGGGGAAAACACATTGAACTAATCAATTCATTTGATATTTTTAAATTATTCAGCACATTCAATTGGAGTGTACCATGGTTGTCTGCCCTTGCTGTGATAGCTTTGAGTGCTGGAATTATTGTACTCTATTACATTCCATTAAGATATTTGTTATTGGCATGGGGTAAGTAAGAAAATAAACATTCAATTAGGCTAAGTTGAATTGATGTTAATTAACTGTGTGTAGATCTTATTACTTGTATTTAAAAGAATAGGAAACAATTATAATCACTTATAATTCTTACAGGTATAAATAAGTTTACTAAGAAACTACGCAAACCTAACGCCATCTCTAATAATGAATTGTTGGATTTTCTGTCACGCATTCCATCTGACAATGAATTGGTAAGAAAACTGTGCTACTTCACATTTTGTGATTTTTGGAAATAAATTTATATTCTAATTGAATACAATTTGTTAAAAGCTGGGTTTTTCATGAGTGATATATAATCAATTGCAATTTTTAATGGTAATATCAAACACTATATATATTTCACTATTGACCTTCTAACCCACACAATCCAAGTTACTTAAGTTACTAATTAATTTATTACTTTTTTTTAACAAGTTTTTTTTAATAAATTATGAGATTCACTTTATTGTCTCTTATATTTTCATTAGAAACAACTCCAAGAGCTTTATAGTAAATTGAATTTATAAGATTGAACATCAAGGGCAGTTTTATAGACCTATAATATTCTTCTGATCCACGGACATAAATTGAAAACCCTTCCATAGTGTGATACAAGTTTTGCACAATTAAGTACCTTGTCGCTATCAGCCATAATCATTTGCATGTAAAATATATTTTTAGCTTCAGTACCGAGAGTTGAGACCAGATATACCAGCCAATACCACATCCTCAAAGAAGAAAAGAGCATAGCTGGGAGTCATGCCTTCCACATGATGTGCCTTCCACGACATTCAACTTTTTAACTGACATTTATGCCGTTTTCTTCTCACTTTTTCTTCTGTTGCTAAATTTGTAAATATAATGTGAAATACTGTGTACATTGTTGTTTTTTTTTTAATTCTTCAATCTTTAACTTTTCTGCAATTTGCTCTTGGAATTATTTACATTTTGTATTAAACTCAGGAATATTAATACCACACCTTCCTTAAAAATGTAGGTATCATTGTAAAAGAATACCTATATTTATCCTCCCCTATTATTTATTTGTTGACAAAAGATCAATTTGAAGAATTAGATTAAAGAAATCCAGAGATATAAGTTAAAAGTAATCATTGAAGTAAATTGTCGTGTGATTATGTTGAGGCAGCATATAATTGCTTTATGTTCATCAACTCAAAAAGCCCTGTGTGTTCAGCTCAATTTAATTTTGGTGTTACATGAGCGAAGCTTGCTCAACAAATCTGACTTTTTTAGAATGAACATACCAGTAATTTTTGTTGACTTAGTTGTGTTCCATGATTGTCATTTAGTTTTATAAACGGTTGTATAGCATCTCTGATATTTGAAATAATGATTCTTGTAATACCTTTAGATTAGCTAAAAAAACCTCTAGCATTCATTAGATGTTTTAAATGTAGGTACCTACAAGTGTGTTGACACAAAAGTGCTCTATTTTAGAAACTCAATTATTTTCAATTATATGTTATCTTTTTAAAACCACTGAGAATTCTTTTTTACATTATTTACCAAAAATAATTTCAAATGCTATTTTCAAAAAAACTTCATCTGAAATTTTTTATAAGTGGGCCTGTTACTGTTAGCGTTTACAATTTTATAGTACATTTGTAAGGGTTTATTGACTTGGGTTTGATTCATACTGTATTTGGTTAGAAACTTTACATTTTGGGTAAAGGGGGGGATTGCATCCAAATTGTAACTTTTAAAAAGGCTTTTTTAGATGCCACTTATTCTTTTCAGATTAAAATTTTCACACTGGAAAAACTTAAGAAAGCTATTTGGTGCACTGCAAGTGGCCATGTTATTGATTGCAGCAAATCTCGATTGAAATAGAATTTGCTAATTTTTGTTGAACACTAAACTCAAAATTTAGCACTCTTCCATTGAGTCTTAAAGGCTTAATTTCGTCTCGCTAAATTCTGTTAGTTAAAAAATAGTGTTCATCTTCAGCAATCTGCATAGCCAGTTAAGAAAAGCTATAATACATTTGTCGTGTTTCCTATTTCGATTTAAGACATCTGTGCAATAGCTACATTAGCAATCCAGAGCCAAACATAATCAGCTATTTGAATAAGTATTTTTTTAAACATTCTCTTGATGTCTGCATGATGAATTTTTCCCCTTTTTAGATAGTTTAAGTATCAATGTTATGAATTTTTTCTTCTAGTAGTGTGCAGGTGATCAATACAAAAAGTTTCTAATTCTAGTCACTAAAGCTTTGTTGACATAATAGCTTTGTGACAGAGCATGCAGGTTGAAAAAAAGGAAAATTTAAATATGGTCAAGAAATTCAGTTTTTTAAACTGGAGTTGGCACAATTGCAATATTTTATATTAACTTAATGTTATTTTCATAAATAAAATATAACATAACTGTCCTCGTTATGCCTTATAAATGTCTGATAGTACTGAATCATTCAGAATGTGTGTGGACACAGAGACCATGTTCATTTACCTTGGCCATAAAGTCTGTGGGTTTGTGAATCTTAAATTATATTTTAAAACTCAATAATGAACCATTTCTAATGACACCAAGAAACTACTATACCAAGTTGCATTAACAAAAGGAGATAAGGTATAAAAAGAATTCCGGTTATGACTTGCAAGTGATTGAAAAGATTAGTACCATATTTGTCCATTGAAATAACGCACTAAAAATACTAAAATCTGTAAAAAAAAAAAAAAATTGATGAAATATGTGCAAACATTCAACATAACCCATGAAGTATGACTATTTTATCAACCTTCCACAACAGACCATTCAGTCATACTATTACAGATATTATTGTATCAAATTCTAAGTGAATTTTTAAACCTGTTAGATAATTGAATTTTCTTAAAATAAGGGTGTTCGGTTACTATAATACACATATTTTGCTTTTGTATGTTAATCCTAACCACTACATACTGAACCTTAATTTCTAACAATACTAGTTGAGAATAAATATTACTTTCAACCTACCACACCTATTTTTGGAAAAGTCTATTATTGGATAATCATCCTGAATTCTTACAAGTCTGCACAAACAATTCAAGGGCTCAGATTCAAGTACAAGGCTTTTAGTTTCATTATTGGTCTTAACACCATAAGCTGCTCAGGTTCTATCAAATTCATATACTATTTCACTACCTGATTTATAGTTGTAATGTGGTGTTATGCCTTCCATTTCCTAGCAAAAATGTTCATAATGTGGTGTTATGCCTTCCATTTCCTAGCAAAAATGCTCATTTGGCTGGTGACCTATTCCTAGAATAGCACTAAACCCATTGAAGCATCATTCCTTTTATCATTTTGGTCTGTTAGAGCTGAAGCAGTTTGCCAAAGGCTGTGGTGCTTGAAGCCCAGTGCGCTAGTTACATAAAATACCATAGTATCCATTTTGAAAATGTTTAAATTATGCAACAAATATAATTCCACTTGACAGAATGTATATCACTTGAACTTTTTACCTTCTTCAGCAAAGCATTCATTAAACAAGAAAACACACAAGTTATTAATTTTTTTTAATTGAACTAAATTATTTTGCATGTTGCTGTTGTTGGGCTCTCTTCATCTTCTGGAGAGTGACTTGCATTTCTTCTCTCTTCTTTTTGCCTCTAACATGGGTACCCAACTGAAATATGGTTTAAAAACTCATGTATATTTATATTAAAAAATGGATACACATTCAAACTATGTAAGAAGACAAAACAGTGCCAATAGTTCATAGTGTTTATTTCAATTTTGTCTCAGAAATTGCAGGCAGAAATATTAGAACTTGAGTTTTGTTCATCTTTCTGGGATTAGTTTTATTTATTAATTATTTAGCAATGTAACCACAAACAATTAAAAAAGTTGTACCATTTTCTGTGTAATACTTTTAGTTTCATGATATATTGTTTACTATTTTTCCAGCTCGCTCAGGAATTAAGTTTTTATGCCCAGACTGCATTGGTTAATAGGGAAACTGGATTAATAAGTCAATACTACAATATTTAAACATTCTTACTGTTGCTTGCTTTAATATTTAAAAAGTAATCCTGTCTGACTTAATGGCAGTCTTTATTTATTTTACTTTATTCCATGAGAGGCAAAGATTCTGTATCAATCAAATACTGCAACTTTATTGCTATTTACAAACTACACACATTTGATAATCAATCTACCTTTGAAAGACAGGATAGTATGCATATTATATGCCGTAAATGAATTATACAAACTAAAAATATATAAGAAATCATACCCTCTTTTTGCAAAACTTAAGAGCACGCTTATCCTTGGAAATCTTCAGCAACTCTTGACATCTTCTTTCATAGGGTGAAAATCCAGCAATTTCTCTAACAAGATCCCTTACGAATTTTGCATGCTTAGTGGCAGTCTGAAAATATTAAATTTGCAAATAGAAGAAAGAAAATTCAAGACTTGTGCCTTATAAAATAAGTAAAACTAAATCTACAGCAACATTAAACAAAGACAAAAAAGCAAAGGAATAATTCTTAAGAATCGTGAAAAAATACACACCCCCTTTCTACGGGTAGGTCTGTTCTTTCTGCCACTTTCAATTTTAGTTACTTTATGACCTTTGTTGAGGCCTACTGCTAAATTATAACGGACACCCATTCTGAAAAAAAGTAAAGCAACAAGACTGAAAATGTGGTTTTAAAACAAGTAGAAACTAAACAATTGTGGTAGAAAACAAGAAACAGCTGGATGGTTGAACTTTAAAGGCCTATTTCATTTTTATTTCCAAGTGGCTATTTAGACATGGGTCAGTTTATGTATAGCCACAGACCCAGCTTTAACTGTATCAAAATGTTGATTATACTTGTTCTTTAAGGATTTGCTAGTGTTTTGACATGGGGTTTGTTTTTTTTTTAAATAAAATTGCTCCTAAATTACTATTAACCTCTATTATCAGACATCGGTATCCTCACCCATCCTAACTCTGTGATTTTGTTTGTACTTGGGAAAACCAGAAGATAAAAATAGAATAAAACATTTCAAAACAGACTCAAGCCAAGACTTATAAGTAGCTTAATGCAGCTCTAATCTTAGCCTAACTCTAATGTATTGCAATAAAGGACCTGGGTCCAACCAATTTACAGAGACAGCCCAGTTTTAGCAAAATCAATTTAGAATTTGGGCCCTATCTAAATAGGTGTTCTATAAAACTAGTTACTGATCTGCACTTGTGAATAGATCTAGAAATCTAGATATATCAGGGACTGATTGTAGTAGCTATAGGGCCTAATACTAATGCAAAAACATACAAATTATAAAAAAAAAAAAATTCTAATCTAAAAACACAAATGTTAGGAAACCACTTGGATTAGAATCATTAGTTAGAGGATAGATATAGGCCTACAGATTCTAGACTTAGCTTGTAATATAGAGCATCTAGATCTAGGCGAGTTTACCTCAAGTCAGTTACGCGGCGAGGATTAACCACCCTAATCGTTATCCAAGCTGCGGCCACCCCCATTTCACCTCTCAGGTTGCTTTAATAGCCTTAGCTATTTACAGTGTCTCGCACATATTTAGAAGCTATTTACAGTTAACCTAATTATAAAAAGCTTTGATTGGTTGGTTTTATTTGTCTCATCCCTGACCTAGTGGTTTCATCCAGGGGAACTGGGATCACCGGCTGACGTCATACCTCAACTTAAAAATTTAATAACTCGTCTTCCAGAAGGAGAAAACAAAAGAATTTAGGCAGATGCTAGCCGGGATAAGATACACATACGCAATGGAGAGAAACTACGACTTGCCTTCGCGGCGATGTTTTCTATGGTACTGCGCATGTGTGTGTTTACAACCGCAGAACCCTAACACCAACCCTATCCCTAACCCTCATTCTAGCCTTAACCCTAGCCATAGGTCACTGCGCATGGGCAGAGCTATCTTTTGCCGACTAAGTGGAGACGTTGGGGAGAAAAATCTTCCGAGTAGTCACTTCGAAGAATTTAACCTGGATATATTTAGAAATGGACATGCCTACAGCAGATACCGGTAGTTTTGTATAAAACATCCAAATCATTATACGAAGCAATAACATATATGATCGCTTCGTGACTTTGACCGTGCAGTGGTACTTCACTCTAGAGAGAGATCTAGCTAGACTCTAGAGATCTAGTTTAGTACACATTCAATATTCCAAATTTTGGATTTGTCTCAAAAAATTTTGACAATATTAATTTAAAAAAACCAAACCAAAAATTCATTAAGTCATAAAGAAAAAGGCCGAGTGATTTCCTAAAGTTTTTGTGTTTCAGTTGTGTGAATAAGCGGGGAATAAAATACGCTAAAATGGAGTTTTACCGATGGCCTAGTTTGACAGAATCAACTCTAGATCTAGATTCTAGATCTATATTGAAAGGATTCCGGGTAAAATCTTAGTTTAGCGTCGTAAATTCGGCCAAAACTAGTAATGTGGGAGAGAGTGAATTAATGAATATGTCATTAAATATGAGTATATTTTCGTATATTTTGATAAAGTATTATATATAATTGAATAATAGATCACCATTGATGGTTAAATCAAATTAAATTTCCTGAAATTAATTTTTATCAACCCTGTTCGAGATAGTAAATTTGCTATTAAAAACAGCAGCCATCTTAAGAAAATGTTATTGAGAGTAGCTTCCCTTTCATTTCTATTCATATGAAAATGTATTTAAATATGATCGTCTTGTTGTATAGTCCATATTACAAAGCATTTTTTTTTAAATGTGAATTTCCTAACAAACAACTTTATTAATTCTAGAAGCATTGTGAGATGCAACTTGTATCCATGTATTAAATCACGTTTTTTTAAGCTAATGTTTATTTGATCTTACTATTACTAAATAGTTGTGAGTTTTTTCTTATTGTTTTAAATTTTTTAATGTTCACTATTTTCATTTCAGGTTTTTCTTTTCATCAATTAGTAATTCTATCGTAACTTATGACATTTTTTTTTACTTCTCTTTACCTTAATTAAACCCCAACCTCCGTCATATTTTTGTCGTCAATGTCACAACAAGTCATAATGTAAAAAATTACGCTTCCCTCTGCCTTATCTAAGATCTCTAACCATAATTTTGACAACATTAAATGTTTGTCATCATTTATATATACAGAGAGACAAAATGTATTATCCACCAGCTTCCCTCGTAAAACATCATCTAAAACAATGAGCCAGTCCACCCCTTAAGTGCGTGTTGTCATTATGGTCGATTGCAAGTCTCCACCTGCCAGACACATGTTGGCTTTGTTGTCAAAATGTCAATATCAAGTATCCAAGTGAGTGCTAAGGGGTTGTCCATAAATGATGTCACATATGATTTGCTACGGGAGTGAGTGAAGATTTGTGACGTCAACTCAGGCGGCTCCGCAAATTATGACGTGTCGGTCTCATGAAAGGAGGTGAACGGGGAAAAATACCTAGATGGTTGATGGAGAACCTCTCTAATGCTTTGTTCAATCAAAATAACGATAAATAAGCATTAGTTTACGTATACCTTGCTTAAAACGAATCATCACAAATGTTGCAAGCCTGCTAGTTTAAGACATTTGGCAAAACGGCCTCAACACATTATCCCCGTCAAAAAGACTTGCCACCAAATGCCTGCCGACGAATAAGCCGCGTCTAATGCGGGGCGTTAGGAATACGGCCATTAGCATGGGCCGCGTTAGAGCACCAGTAGGCTATCGCGCTTTGTAAGATGACGTAAATACTTAAATTCAATTTCGCTAAACTGCGCGAAAATTTAGTAATGTTCCATCGTTTGAGGAAATTTATTTTCTTGGACTTAAACTTAAATTGAAATATCATGTTGACTGTCTGGCTCTTAATTTCCGAATATCACTTTTAATGTATCAAGATTCAGAACTATTATTTACTTTAATATAAGTGTCATCTTATCGTTTATTGTGGTTTTTATAAAGCGCAGAGCAGCTACAAAATCGGACGGCCATCCTGTTTTCACCAAGCTTCTTTTGGAGCTTAATATGGGTAGTCTAGTTCTATACGGTGTGAGCTTAATATATTTTTAAAGGGCCGAAAGTATCAAGATAGCAAGCTTGCAGAAATAACTACGTACGTTTAAATGGACGAGTGATAGATGTGTTAGGGCTGTTTAATGAACACCAACTTATGTAATCAAACTAAACGTCGCAAAAGCGTCAAAAAGGCAGTGCTTGTTTTTTTTCTATAAAATTAGCCTAACGGTCGGCGGTACCGCTACATGACGTCACGTGCGAGCGTTAACTCGGTGACGATGTGCTAAGTGGGGGAATGAAAAAGGTAGGGTTCAAGAAATGCGACTCGGCAAGCTTTTTACATTTCTTGACCCTTCTTAATAGTTCTTTCGTCCCCACTGAGAAAATGGATCACCAATGAATGACGCGTCATACTTCTACAGCTGGTCTTTCTCCCACAACCATCCCGTTTTCACAACAAAAAAAACCTGACCCGTCTCCAAGATCACATCGCTGAGTTCTACTCAACCTCTCCCCACCACAAATCACAATTTCTATCTGAAACAATATGTTCATATGTTTGCTCTGTAATAATGCACGCTTTCATTACTATCTTAAGAGCGACGTCATTTATGAGCGATCTAATATTGATTTGCTTACTCCAAATAAAGTGTTCAAAAGTTCGACCTCCCAACAATTGTTGTGGTCTTGGATGCACACTTTTTTTGACGATTTTTACCCCCCCCCTCCCCTCCGTCACACGTCGTCACAAAAAGCCAGACCCCCCCCCCCTAAAATGACGTCACACCTCAGCCTACAACCCCCCCCCCCCCCCTCAAAATTGCAGTTGAATTTTTTTTAAACAGCTATATTTTTCCAAAATCTTGTCTGAACTCTGTCAGAATAGAGTATTTTAATCAATTGTTATTACAATGTATTAAAACAGTTTTTTAGAACGCAAAATAACGTCTAAAATTCGTTTTGTAACATTGCTTTTTTAAAATGCAAAAGTGTGACGTCGCACCATCTGAACCCCTCACCCTCCCCCTCATCACACAACGTCACAAAATTACGGACCCCCTCCCCCCTACGAGTGTGACGTCATTTATGGACGACCCCCGGCATATATTAAAACAATACAAAACAATCATATTAAACCACAAAATCAACACAAAAGACATGCGAATAGACAATTTATTGTTTTTAAAACATGGCCGCTGCTTGTATTTACTCATTGTTGTCTCGAGGGGGGAGTTTAAAGTTTATTCCAGGATATTTATGACTGGTTTGGTCTTGGATTGTGATTTGTTATTCAATTATCTGTTATGTTATGTAAAATATGACATAAATATTAGTCTGGCGCATTGCTTAGATGGCAGGATTGACCTCTGACCCTGAAACGTCACGCATCGTTTTCTGACGGTTTTTCCGTTTATTTTAGGGGTCCCATCCACGACAAATGAAAAAACTGTTTATATCGCAAATTCTCATCATTATTTTAATGCAAATTGCTAATAAAATGGATAATATGCCTTAGAATGCCAGAAAAAATCGCAAGATTCGTGGTTGTAAATAATGAGAGGATTTCTAGTGGAGCACTCTCCGTAAAAACTGAACCGCCGCCAAAAACGACCGACTAACGGGGAAAACGGCTCGACTAACTGTACATTAATATATAATTGATATATTTATCATGTATATTTACAGAATTTTTGATTACTTTTTCTAAAATCTTCCTCGAGGATGAGGTACCCACGCTGACATTTCTATCCGCTATTTTAAGTATCATGACGTCATTGTTACGCTAGTTGCCAGACTGAAACAACTAGTTTTTGTTTTTTACGGAATGAACTGTTAAGTCTAGTATTTTAATTATAAATCAATTGTAGCATGTGTGGAAAAAGTAAAATTATAGACATTATTATTGTATTAGTAATTTTATTAGTATATTGATTTTTTCTTCACTGTGGGCCGACCGTTGCTGCATTCGTGACCGGTGGTTGACCTCGTCAACGCCGCGTGGCCTATTCGTTTATATAATCAGTGTTGCTCGTTCAGTGGCCTTTTTCAGAGCTAGGCCTAATTACGGGCGATTTTTAGACTTAATTGATTGGCCGTTAGCCTTTTTCATTGCTGCGTATTGTAAAAAATGCTCGTTCAGCGGCCTTTTTTTTTGGCGCTAAATAATCTGTTTACGGGCATTTTAAGCGTTTATTTATTTATTTTTTTAAGCTAGACGTAGATCTAGTTTAAAAAATATTTTTTTTATACAGCTGGCTGTCTAGCATGCCTGATATCCGAACTTAAAAAAAAAAAATGACCGAACTAAAAAAAATGACCAGAAGTAGGGAAGTAGGTCTCTTTTTCAATTTGCTTGAAGAAGAGGGGGGGGGGGGAGAGAGAGAGAGAAGTGAAGACACCGACCATCTCGTGTACGCGTGTTCATTCTATGACGTGTACTGTAGGCCTGCTGAAGTCACGGTGACCCCGCGACCGTGGTGGGATTTTTCATCCACAGGATAGTAAACATAAGCAAGCAATCACGCGAGTGACGATGTTTGGAGATTTTATTTTTAAAAAATCACATACGTCATGTTTTCAAGATGAAAAAAATGTAATGTAAAAAAAAAAGACACTAATACCATGTATGAACCTCAGCTGCCACACTGTTGACTCAATATAATGTGATTGAGTGTAAAATGTATTTGCATTTATAAACTATCTTAACTATTACTATCATATTATTTTATGCATATTTATTATTTAAAATTAGAATTTGAAATAAAAATATTTATTATGGTCGTTTGATTTATGTAGGTGTTCATTATTTCTTAAAATGGTATGAATAAAATGTAGAGTAGAATTTAATAAATAATAAAATAACTAGATCTAAGTTTTATTATCAACCAGTTGCTTTTTGTTATTTTCCGGTGAGTAAATGACCTAAGCTGACGCAATTACCGTGGCGGGAATTAAAAGCTCGTGCACACAAGTTCACGGCGTCATGTTATGCCGGTCCAGGAGCAAGATTCTTGTTTTGTCATTCATTTTCCATTCTAGCTAAATTTTCAAATTCTCTTTTTTCTCGTCAACCGAATAAGCTAGATATTTAAATGTGGTGTCAAATGTTCTCTTAAGGGGTAAGGAACTTAATGGTGTATTTGAAATAACAGAATATTTTATTTGAAAAAATCCATAATTCAACCTAATAAATAGATCTATGGCCAAATGAAAGAAATATTCATTAGTTACCTTCATCGCACATTACTAGCTACGTTGGAATTTACGACGCTAAACTAAGATTTTACCGGATTCCGAATTATTTAAGTTTAAAAAGTAGCCTACAGGTGCCAAAAATAATACAACGCTAGCTTTACTTTCGATAGAATGATCAGGTTTGTGCAGTTAATCTGTTATGAATTTTAAAAGCAAGAAAAGAGGTGGATCGTGATTTGTTTAAAGTTCTGTAGTTTAAGCTTTAGTAAAACATGTGTGAAGCTTCATGAAATAGTAAGATTGGACCCTTAACAATCTCAAACAAAATAGATGTTGATGGATTTCTTACCCTAAACTGGTATGTGCCTCCTTTATTGACGGCTTGAGAGTTAAAAGGAAGCAGTGTAGTCTCCCTTGGCCTAGCGAATGTAATTTTTATCTGACTTCCGGTTTTCTATTTATTATTAAATATTAACTAATAACTAGGCCCCTTGATCTAAATACTAAATACTAAACAGGCTTTAGACACATATTTGACTTAAGACTATACCGGTGGCCTATAGTTTAGGTCTAAACTCAGTATAATTTTTAGATTCTATTTGGGGGGGGGGGGGGAGTGTTATGCGGGAAAGGGGGTTGGAATTGTTTATTTCGTGATGATGTCGTGTGATGAGGGGGAAGGGGGGGGGTGTTCAAAGTGTGACGTCATTGTTACTTTTTTTTTTTTTTTTTTCTCTTAACAGTAATGTTAGAAGCGGAATTTTAGCCTTTCTTTCGCAGTCTTAAGAAGTTAAAAAGTCTGTATTTTAAATTGTTAATATACCTATAACTTATTCAAGAAAACTGCTATTTTGAGGGGATTTTTTAGGCTGGTTTAAACTTAGAAGTATTAAGTTGGTGTTGAAAAACTTGTTTTGAAACATAAATTGAGCAGGACTAAACCTATAAAAAGTCTTTGCATGTTTTACTGTGCCAACAAAATGGAATCCTTCACTTTGACATCTAAGGCATAATATGCTACTTATTAAATTAAGAGCTGTGTATGGATAATGTCATACTTAAAAATAAAAACAACAACCTATAATTTGTATATAATGCTATCAATGTGCAAAAATACACAAAGTAATAGGAGTTAATAAATGGAACTGCTGACTGTCATCTATTACATCTTGTAATTATTGATGTTTTAAAGAATGATACATAAAGCTTACACACTTACAGTGTTATTCCAAAGTTAGCACCATATGTAGATCTGGAGTGGTGCTTGATTGTGTTGAACACACAAAAGGACAAACAATCATAGAAATAAAAAAGACATCATTTATTGAATGGTTTTTCTTTTTCTCAGTGGCTTGATGCAGATTAGCTAATTTTTCAGCAAGATTGGCTCAAGTTTCCTTAGTCCATACTATTTGTGGCAGGTTTAAGTAGCCGAAACAATCTTTAACTTTAAAAGGCTGCATGTTATGCCTGTTTGGACAACTTACTTATTGGTAGATGAAACAATGTAGCATGGGTATTAAAAGAAAGGGGGTTAATAAGCATAGGAATAATAAATCAGTTTTAAAAATAGAAATACTATATAGACTGTCACTTTGTGGCGTAGATAGGTAGGGGCTTTTGTGTCACTTTCGATGTATTGATTTTCAATTTTATTATGGAATATATGTGGAATATGTACACAAATATGGAACGGCATGGCCAGATGGTAGAGCATACAACTGCTAACCTGAACGTCTTGAGTCTAACCAGCTCTGAATGGAACCTGTAAAGTAAAGGCAGCGGACCACACTACTTTTTCATATGCAAAGGTCACTAAAACAAGTAAACTCTACTTCACCTGCCCCATGAACCGTCTGTTTTGAAAGGGTACTTTACTATGTGCACAAATGTTCAGATCTTAGAGTCAAGTCTGTAGAATATTTGTACCTTACTCTGAAAAGTACCTGACATGTTGGGGAAGTAATGGCGACTTGGTATAGAATCCACCACAGTATCCCTTTATTTATATCCAATGTCAATGAGACTCTACTTTACCTGCCCTAATGACTGTCAGGTCAAAAAGCTTATGTTTACCTAATATTTGTTTAAGTATATATTTGGAATTTTAAAAAAAAAATTTCCTCTCCCCCTAAAAATCCCTCCTATGCCACACTCTCTGACTTAAATATACACTATGACCACGAGATGTAAGCTGCTCCCCAAAATATGTTTAAAATTAAGCTTCATTAACAACCAGACAATGATAATTCACTATAATATATTTCTATTCAATGGTTTTTTTATACCTGTAGGGCTTACTATGTTGAATTATGGGTGTGTTGCTTTTTCTGTAATAAATATAGAAAGCCTAGATAATGAATAAAATGGTAATGCAATTAAAAATGTTCCACACAAAAAAAGCACACAAAATAATTTTTTTACAATGTAGTAAATTGATAAACAACTGTTGCAATTTAATACAAATATAGGCTAATGACTAGATTAAAATAAATATAGTCATAAGAATAATAAGATACAGTATATAGAACTACACTAAAATACAATATTTAAAACAATACTAGAAACATAATTAATTAATTACATATCGTAACAGTGTTGAAAACCAAAAATGGTTTGTAAAAATTTATGTAGGCCATTTAACTCTAGTCTAAGCACTTGATTTCTGTAGGCATTAAGTGGAAAGAAATTCAAAATATTAACATGAAAATCACAGCTCATGTGGTTTACATAATCTTAAAGTATAAATTGTATATATAGTTTCACATTTATTACTGATATATGCATATTTTCAGACAAAATATTGCTTAAATGCAATAACTGATGTAAATTTATGACATCAGCAAATACATCACAGGAACAATGTACTTTCTGTAGTTAAAGAAATACTTTACAGAATATCTTCTCAGCAAGGTAAAGCTCAAAGAAAATTTCATAATTTTCATAAGCTATTTACATTAAGTACATCTACTAATGTATAATTAAAGATATTTATCAGCATTGTAAGTTTTATGTTTCATTTTTTCTGCATTTAAGTTAAGCAAAATACAAACATTTAATACAACTGTGAGTTTCTTTTATCCTCTTGATTGCACACACTAAAGAAAGATAACTCAGCTGTTGATGGATCTCCTAAACAACCATGCTCTTTTGAAGTTTTGATGTAGATCTCTAAATCTTTTAGCAAAGTTTTTGAATTTTTCCGACAATATGTCTCCACATCTAATAAAAGAGAAAATTATTTTTAAATAATCATCATATTAAGTGCTAATTTTAAATCTAATTCAAGCCATTCATAACAGTAATTAAGAAACTACTACAAGGTTTGTCAAGTAGACTTAGTATTATCTACAATATTGGCTATTTTAAATAATAAAAGTAAATGACAATGAGATACTAAACAGTAACTAAGCTTTATTATACTAATGAGAGCAGTTGTGTGAAAAACAAGATTCATTTTGATGTTATATAATCATAACTTTTCATAAAGCTGATGAAATAAAGACCCATACCTCGAATAACAAATCCAGAATCAGCAATTGTTTTGCCCTTTTTCCACAGATTGTAAAGTTTAAGAAACAGACATGCATAAACACTGTTCAGGGTGTCTATCACATTACCACACTTATTGCATTCCCTGCAAAAGTTGATAAATGTATTATAATACTTTCAAAAGATCTGTCAAAATTTATTACTGAAGAAATAAACTAGTAAAATAAAATTGGCCACTCGCCTATTGTATAAATCTTCTCGTAAAACTTGTAAACAAATCCTTGATAGATTTATTCCCATAACACAAAAAGGAAAGTTCTGTGGGATTTTAAAAATATTTCCAGTTACTATAAGAATAAAAAAAACAAAAGTTTAAATCCAAAGAAATGAATGTTTTGAGAAATGATAAAATATTATGATAAAATTCTAAAAAATGAAGAATGAAATTTTAAAATAGCGTGTTTTGTTGCATACAAAAAAAAATTAAACTCTCACAATCTATTGAATTTAAAGAAATGTACACAATTATCTAATTACAAAAGTTGAGATTCATTTTTTATTCACAGTAAATGACCAAATGTGCATAATCATTAATTCATCAAGTTTACATGTAAAATATGGCACCATCCAGTTAAGTGTTTTAAAACTCACTTGTGTAGGATGTAAAGATAGCTTGTAAACATCTCTTGCAAGATCTTTAGTTCTCTGGTCTCTTAAGAAAAAAAGCAGCTGTGCTAAAGCTAACATCCCAGTGCCTCTAAGGTCTGTAGCTGGATCATTACCTGTAGAGTAGTGATCTTTCAATTGGCTTTTTGGTTAGGAAAATGTCTACTGGAATGCACATCAAATAATCCCATTTAATCCCCAAGTAATTAAACATGTAGCTTTCCTGCCTGATTAAATTATTGAAGATAATTGACTTTTATAACAGACTGCATAGTGAAATGAACTAATAATAAAATAGTAAAATAAAGTTAATGTTTTAGGTTAAAATATAATTAAAAATTATAAATATATTTATATAATTAATAGTTGAATAAATTAATATAACATAATACTGAGATGATTATGTTAATAAATATTTTTTTGCAATTTCAAGTCTTCGTCTGTTCAAAGATTATGTGTTTTGAAATTAAAAGTCTAGGGTATTAGGCTCCAGGTATTATTTGAGTGGAAACCATATTTATCAATATTCTAAACTGTAGTTTTATAACAATTTTGCTGATATTTTGTGAGATGCTATGGCCAGGTGGTGGGTTGGAGAAATACTAACCCACAAGACATATCTACACAATCTTATCCATTGGATGTCTCCACCCAGACTCATATTAAGGAAACTAAAGTGTTGCTCCATCTCTTCATATGCTAAGGTCAAGGAAACACCTGAATTATATTCACCTCCACTATTTACTGTCAGATTCCAAAGGGAAGGGTGTCTCTGCTTTATTTTTTTTTAGTAAACTTTAAATTTTAAAATATTAAAAAATGCTAGTCAACAGACAGAAAGTATGATTGCTAATTCCAAAAGTCTCAAGTTCAGACTTGGGCGGATATGACTAATTAGCTGGGAACAGCAACCCATCTAGGAGAGAAAAATCCAAACTCAAAAAAACTGCTACCTTGGATTGTTCTTTGGTGGACAAAGGCTTCGAAAGCAAATCTAGAGTCAACAGACCATATTATGCATAACATGCTGACATGTAATAAAAGTGTTGGAGTAAATTCCCTTCAATATTACAAATAAGAATGAATAAAAAATTACAAGTTAATAACAAACATTAATTTTAAAAAATAGCTGAAATGTGATTTAAGTAACAAAGTGACCTTGAAATCCTATTTCTTCCCAATGACTACCATAGCGTTGACAGTCAAACTTTGAACCAGTTAAGCAACGATAAATTGTTTGTAGAATTTGGTTGTGATTTACATTCTCATTATCAAATGGAGCTGGAAATAAAATTTATACATAAATACATAATCTAATTTTTTAATACTCAATAGATTGCTGTTCTCAATTAATCCATGTTTTGTAATTATAACTTCCAACTAGGCCTGATTGTTAGTATGTAGGCCCTATAGTTATTTATGTATATGTATATAAATATAATTGTGTATATTGCATGAATTTAATCTGTATAAAAGATAAATACTAACTTGCAGCAACACAAAACACTAAATCTCGCTGTTGCAATAATTCTCTGTGTAGTTTTGGGGGTCCAAAGAGTAAGTTTATAAAGGCGGAGAATCCTCGCCTCTCAACATGAGTTTTTATATGTTCCTAGAATTTAGTAGACAATTTAATGTTAGTTAAGGGGTTAATTTCACCATGACAAAATGTTTTTTAAATCTTGAATGGTTGGGCACAAAACATATTCATATTACAAAACATTTTTTTTTAAATTAAATTAATGAACATGATTCATATTTACCTGATAAACTTGGCAGAATTATCAAAATGTCATTTCTAAAAAAATGTGTGCTAGTGTGATATGACATAAAATGTTTGATTTTTGAGGATAGTTACTCTGCAATAAATAAAAACTTAAAATGTAAATATTACCCTGATTCCTGCATAATCAACAGAAGTAAAATGAGACCAACATTCAGAAAACACAGTTAAAGGCTTGGATTCACTAACTGCAACTAGAGAAAAATGTGTTCTTTAAATAATAGTTACATTTTGCTTTAATTACAACAGGCAAAATGCAAAAGAAATTCATCGACAACACGAACAGTGTATTTGTAATCATAAAATAGTTTCAAAATCTGTATTAAGCATAACCCTTTTTATTTAATAAAATTTTTATTTATTTTAATGAAGGTAAAATACATTACATTAAAAAAATTAGTAACACACATCTTACCTGTTACATTTTGGCCTGGTTTTGCAAAACCTAAAAAAAAAATTATCTTATTTCTGTATTTAATGTGTTTAAGTGTTTTGCTTAATTTATTAAATAAAATACCAGCAAAATTTGCTTACCTGGTTTAATTGTTCAAATAATAAAATACCCTCAAAATATGCTTACCTGGTTCAATTGTTTGAATATTTTCCCATTCATTATTTTTTGTTTCACTTGGATATGTATTAGTTGCTTCCCCATTTTCTTCAAACTGAAATATGCGATTGGAATAGCCGTGAAAAATAAGTTTTAAAAAAAAAAACACAATTTATGAGGTTTTCTTTTGCTTAGAATGATACCATTCTACATTAAGAATAATAATTGTTATACTCATTTTAAACTAATGATACTGTTATATGGGACGGAGTGGTCTAGCGGTAGAGAGCTGGGCTACTTACCCGTGAGTCTCGAGTTCGAATCCGGGTTCAAGTTAGTAGATTGTCCCTGAGTCCACCCAACTCTGATGGGTACCTAACTCACGTTAGGGAAAGTAAAAGCAGCTGGGCATAGTGCTGACCACATTATCTCTTCATATGCCTAGGTCACAGAAACAAGTGAACTCTACTTCACTTGCCCCATAGACCGTCAGGTTTGAAAGGGAACTTAACTTAACTGTTATACAAAATTGGCTATTTAGTAGAATTTGGAGGCAAAAGTTATATCCCATATAAATAGCAAAGGCAAATATTATTTACATGACCAAATGAGTTTGTTTCCATACATGTTATAATTTTCAACTTAGTTGTTGCAGCTCATTTAAAAAATACTATAAAAAATCTTGCACTTTTTAACAAAAATAATTTATTTTCTTGAAGGAATTTATTTTTCCATACATAATTTATAAATATTCCAAGCTTGAAATTTAATAAAAATGTTTGAAAACCTAGACCTTAGAAACATTTACATATTTATAAGGCTATACTCAATGACTCTAAATATTTTTGTGTTCGTAATAGATAGCAAATGAATCCTAAATTAAAAATAACTTATATTAGATACCACCAGTTTCTCCATCATAATACTTAATTTAAAATACTAACCTGCATCTCTGTCAATTGATTTTCATGATTAATATTTTTATTGTAGCTTTTAAAGTTTCCATTCTCAGTAACGCAATCAAACTGATCGCTGTCCTCCTGTATTCTTTGAGGAGATGAAGTAAAATCTGGACCTCCTTTTGATTCATAACTATCTGCAACTGTGACAGTTTTCTGCTGATTAATAGTCTCTAATTCTGCATTAATATTTGTGTGTAAACTACACACATTGTTTTGCTTAACTTCTGAAGGAACTGAAACCTCTGGAAATTCAAATTCATCTTCTAATTCATCCTCCATTTCACTTTTCATTTTTGTTATCAGAGAATCAAAAAGAGAATCTTTTTTACAGTCCTCAAATTCTGCGTTGTCATCTACTAAATGATTAATGTCATTAAAGTTTTTTTCTTTTTCTGCATGGCATTCAATTATTTCAGTTCCAACCTGGAAAAAACAATTATGACCAAATATTTTCAAAACATTTAAGATCTTAACTATACATTACTAAAATTACTTAGAAGAGCAAAACTTCTTACTTTGTCCATCTCATCTGAGATTATGCATGTTAAATCTTCTAAATCAACATCAGCACAGTATTGCAAATGGCTATTAACCATGCCTCTTGCACTATCACTATACATCTCTGTATTTTTCTCATCTGAGATTATACATGTTAAGTCTTCTAAATTAATATCAGCACAGTATGGCAAATGACTACTGTCCACATCACTGTCTCTTTCTGTAATTTTCTCATCTGTGATGATGCATCTTTTATCCTCTGGGTAAATATCAGCACAGTTTTGCAAGTGAGCATTAGCCATGCCTCTATCTTCATCATTCTCTGTAATCTCAAAATCCAGTTCATCAATTGAAACAGCAATATCACTTAATAGATCCATCTATTGAAAAATGTAATATTAACAATTAATAATTTAGTTAAGGTTTTTAATTTTTTTTTCTCTGAGCCACTTAAACTTTAGCAACTACTTATACACATATCGTCAAGTCTGGATAACACAAGCATTACGCAAAACAATTATAATACAAGTGAAAATGCTGAAGCTATGTTTTAGTAGTATTGCTTCTCTTACAACATCCCTGACATGAATCCTAACAAGAACAGTAACAATGACAGGGAAAAATCTTCATTAAAAATGTTCATGTCTGCATGTCTCCAATTTCTAATATAAAAGACTAAGTTATTCAGTAATTTAATTTTTTTATAAGCCTTCTTACTTGTATGGACTGTGATGTATCCATTGTAAATATTAATAAATCAGGTTTCAAAGCTAAAAAAAAACTGATAATAAAAGTAGATCTATGTACAGTGTATACAGCATAATGTAAGAGATAAGATACTAATTTTTACTTAGAGCCTATTATTTTATAATTAGTATAATCCTATATTAAATTAATATTTTAATTATAATAATAATTGAAAATGGAGCAAGATCTATGAATAAAATTTAAAATAATTTATTTTGTGTTTATTAATTTAGGATTAATTAATTAAGGCCTATGCCTATATTTATATTATTAATATATTGAAAATATTCCATAATATTATAATATTTAATAACTAAATAAATATTAAAATATTTTTTACTTTTAGTATTAACACATTATTAAAAGTATTAATTTACTGAATAATATTTATTATTTAGGCAATTAACTAATTTTATAATTTAGTTAAATTTAGGAATCAGTCTCACTCTGACACATCACTAAAACTAAATCTGATCAAAATCAAATCATCACTGAAAAGAATTTAGAAAAAAAAAACCTTGGTTGGTTGTATCAGTAATAAACTAATAAATAAGTCATTTATAACTTGAATATCGTTAAATAGATCTAGTATTTGCAGAAAGCGGTTAACTTTAATTTATGCGAATTTAAAGAATGTTTAGTGGTAGAACTATTTAATTTTAAAAATTAATAAGAATTGTAGGAAAGCGTCTATGGTAGCCATGTAGGAACCAGTTTATCTAAAAACCTGTGCTGAAAGATGCACCGAAACGTAAAAATCTATTCTAAAAAAACAAAATTGATCTGTTGTACTAATTAATTAGATCTAGATTCTAGACTCTAATTCATTTCATAGTCTCAAAAAATATACTTTAATTTATTATTCCTAAATTTCAGAAAACAATTTAGATCTAATTCTTTTTTTAATAAGTTACTTTACAAGATACAAAATTAATTATTTGAAAGTGTAGTTCAGATACACCTGCCCAGGTTTAATTTTAATTTAGACTGGAATATTGTTGTTACCTGGCACAGTTTGGGTTCGTTAGGGCCAACAAACACCAGCTTATAGATCTAGTCTAGATCTACATTGCCAAACAAATTTTTATTGCGTTCTAGATCTAGACTTCAACAATCTAGATTCTAGATAGAATAGAAATTAAGAATCTAAAAATACTCATTTGATTTTGATGTACTTAAAGTAGACTAGTAAGTAGATACTAGAATCTAGATCTAGATCTAGTGTACTGTCACTGTACTAATACTAGACTAGTACAGTAGTAGAATTTGGTCCAATGGACACCAGCGAGAAAAGTCTCAAAGGTATTTGAGAGGTGTATAAATTCATTTAAAAATCATGCACAGCGTAGTTACAATTAATATGGTTATAAAATCCTGTCTATCTGGTTTTTTTCGGACTTTACTAAAGATTGGATGTATTTGATGTTTATAATATTTTCGGTAACTAAATAAACATTAAAAAAAAAGCAAAAACAATTTGGTTTTCACGTGTAATGGCGACATAAACAATGGCATCCTGCTATTGGATAGGCCGCCATTGATTTTATTGTACACATTGTAAGCTAAAAATAGAAAACTAGGTCATGGGGTTTTAAATTTGCATTGTAATTTAAAAACTTGATCTGCAAAGTTTTGTAAACAAATAGTTATCGATCACTAAGTTACTGTACAGCCAATCAATATTTGTCTTACGAAAGTGAAACATCCGGTTATAACTTAGGCTTGATGAAAATAAATAGAAATGTAGCCTTAAACTCAACAAATTATTTTCAAGTTCTCTGGATTTGCAACTTTTATAACATTTATTCTAAAAATATAAAATTTCAAAATTAATTTTAGGCTTAAGTTTTTATTTTTTATTTTTTTTTACGGTCTAAATCTAAAAAGCACGTTTTTATTCCATGTCAACAACATTTGGGACGGAATCTCGTCAACTCGCTCGCCTCCATTTACTTTACTGACTGAATTTACTTTTAGGCTATTTCTAAACTAAAATTGAAATATTAAATAAAAAAGCCTAAAATTTGTATTTTACTGGTGCACAAAATTATTAAATTATAAACTCAAAATCAAGACAGTGTATCAAATCAACATCCCTGTATCTGTGTTTATAGAACAAAACCATTAAGAAATTTTCATTAAAATATGATTTTCACACATTAAACTAAAGGTTAGGCCTACAAAAACAATTAATATTTTGACCCTATTGATCTATTGCATATCACTTGACTTAATATATTATATAATATATGAATAATGATTTAATCAATTCATTGTCAGTGTGTCCACTGTTGTTGCCTTTCACTTTCAGACGCCAGTTCACAAATGAGAAATGCCTGGTTTCACCTTAACTTCTGCATGCATTGGCATTGTGTTTTTCTTGTATTTTCTTTATCTCCTTGCAGCTTAAGGAAGTGTTGTCTTAGTTTTGCTGGTTCTAGACACAACTTGAACTTAGCATTCAAATCATGCAGTTAGTACACTGACTCCATCTAGTTCTGTTATAAATGTAAATCCATTTGGTATATATTCGTTCGATCTCTTGTTTTTTTACTAGACATAGTTAGAATGAAGGGATTAAAATATTTAGAAAGAAATCACAAGAAGAACCATTATTGCAGTCACAAGTTGACTACTGGGCCAAAATATAGAAATAAAAAGTATGTTTGACACTGCACATAAAATTATCATATTTACATGATCAGCTGTGGCAATGACACTATTCATGATGTGTGTCGTGACATCAAGGGTTTCACACTATGAAAATGTCACAATACCAATATGTGTTATCCAGTGTTTTTTTTTTCAGACTTTTTCTCCGGGGAAGGGGGGGGGACACACACACACTAGTAAAAGAATACATTTTCACTCAGGCTGTCGGTAGACTTCTTGAGGGGGAGGGTGTCATAGCCCCCCCCCCCTCAAAGAGATGCCTTAAAGAAACTCTGGTGTTATATCACTCTAGAGCAGTGTATTATTATGTTGTGTTGTCATATTTGAACTGTCGTTGGTCATGGCTGCTGGTTTTATTGTCAGCACTGACAAAATCCAATTGCAAATCCTATGAGTCTGGTGTGTGTCCTTACCCCCTGAGACTGAATCACCCCTGGGTTCAATCGAACCCAAGTTAAGAACCACTGGTCTAGTAGTAGTTACTGTAAAATATTCAGCATACTGTAATCATCTAATGCTTGCAGTACTTTATAGTGGTGGTTACTAAAAAATATTCAGCATACTGTAATCAGTGTAATGCTTGCACTTCTTTAAAATTAAATGTTTAACTGTCTTAAAAATTAATTTACATTCCTACTATGAATTGATATGTTTAATATTTTGAGTCCACTTGCAAGAACCTACTGTGTCACTTAGAGATTAACTTAAATTACGCTTAAAGGGAGTTCTGAATTTTGTGATGATGTAAAATTTAGTTTTTCAATTTGTATCCGCCTAGCAAGTTTACTGTAGTACCAACTTTATCTGGTATATTTCATCACAATCTGCTAGAAAATTAGTAACATAATCTAGGCCTTATAATTTAATTTAATCATTTTTTTCCCCACTATGTCAATCAAATATTCAAATTAAAATTCCAAAAAGAGAATTGAATGAAATTCTCCACCTTGTCTTTTTTTTTTAGACTCAATGGGAAGAAGAGGCAGCATGAGAGGCCGATCAGGAATCGTATTTGTAGTTCTGTTTGCAGTTGGTCTCGTTATCTTTTATATTTCATGGAGGTCTTTAATTTCACCTGATGTCACCCCCAAAGATAATTTATCTCCCCAAATGAACCTTGGCATTAGCAGTAAAGACCTTAAAATCGGAGACAGAGCTTTTGTGATGAATAATAACAGAGAAAATCAACAAGTAAACAGAGGCTTTGATAATAAATTACAGCAAGATATTTTCTCAAACAAAGAGCTGTTACACCAGGGCAATCCACATAACAGCAGATATGATATTTTACCATCAGAAAATGATGAAAAACAGTCCTTGGAAAATAATATGTTTAGAAAGAAGGAAAAAGGGGTTCCGGAAGGAAATTATCGCACTTTTGATGAAATAAAAAGCCCTGTTAGTTCAATGAAAAGATTGGTCCACCTAGATTTAAAAGGAGCAGCACCAAAAATGAACTATTTATTGGACTTAATTCCAGTATTGTCTAAACTAGGAGCCACAGGTCTTTTAGTGGAATATGAGGATATGTTTCCCTACTCTGGAATGTTATCAAACATTTCAGCCTTGAACTCTTATACTGTGAAAGAAATAAAGGATTTCCTGGAAAAAGCAAATAGTTATAAAATGGAGGTTATTCCGTTAATTCAAACTTTTGGACATATGGAATTTGTTCTCAAGTCAGTTTTCAAGGATCTGAGAGAAACCAAAAGCACTCCTCAAGTAATAGATGTTACTTCTGAGCGATCTTATAAAGTTATAGGTGAAATGGTGAAACAGGTGAGTGTGTATATTTTTAATCTTAAGTCAATAACACTTTGCTGGTAGTCAGATACCTAAATAAGTTAATGCTGCATGCTTTTCTGAAAGACAGTTCTGCTAATGATCTTTATGTAGAATAGCAGTGCATCCTGACATTCTTAATATGCTAGTTGTAAAATAAATGTTACTTTCTGTATTTAATTTTTTTTAATTCATATATAACAATATCTATTCCAAAATAGGCCTACAACTTGACATGATTGGTTAAGATTTTAACACCATATATAGTTAAAATATTTGTTTTCAGATTTTGGCTGCTCATCCGAGTACTTCTTATTTACACATTGGTTGTGATGAAGCATATGAATTTGGTCGTGGTGCAAGTTCTACATACTTGATATCTAAAGGACTTTCTAAGCATGAAATGATGATAAATCATTTGGTAAAAGTAGCTGAAATAGTCAAAAAGTTTGGGGACCAAAAAGTTGTACCAATAATTTGGGATGATATGATCAGGGAAGTTAGCAGTGAATCAATTAAGGTAAAATTCTCATGATGCAATGATGCATTGCTTTTAATTATTGTTATATACATTTTAAATGTAGATCTAATTTCAAGAAAATCTTGCTTTTATTAATTTTGAATATTTAAAATATGGTTGTTATATTTCACATGGGCACTACATCAAATCCTAAACATCTTGATGATATAACATACACTGATAGAAATACTTAAAAACATTATTTTCGAATATTATAAAAAGCTATTCCACTGTAATGAAAAGATACATTATGTTAACTTTTTTATTATGTGTTTTAATTTATATTTAAGATATTTTCATTATTTATTTACAGAAAGCTGAATTGCCATCATTGGTTGAAATAATGGTTTGGAACTATGGGGATAATGTTTTTGACAGAGTTAACATGACCATCTGGAAAAAATATGCAAGTCTTTTCAAAAATGTATGGATCGCATCAGCTTTTAAAGGGGCATCTGGGAGCCGACAGTTTTTTGCTGAGCCACAGTACTACTTGAAAAATCATTTCAGGTTAACTCATTTTAAATATGATGCTTAAATCTGTTGTTGTTCTAGTTGGCTCAGCAGGAGGGTAAACTTTTTAAAAATAATTTTTACCTTTGTACTTTCATTATTATGGAACAGCATGATCAAAGGATAGAGCACACAAATACTAGCTCAAACATCTGGAGTTTGGTTCAGTCCACTCAGCTATGTTGGGTACCTTAATCTTATCATTAGCTGGTAAGGGGCTAGGCTATCACTTTATATGCAGACGCAAAACAGATTAACTTGACTCCTTATGTCGTTTGAACTTTCTGGTGTGAAGTATGAGTGGTGAAGGCATAAGGTTTGGGGGATTACGACTTCCTTCCTTCCATGGTCCCCCAGAATTAAGGTTGTCTCATGCTATGTTACAGCTGTTGGTGACTGTACTCATGTTGCTCATGTCTTTCAAAATTTGAACCATGATTATGTTACAGCTTTTGGTGACTGTGCTCATGTTGCTCATGTCTTTCAAAATTTGAACCATGATTATGTTACAGCTTTTGGTGACTGTACTCATGTTGCTTATGTCTTTCAAAATTTGAACCATGATTATGTTACAGCTTTTGGTGACTGTGCTCATGTTGCTCATGTCTTTCAAAATTTGAACCATGATTATGTTACAGCTTTTGGTGACTGTACTCATGTTGCTTATGTCTTTCAAAATTTGAACCATGATTATGTTACAGCTTTTGGTGACTGTGCTCATGTTGCTCATGTCTTTCAAAATTTGAACCATGATTATGTTACAGCTTTTGGTGACTGTGCTCATGTTGCTCATGTCTTTCAAAATTTGAACCATGATTATGTTACAGCTGTTGGTGACTGTGCTCATGTTGCTTATGTCTTTCAAAATTTGAACCATGATTATGTTACAGCTTTTGGTGACTGTACTCATGTTGCTTATGTCTTTCAAAATTTGAACCATGATTATGTTACAGCTTTTGGTGACTGTGCTCATGTTGCTCATGTCTTTCAAAATTTGAACCATGATTATGTTACAGCTTTTGGTGACTGTACTCATGTTGCTTATGTCTTTCAAAATTTGAACCATGATTATGTTACAGCTTTTGGTGACTGTGCTCATGTTGCTCATGTCTTTCAAAATTTGAACCATGATTATGTTACAGCTTTTGGTGACTGTGCTCATGTTGCTCATGTCTTTCAAAATTTGAACCATGATTATTTTACCACTTTTGGTGACTGTGCTCATGTTGCTTATGTCTTTCAAAATTTGAACCATGATTATGTTATAGCTTTTGGTGACTGTACTCATGTTGCTCATGTCTTTCAAAATTTGAACCATGATTATGTTACAGCTTTTGGTGACTGTGCTCATGTTGCTTATGTCTTTCAAAATTTGAACCATGATTATGTTACAGCTGTTGGTGACTGTGCTCATGTTGCTCATGTCTTTCAAAATTTGAACCATGATTATGTTATAGCTTTTGGTGACTGTGCTCATGTTGCTCATGTCTTTCAAAATTAGAACCATGATTATGTTATAGCTTTTGGTGACTGTGCTCATGTTGCTCATGTCTTTCAAAATTTGAACCATGATTATGTTATAGCTTTTGGTGACTGTGCTCATGTTGCTCATGTCTTTCAAAATTAGAACCATGATTATGTTACAGCTGTTGGTGACTGTGCTCATGTTGCTCATGTCTTTCAAAATTTGAACCATGATTATGTTATAGCTTTTGGTGACTGTGCTCATGTTGCTCATGTCTTTCAAAATTAGAACCTTGATCATGTTACAGCTGTTGGCGACTGTGCTCATGTTGCTCATCATGTCTTTCAAAATTAGAACCATGATCATGTTACAGCTGTTGGCGACTGTGCTCATGTTGCTCATGTCTTTCAAAATTAGAACCATGATCATGTTACAGCTGTTGGTGACTGTGCTCATGATGCTCATGTCTTTCAAAATTTGAACCATGACTGGTCAGGGCAGTAAAGCTCCCTGGGTAGGTGCTGCTTGATAGCTGGGGACAGCAACCCATCTAGGAGATAACTCCAAAATGCAACAACTGCTGCCTTGTAGTTTGTTCTTGGTTGGACAAAGACTATTAAAGCAAATCCAGAAAGAAAAGCAGGCTGAAATTTGAGTCAACTGCCTATATGGCGCATAACAAGTTGATATTAATTAAGAACAGGGGTCTCCAAACTTTTCAGTCCGAGGGCCGCATTAACTATTAAATTTCAGTTCGGGGGCCAGTTTCTTCCAGGCATGTAGTGACGTTCTGAGCAAGTTCCTCAGCCAACTCCAACAAACGTTTTTTTTCCGTGGACAAAAAGATCTCCGCGGGCCGGATGAGAGGGCCTCGCGGGCCGCATCCGGCCCGCGGGCCGTAGTTTGGAGACCCCTGATTAAGAACAAAGAAAAACCATGACTAATCATGACTCCATTATTGATTACACTCCTATTTCTATATTATCCCTGTGAATCGAAGAATTTGATATTGTTTGCCCTTATATAAAAACGTAATTCTTGTCCTTTTTTTAGCTGGCTAGAGGTGATTTCTGCTTTGACCCCGGAAATGAGGTTCAAGGGCATGGCTTTGACAGGCTGGTCACGTTACGACCACTTTGCAACTTTGTGTGAGCTGCTACCTGTCAGTATTCCAAGTCTGGCTGTTTGTCTTCAGACAATGCAAAATGCAGGATTTACTCCGGTATAGTGACTTAATAATTTAATAGTTAATAGTTTTTTTCATTGTGTTAAGGGGGGGGGGGGGTGTCATTCATTTTAGACTTCTACAAAAAAAAATTTAAGTAAAATCAGGTTGTTGTTTTTTTTTCCATTTATAGAAATAATAGCTGCTTGATTTATATTTTTATAAGAACTGTCATTTAAATGTATGCTGGTTAAAGGTTTTGTGTTTGTTGTAGCATATAAGTATAAAGATGATTTCTATTGATTCACATGGACATGATGCACAGCCACAAAAATCAACTTTTTCAGACTCAACCCTCTCCATGTGTGCATTATAAATTGATTAAAAATGAATTCTATTTGAAAGTTTAAATTATTTAAATGATGGTTATAATTGGCACTTTTTGTGTTTGTAAAATATATTCATAGATACTTTAATCAAATGTGATATGGCTTTGTTTAGCTTGAGCCATGGTATTATAGATTAACTACACAGACATTATTACTTCCTATGCTAAAATGACTTTAATTGTTTTATATGTGCCGTTTAGTCTTAGTTGGAGTCTTTCTGACACACTTTGTTTCCATGCTCTAAGGACACAGCAGTCAGAACTGTTCTTGAGTGATGTTTATATTTGAATGTGACTGTTTTGCCTTTTCTTTAATTGATTTTTGCTAGACCACAAATAAATATATTTAGATGCTGTTTCATATTATTCATATGACACATTAGTTAATTAGCTATTATTCATTACTCTTCTTTTTCTGGCTATTGTTACTTTGAAGAGTTTTAACACTCCACACCACAGGTACCAAAGGCTTCTTTTTACTTGAACTTGCACAATATCTTAGGACCTGTTTTATTCCATACTTTATTAACTAGCATTGTACTTTGTGTTTTTAACTAAATCTCTTAACATGACCACATTTATTCATTCTTTTTTCTTCAGGATATTCATTCAAATGCAAGCAAGATAATACAATGTGATTCTCTAATAGAAATGGGTGTTCCAAAGATAGATAAACATACCAAACTTCCAAAGATTACTCAAAGTTGCAGGTATGGTTCTTATATTTAATTATAAATTTAAATATAATCAAGTGCACATATATTATATATATAATTTAAAATTGTTTTTAGCTCAATTACAGCTAGTCAATTGTTCTTTCTTTTCTTCACCTAGATAATATAGTAATTTAGTTATCAATACAATTACTAGTGCTTTCTTAAAAAAAAACGGGTGTATAGAATCCTTGCCGTAATATTCTTATTTAGATTTCCTGGACACGAGCTTTACCATTCAGTCCAAGAGCTGTATGCTTACACAGAGATGAGTCAGAAGCACAGGATTGATGGCTGGTTGTCTGATTACCAGTTAGCTCACAATTTTTCAAATCCTGGTCAGCTTACTGTGATGAGTATGGGATTAAATAAGCAGAGGAATTTTTACTTGCAAGTATCAGTACCATTAAAGTTTTATCTTAGTAAGTACTTTGCTGATGATGTGGTAGATGAATGGATGGATGAAAATGTGGAAGAAAGAAAAAGATATATTGATGAACTTCAGAAAAAGATCCAGCGTTTGCTAGTACCTAATGTTTGGAGTCGGCACCCTCTTCCACGTGTGCAAATTGCTTTGCCTTTTGATAATGGACTCTCAAAATTCGGTTCAAAACAGAAATCATCCATCAATGGTTTTGAAAAGCAAAGAAATGCCCAAATGGAAACACAAAGTTTGAATTTCTCTGAGAAGAGAGAGAAAGTGAAATTAATTAATGCAGATGAGAGGCTGAAAGAAAATGAAGTGACCAGAACAGAGGATAAGTATAGTTTGGTAAAAAATGACACAAGGTATTTAGGAAGAAAGTCTAGAAGATTTCCTGCAAAACAAAACATTTCTGCTAATAACTTTCAAGACATAAGCACTCCAAGTCAGCCAGTTTATAGTAAATACAAAGACATTATTCAACCAAAACTTGATGAAGATATCCCAAGAAGTAAGGATAAAACGGGCAAGCCTTACAAAAAAAGGAAAGAAATAAAAGGGTATTCAGGGTCGATACAAAATGAAAGGCGTGCAAAAATGAACAACATACCAGCGCAAAAAGTGAGAGGTGCTGCTGTAAGCTCTGATGCATTAAAAGAGGTTGAGGAAGCAAGTAAACTGTCAAACTAACATTTGGGCAAAGTAAATATTATGTAACCATTAGATTAGTGTTGTAAACAGCTATCAGGAAATTTTTGTAGTTAAATAACTGTCACAGTAAAATATTGAAACTGTTGTACTGTAATGCTTGCACTTCTTTAAATATTAAACTGTCTTCAAAAATTAATTTACATTCCCATTATGAATTGATATTTGATATGTTTAATGTTTTGAATGTCACTTTAGATTAACTTAAACACAAGAAAGGTAACATCAGGTTAACCTTGTACTAAGTATCTGGAATCTCTCTAGCCATCAAAATAAGCATACCTTTTTCAGAAAAAAAAGTATACCCTACTACATTATAAAAGTTAGATTGACATGTCCTAGAAGAGCCTAGGAGGATAGTCCATTTTTAAATTAACTGAACAGTTGAAATTACTGTTCATTTGTGAGATTATAGATGTTTTTGCTTTGTTCAAGAAGTAATGCATTGTTTGTTAATATTATGTTTTTTAATGTATTTTATGCTTCTTACACTATGCTTATGAACAAATGCATAAGATTTTTAGTTCTGGACATAAAGTGAACTTATAAAGTGAAAAAATGAGTAATTAACCATCCATGTAAATATTAGGTGTTGTGTAAAAATCAGCTTATGTACTTTTTGTACTCTTCGCTTCTTTGCAAGGTCTGTTTTTTTTTTAAAAAAAAGATAAAGTGTATTGTGTCATCAGTATCGGCTATTTAAAAAAATGTTTAATTTATCTTGTTGATACTTTCTTCATATGCCTAGCCAGCTGCAAGAATTTTGACAAACACATAATGTAAATATTTAAATCATAACAAATTCAAACTTAACATTTGATGCTGACAGTTAATTGTTTCAGAATGTTTTAAGTATTTTGATGAAACAGTGATTGGAGAAATTAGATGAGAAAGGTTTTTTTTGTTTACCTTTCTTCTTAGATAGTTTAACCCTTTCCCCGGCAACATATTTGGTACCCTGTCCCCGGCAACTGGGTGGATCACACCCAAAGACTTTCTTATAGTAAATTCTTGTCTTTGTTCATTGTGGGGTGGGTAACAATACTGACACAGTTGAGGTATTCAGGGCACAGAGGCCATGGGGAACACAAGACATGTTGTTGTCAATGGGACAGCTGTAATATGATACTACAGGTTGATGGGATTCTCAAGCAAGAGTTAACTTGTGGGTGGACACATGTAGTGATTTATACTCTTTGCTGGAGCTCTGACTTGCAGTTACAGACAGAACTGTAGTTTAGAGTTACAATAGGTTAATGAAATGCAGGGGTAAGATTGCCTGTGGGAGGACATATATAGTGATTTGTACTCTTTTAGGGAGCTCTGGAATGTAGATAGAGACATTCGAGCCTTTTAGAGTAACTTGACATTTACCTCATTTGGAGTACGAATGAGGACAAAAAGGCAAAACAACTTTGTAATGCTGCTTGTAAGTTAATACTGGGCAATTAATTGATCAAACTGGAAGTGGGGTGGGTGTTCTACAGGTTGTGACCCTGAGAGTAAGGTTTATAAATAGTCACAAACGTTATTGAGAACACAACAGAAACAAGTCTTGAACGCTTTTGTCTAAACTCAAGTGCTAATGATAAAGGAATATATTTGCCAGATTTAGTATAGCAGGTGAAAATGACCAACAAGTTTTGAGTCTGAACTATTAGTATCAGAGGTAGAAGATGAAGAATGGCAGCCAACAGTATCAAGCAGCTCTGATGACGAGGTCTACCCAATATACTGCATTTCAACTATCAATAATGTGTCAACAGTTGGCACTCATAATGAAATGAAACGGCTGGTGCAAAGTGAAGAAAAAGAAATATTTTCAGGAAAGACAAAGTAACAGTACACTAGATCACTGCCTGAAGTGCTAATCTCAGGAAATTTATAAACAGTCTGACCCTAAATATTTCTTCTGTTACAAAAAATAATACAACCAATATTTGACTGCATTAGCAGAGATGGAGAGAAAGCAAGAGGAGACACTGGCACTCTGCAGAATAACAATTTAGTTGTATGTCAATACAGTTCTGCTTATGGAAGTTTTTGAAGGCAGAATTTTCTATGAAGAAATTCAGCAACCTTCTGGGTCATATTCACTTTCACAACAATAACACTAACAGTCCATCACGCTCATGGTATATTTGCTTCCATTATGGTAGATATTCCATTCAAATTTAGAAAGGTGTTATGTTTCTGGAGAGATCATTACTAATTAGCAAGTGGTTGATTTTAGAGTTGGGAGTAGATTTATCCAATACATACAAAGCAATTCCGATAAGTATGGAATTAAAATATTTTGGCCATGTGACTCATGTAACACCACTAAAAGGGTGCCCATATTTTATAAAAAAAAAATAACTTAAGTTCCCTGCCAGCAAAAGGAAATGTCCAGTTATTTTAACTAACAACTGTGCTCTCTGAGGTGCAAATTTTAAAACGTGTTAATGTTCTATTATTTTGTTACTAAAGTTGATTGCTTCAATTGGTTTGATATTTTTGTTACTCAAATACCTTCAGATTGTTAATTTATAGTTAAACTTTGAAAATGTAACATAATGACTTAACCCACAATGAGTAAAATCAAATTGTTAGAGGCCAGTTTATAAGTTATAAATATTTTTTCCATTCAAAATTGTGTACGGGTGTGTAGCACCCAGTTGCCAGGGACCGTATAAAAAAAATTCAAACCCTCATAAAAAAATTTTTTACGCATATTTTTAAAATTTACAACCTCCAATGTGTTCATCCCAACCACCTTATAGATGGGAATGAGGCCCAGAAAAATTTATAAAACGAGACTCAAAATATGAGCAAAAATATAGCGACTTCGGGTCGATTACACCCAGTCGCCGGGGAAAGGGTTAATGTGATATTTCTGTACAATATAAAATTGATTTTCAAAGTAGCCAATTACAAGAGCAATTCTAGACTGATTAACAATGTTTCTTTGTATACAAAAGCTTTTGCTGATATAATTTGATGTTGCTTTTTTAAAATTTAAATTTGTAATGCTTTTTGCATTTAATATATTTGGCTTATAACATGTATTAATTTTTGACTATTCAAACAATTTTTGTATGTTTTTTTAAATATTTGTTTTTTCCACATTCCATTTTGTTTCAACAATAAATATTTGTATTAAAGTTGATGATTTGTTGTGTAAATATATAAAAGTAACATTTGTTAGCAGTTCAATCCCTGCTTCACAGAACTGAAGAACCAATATAATTATTGCTGACCTTACAATCACTTGATACTTCACTGGTTGTAGTAGGTTTAACTTACTAACCCTTGCATTATTGATGATGAAATTGTTCATCACATTGCTTAACCCCAAAACATTAAAAAAGTGACTAGCTAATTTGTTCAACAAAAAGAACAAATACTTTAAAATTCTTCCACTTTATTATAATACCAACAAAAACAATAACAGAAAAAAAATTCATTTGACTTCTAAAAAAGATTTGTTAACTAATTACAAATGTTAAATACTGTGCACTTATTTATAACAACCTTTTTTTGTCTGTGATTTTTAAGGAAGGAGATAAAGCTATTACAAGCATTCAGTCTCACCACTATTGTTTTACTAAATGTTTGACATTTATGACCAAATCTTGTATGCAATTCATTTATTTTTGGGTCCAAAGATTTAAAAAATAAGCTCGATAATTCAAATGTAAAAGTTTTTACTAAACATTTTTATTGCCAATATGGAAAACGCAACTAAAAATTGACACTTTTATTCAAAAGTCCAAAAAAGATAAAAATGTTGACAAAAATTTGCTGTGTTAAGAAAGAAAGCAGACTGCTACTAAAAATAAAAGTTACTTTAAAAATGGGAAAAATGTAAAGGTTAAAAAGCTTTCTATTTTTCTCTCATACAAAATAGCAAGAACAACTGCCATTAGGCTTTTATTTTTGCACGCCATACTGAATCATTTCAGTCCTCTATGAGAAGGTGCAGAAGCTGTAGGAGGAGGTGGAGGGCCTTTCTGATACAGTTCATCAATATGGGAGAGAAGAATCTTTCTCCTTTCATCTGGTACACATTCTAGTGTCAAAAACCGCTTGTCGTTCTGGGGGGAAATAAATCTTAATGAAGTAATTCTAGTTCACCTTAAAATGAATTATTATAATCATTTATTTATTAACTATTATAAATAAAAATAAGTTGAATAACATATTAACTCACCTCTAGGACTTTTTCTATATCCTCAAGATGGCCTTCAGTTTCATCTAAAAATTTCTTAGTTCTGAGAAATTATAATAAAAATATACATTATAAATTTTATGTTTGTAAAATATTAACACTATTCAAAACAGGTCTACTGTGTGTAAAAAAATAATTTATAAATATCCAATAGTGGTAAAATAAATTTAAAGCTTACTTGTATGTGATTACTTTAGTCTCACGCAATAATTCACGAAAATCTGCTTTGGCATTCACAAATTTTTCATGCATGTACTCCGTGAACTCTTTCTCTCTTTTCTATTTCAAAAGAAATTTAAGTACAATATTATGTTAACAAACTATTTAAGATAAAAATTATTATGAATTTTTAACAAGTCACATTTAAATACAGTAATTTATCCTTAAAAAAAAAATCAACGTATTTTCTTACTCGATCACTTGAAGAAAACTTGCTGTATCTAGGATCCTCTTTGATTTGCTTTTTAACTTCCTTCCAGGTGGATGTCAAAGATATCTTAAAAATAATAATGCAGTAATTTAAAATTTAGCTACAAATAAAAAAATTTGGGGCAGAAATTTTTAACACAAACATGCTTTACAGCATAATTTAATTTTAATTGAAGACAAGTAAATACTATTTTAAAAATCCAAAGATATATTGGAATTTTATTTTCTCACAAGTGTATGTGGCAATACAAAAACCTGAATTAGCCAGCTAAACTAACTGACAGAATAATAAATTCAAATAGCATCACTTAGAACCTAGTAATTCTAATGTAGCAAATACTAAATGTTAATCAAAATAATTCTTCTGAACTGGACAATAATTTTAAAATCAAAGAAGAGATGATAAAAGGTTAATAATATAAACATTTTTTGCAAAGTATTCTTCATTTGTGTATGTTAAAATATTAGTGAAGAAAACTTCAATTCAATTTAAAAAGAGCTGTGTCAAGTAAATTCTTAAAAACCGATTTAATACCTCTGTTTCATCAAGCAGAGAATGAAACATGGATCGATTTCTCTTGTAGAGACCTTCAATGTGAGTGTCAAACAGTTTTTCCTTTTCATCTCTTTCTAAGGAATCAGTCAACTCCCATCTATGATCTTTACGAAGTTGTTTGCGAGTATCCCTCCAGGTAACTTCATTATTTCGTACCTGAAGAAAGAAATGAATTGAACTGTATTAATGATATTTTGGGGATGGCATGGTCGAGTGATACAGCATTTGGCTGCTAATCTAAAGGTCTCGGTTCGGATATGTGACTGTAGGACTTCTCTTAGTCCATCTAGCTTTGACGTGTAACTTACGTTGGGGAAACAAAGGCGGCTGGGCAAAGTGCTAAACATTATACTATTGGATGCCAAGGTAATTAAAACAGATTACCTCCACTTCTTCATCTGCCCCTTGTGTCATGGGAACGAATTAGAAAAGATGATTCATAATTTACGCAGTAAATTTATAAAATTATTTTTTGAAATCTAACATTATACAATGTAGTGAGACATGGTATTTTCCAGGTATATAAAACTTTACACTAGAAAAATTAAATTTTAGGCAACAACATATAACATATAAGCAATAAAACGCTATTATTTATGAAACTTGTTTCGAAAGGTTTAATAACAAAGTTATAGCAGTGGGAAGCATGGTCAGGCAGGTTAGTACAAGACTGCTAAAAGACACAAGTTCAGAGCAAGGGCAGATGCGGAAGGTTGCAGATTGTTCTTGGGTGGACAAGACTATGGAAGTGAATCCAGAAAAAAAAAGAGAGGAAAAGACCGAGTCAATAGGTCAAATGGTGCACATGTTGACAAGTGATGCTTGTGTTGAAGAAAATTTCAATATTAAAATTAAGAAGTGCGAGGTAGAAGAAAAAAGTTACAGCAGGGATATAAAAAATGCTTACCAGATCTGCAAGTAGGGCATTAAAATGCTGGATAGCTTCATCTTTTTTGTGCTGTTCTCGTTCTTTATCTCTTTCTCTCAATGAGGATGACAATGACTGCTTAACTTCCTCTTCCCTTTTCTTAATACTAGCTTCAATTCTTTCTTGCTTTTCTCGTTCTTTGCGCTCTTCGTCTTCTGAGTTAGCCTAAAGACAGTGAGTAATTGATTTAAAAACTTGTTCCTAAATGAGGCTGATGATAAGCCATTTTATTAAATGAACTAAAAGACATACCTCATCAACTGTTTTGACATATTCTTTGAACCAATCTTCCCTACGGGAACTGCTGTCAACTGCCTCATAACGGGGATCAGAGTTAATCTTTTTCTTTATTTCACTCCATCTCGAATTGCGCTCAATTCCAGATGTTTCCTTGAGCAATTTAATGAAGTCAGACTTCAGCTGAAAGGAAATCATTAACATTGAAAATCTGATAGGTAAATTTATATATTTTAAGAAACAAAAAATTAATCAAGTTCATATTTTTTAAAATATAAGCTTAAAACAATATCACATGACCTTACTAAAACAAGTTTAATGTGTCATGCTTGCTTGAACTTTTTAAGTTATAAGCTCTTGAATATAATTTAAAAGCAAAAATATTTGATAGTTTTAAAATGTTTGGTATTAGTTTTCAATCTTTATGTTCACTGCAAATACAATCATTAACTAATACAACTAAATAATTAACTAGTCACAAAAATATATATATAAATAGACAAAGCAACTTGTCTTTGACAATTTCTTATCCTTCCAAGAAGTAGTAAAGACAAGCACTAGGATAAGATTGCATTAAGACTGCAAGCTTATACCACACAACCCAAAATATGATTAGCTTTGATTCATAAATCAATTGATCTTTTATTTCTTAAGGTTAAAATGTTTAAAACAAAGTTCAATATTATGTATTAACTGCATTTTCAAAAAAAAACTTGCACGTCCAAATGCAAACAAATAAAATGGATCAATGAAATGGCATTATACTTTATTGTGACAATGCACTAGAGAGTTGCCATCTCATTTTATTTTGTATTTGTAATGGAACAACCTCACTCACAGATCTATACATAATATTAAAATAAAGTATCTAATTTCCATTCATTCCTACGAACCAATCATACTTCCTGAAATAAAAAAACAATTTAAACAAAAGCAAATCATTATACACAAGACCTTGGTTAATTCAATTGTGGTTTTCCAATTACTTTTAAAAATAGAAAAGATATTTTAAATAGTAGTTTAATATTAGCCCTTACAATAAATAAGGTAATAACCATTATCATTTTTAACATGCCTATTGCATGAGATGGCAATAGCAAACCAAAGGCAAAAGAAGTTTTATAAGCAAAATCATATCAAAACAATGTTATACTGTGACTGTTAAAAACTCCTTAGAGTAAAAGTAAATCCAAAATTTTGAATATATATATCAACAAATTTTAATAATCTGCTTACAATTTACATTTTGCTTTTGTTTATGCTTCATCTCCAGTGCATATCTCTAAAGAGACATTACAATTTTTCTCAAGTAAACAGAAATAAGTAGGGAAGACAGAAAGACAACTATGGTCATGTAGAGAAATGTTAAAGGATGACAAGAAAAGTAAATAAAATTATTGGTGCTATATACCAGGTCAGACCACCACATAGCGAGCACTAGGTTTCCGCACCAGGGTCAAATTGCACTGGCAACTGACCAGGAGTCATATCAACCATGATGTCTACAGCTGCCTGATGCAATCTTCTTCTTCTTCCATGGGGGAACACAAAGTTTAACAACATTAGAATATCAGCCAAAATAAATAGTTATTTACTCAATGTTCATCTAATTCAGCTCTGAAAAAAATTTATTTCAAAAGGCAAAAACTTTTAAGTCAATTTGCCAAATATTTTTAAATATTTCATTTTCAGAGCTGATAAATATCGGCTTTAATTCGTCATAAAATTAATGTAACCATAAGTACTTAGGATTAGAAAAGTATGAAGAAAATTTAGGAAATTGTTGATAAATATACATATCTAAGATAGAGATATCTAGCATAACTGTCTGAACATAAATTTAAACCTTTAAATAACAAAATATTACGACTAGAAATGATCAATCTAATCAAGTAAATAATATTTATCTTAATTTTAGTGCAATAACCTACATCTGCATCAATATCTTTACTTATTTAACTGAACATGTGAACATTTTAGAATAGGGATATAAAGAATATGGCTAGTTTTTCTATAGCTTTAAACCCTCTTCTAACAATGTTACACATGCATAAAGTTGAAACAAGGATAGAATAATTCAATCTTCTCTCAATTCATAAGACTTACGAAAAGATGAGAGCAGAGGGCTGAAATAAAATTATTTTGCAAAACCACAAAGAATGATATCTAAATTTACAAATTTAAGTGAATTTACTATTTAAATATGTTCTATATGTTAAATAAATACAGTTTTAAAAAACGATGAATTAGGAAGACTGAATGAGACATCTGGTGCTGAGGAAAAATGTTTAAATTAAAAACATACATGTGCTAGTCACCATAAATTATCATTTTATATATAGCATTCAAACAAATTCCAAATATTTTTATAAGAAAAAAATAAACTTTTATAGCACTACATACAAATTTGGTACTAATTAAACAAATAATTATGTTGCTAAACAAAATATCCACTGAAAAAAATACATAAAAACATCTCAAAGATAAATGCATTAATTTTTCACAGAAACCAATGTAAGAATAATTAAATTATTATGATAATTCATACTGTTATGACAAAAATATTGTGCTGAAAAGAAGGTTTGACTAAACAAAAACAACACTATAAAAATTAACAGTTTCTTTCAAAAGTATCAAATGCTATAAATGTAATCATGAATTAAGTATAAACTAGGTGTAATAAACAGCTTGGTAAATTTTAGGAAATAGTAGGAAACTGCTGTAGTTAATCAAAATCTATTAGTTTTCTTTTAAAACATAAATTTAAAAATAAAAAGTATCCTGAGATTACTTACTATACTCAGGATTACATTTTTTAATTACAATATACGAGCATTGATTTGTGAAAGAAATTAACAACCAACAGCAACAGTTAAAATATTTTGTTTCATTTGGATGGGCCGATATTTCTACTGAAAGCTTACTAATAAGCTGGAATTTTTAAGATTCATTTTCTTTTTCAAAGAAGGGTTTCCTAAAAAAATTATTTTTCTTTGCCTTAAAACCGCCACTTTCTTAACCAAAATGTAACAAAACTTAACTGACTGTGGTTACCTTCTAATTCTCAGAAAAATACAATTCTAAATATTTTTCAGTTAGTTTAACTTTTATAATTCAAAATGTGAGGGTTTTTTGGGTTTTTAATGAAAAAAAAAAAGAAATTTTTTTCTGAGAACTAGTTTCCTTACAGTTCACTTTGAATAAAATAATTATTTACCTTTTCCTTTAGTACAGATTTCTCTTCTTTCTCTCTTTTCCGCAGGTCACTCACAAAATCTAGAAACATCGACTCTCTCTCACGCATTTTATCAATGCCTTTGAAGCGTTCATCTTTACCATATTTTGAAGCAAAATCACTGAAGGATGACCTGTAAAAATTAGATTATTTATTATTTCACAGATTTTAAAATGTATAAATACCCGTTTATTAATGTAAGTATTAATGTAAGTCTTTTTGTCAAGGATGTTACACTTACTTTCCATGAAGTTTACTTTCCTCCATAAGCTGCTTGAAGGCTTCTTTCTTTTCTTTAATTCTGCGATGTTTTTCACGTCTTTCTTCTTCAGCTCTTTCTTTCACATACTGTTCAAATACCTGCTTCCTTTCTCGTGAAGTTAATAAAAGGTAGCGCTGATCGAAAACAATCTTATGCAGCTCTTTTTCCCAAGTTGAAAAAGCAGATACCTTTCACATAATAAAGAATAAATTAAAAGTCATGTCTAATAAATAAATTTAACTTTGAAAAATACTTTGAAAACTTGCAACTGAAATTAATTATAACTAATAAAGATTTAATAAACAGAGATACCATTTTAAATCTTATTTAAATACTTTAATATAACTATAATATTATATGTACAATAATATATGTTAAGTGTCACCTCTTTCTCTGCGAGCATATCTCTGAACTGCTTCATTCGTATTTCTAGAGGAACTATTGCTCTTTGCCTAGCAGCCTGTACTTCAGCTTCAATAGCAGCTTCTTTACCAACATCTATTTGCTTTGGTAACCCTCCTTCTTTCTTCTCTTCCTTTGGTTCTGGCTCGGGCCTGTCAGAACAAAAATGAATAATGTTCATATTAACTATACTAAAGTTTATCAGCTATAGCCTGTAAACTGGTAAGATAACACCAAAACTTCTTAAAATTTTTTTTTTTTAAATAGAATTGCTAACTAGGGAAATTTTCAAAATCAGTTGTAGACCCAGCTATTAATTTAACATGCTGCATTTTAAAAAAAACATTTGCTCTCAGTAATTGCATAACAATGTGAGCTAAATAAAAGCAGTACTTTTTTTTCTTTGCTGGTGGCTCTTCTTCTTCCACTTTTTCCTCTTTCTTTTTCTCAGCTGAAAAAAATTATTTTAAAAATATAATTATCATTTTTTTTTTAACACGTTTTTATTAACTCAGCTTCGCGTGTGTTTGTTGTTAAAATTGACATCGAAAATTAGCCCACTTCTGATTGCTCTATAGATCTGAAATTTGGCATGCAGGTTACTTTCGCCTAACAATTTCAGATGCAATCATAAAAACTAGCAATTAGAGACCGTAATTAGCTTAATTTAATTACGCCCAAAGGACCATAAAATTGAGGACATGATTTCTAAAGATACCGACAAGACTGGAGGCTTGTTGACACAGTTACTTCGGCCCCAATCGATGTGAGCGCGCTGGCCGTGATCGTATAGTGGTTAGTACTTCGCGTTGTGGCCGCGACAACCCAGGTTCGAATCCTGGGCGCTCAAGATTTTTTTAGTCCGTGTATTTATAAACACTTAGTCAATTCATACTTAATCAAGTCATTAGATAAAGTAGAAAATAAACTATATAAAAAACTTTTTTAAAAAACACGTTTTTCATGTGTAGCAACGGACTAAAAAGGAGAAAATAAAATACTTAAAAAAAACTTTTTAAAAAACCACGTTTTTCTTGTGGACTAAAAAGTAGAAAATAACTATTTACATACATTTGATGACAAAAAACGTGGGTCGGGCAGATGGGTCGGGAAATTTGATGGTGAACGTACCCACGTTTTTTGTCATCAAATGTATGTAAATAGTTATTTTCTACTTTTTAGTCCACAAGAAAAACGTGGTTTTTTAAAAAGTTTTTTTTAAGTATTTTATAAATAAGTGATTTAATGTTCATAAGACAAAAAAAAAATTCTGATAAGAATTAAGACTGGTCAGGTAAACTGTCAAAAAAATTTTAAAAAAAAAAGGTTTACAGAAATTTAGCGTAATCCACATATGATGAAAAAATTTCTACCAAGATTATCTACATTTTACTCGGTAGCCTCTGAAAAAATATTTAATAGGTCAATAAAAACTTACCTGCTTTGGCATCAGGTTTCGATGAAAGCAACTTATCCACATCCGGTCTATTCTGAAGATCCTCTGGCTTTTCCCAGACAGAAAGACGCTGGCTAGGATTATAGAAAAAGCAGCGACCATCCCCAGTCCACACAACACACCTGAAAATAAATTATCATTAATTTTCTTTGATTAAAACATTTTTTTAAATGTGTTCCCAAATTTTTTTTAATATCTGGAAATTAAGATGTACTTTCTAATGCTAGTTAATTAATTAGAAGGTATTATATATTTAAACTCACCATGGTGTTCCAGGTACAGGAGTACTGGAAACAGGTCTAGATTTTTCAGCTGCTTTCTGCTCTTCAGTCATTTCTTCTGGCTTCTCTTTCTTTTCCTATTAGTTCAAATTTTCAAAATGTACAATACAAAATGCAAATCCAATAGACTAAATTACAGAAGCACTATTGCAAATTTTAAAATATTAACAATTTGTGATGATTTTTTTCTTTTAAAACCATGATGTTACACAATACAAGAGGAATCTTTTTCAGTTAAGTTACGCTTTTAATAAGTCACCATTTAATAAACCTAAATTGCAATAAATGACAATTGCAGTATTTTTTTTTATTTACAAGTATTCGAATACTTAATATTTAATACCTCCTCTTCATCTTTTTCTGATTCATCAGAACTATCACCAGCATCCACTTTAATAACTTCTGGTGCTCGCTGTTGTACTTGTGACTGCACTTGAGATCCTGAGTTCTGTAGCTGCTCCAGTTTTGCTGAGAATAAAAATGTATTAAATATGAAAATCTATTTTATATATATATATATATATATATATGTTATTTTTCCAACCATTCATAATTTTCAAATAAAACTAATAAAGAATAGGTCAAGTGGAGTATCCCATAAAAGCAAGCTCGAGCTAATGATTATTTTTAAAGTCAGGTTAACTTCCAGCCAAGACACAGTAAAAGCAAGTCACAGGAGGTATTATTTTTAATTGTTTTTATTAAAGTTTGTTGTTAAATATGGTTTGTTTCTTTCTCTATAAGAACGCACTTTCATACAGGAACACACAAAAAATAGTACAAGACTTTTTGAAGCATAGATCATTTTTACCTTCCCAATCTTTTAAGACCTGTGGTTTTTCCCAAACTGACTCCTGAGTTCGTGAATTATGATAGTAGCTTTTGCCATCCGTGTTTTTATGTTCAGACCATTCAGCAACTTCAGGAGGTTTTGTAGGTTGCTGAAGAACATTTTTGTAAAGTATTTTAAAATTAAATTCCTTAACTTATAATTGGAAAAAAATATTTTGTTGACAAAATTTTTATATACCTGCATTGGAATGTCAGGGGTGTTTCCAACTGGCATTTGGTGTTGCATGAATGGATTAGTAAATCCTGGTGGCAATAAACCAGGATTAAAACCTTGGCCTGCACCTTAGGTGTAAAAACATCATTGAATAAAAAAGGTGAACTTATTCAGCTGTTTTTAAATTAATAGGTTTTTTAAAATTGCAATTTTTTTTTAAACTATTTTACAAACATCCCAACTAACATTATTAAAAATTGGTTTAATTGAACTGAATCATTTAAGCTGACCATCATTAAGTCATAGGGGTTATCTGTATTTTTCTCCAACTTATGTTTTTGTTTAAGGTTCATCATCCCAAGTCCACACCAACAAAATAGGTCTTGTATATCTGCTAAGGCTTCAAGAAACACACTTTATTGCTCTTATTAAGAAACAAAACCACTTGCTACATTATATAATAAGTGATCAAATATTTCGAAGTGTGTTTGAAGTTTAATAAATCAATTAATTTTGATAAAAACTATTTTTAATATATTAGTTTAAGTTTTGATAACTGAAATCGATAAATTAAATTGATAAATTAAATTGATACTTCCAATTCTTCTTATTCTTAATTTTAAAGTACCTGAAAGTGCCATAGCAGACTGATCGCCAGGCCCTTGCATCTGCTGTGATGCTGCTTGGGCTGGAAGGATCAGGCATAATTAAGTATTTCTTTTTAGAGTTTTGCCTAAGACAATTTAACTGAGACTGTTATATACATGACTAATTCATAAATTTTTTCAAAATGAATATTGACCCTAAAATGACAAATGTTAAAAAATATGTAATACCTTGGGCAACAGCAGCCTGAGCTGCAGTTGATGGTCCCCCTGCAACACCTTGTGCCTGACTGGTCTGAAAAGCTTCCCATTCCAGTTGGGTAACAATTCTAGCATTTTCCGGCTTTGTCCATGCAGATTCTCTGGTCCTTGCGCTGTAGTAGTAAACCTGGTCAAATAATAGATTTATTTTTCATCCTTTAAATTCTCTTTTAAAGAAAACATTTTCCAATTAATGAAACATATACTAATTAATTTCTTTTTTGTATATGTTTCACTTCAATAAATCATTTATTACATAACAAATATTAAATTTGTAAAAATTTGCTTTAAAAAAAAATCAAGTCAAAAACTCACTTTGCCTTCTGGAGATTTAGTTTCAACCCAGATGTCCTGTGTTGCTGGATCTAGTGGTGGATGTGGCAGAGGTGGTGGCATATTCATACCACCCATCATACCCGGGGGCATTCCATTGGAAAATCCAGGAGGAGGCATTGAGAAATTTGGAGGTGGAAAATTTGGTGGTGGCATCAAAGGTCTCTATAGGTAATAAAACCATAACTTGTGCAGTTAAAGAAAATGAATGGCAAAAAAACATGAGATAAACATGTCAAATAACCACGATATAAGAATGTGTAAATAATATAAAGCAAAAAAAATGAAATTGTTAAAATATATGTATGTTGTATGGCAGTAAAAATTAAAATGGTTGAATTACATTTTTTAAAGCAAAGTTAATATCAAATCTTGATAATTTTTCGCTAGCTGTAAAAATTGTATTACATCTATATAAAAAGATAAAGCAACTAAACTCAATTTTTAAAAATAATATTTTAAAAAAACAGGCTACTTTTTGTTTAACAAATAGTCTCCCTCTACTTATGGATAGATTTAATTTTAAAAAAAAAAACTAAAACAAAAACAAATTCATAGAACCAAAAAAGAGAAACCAACAAAAAAACAACCTCATAAGAAATATTTGACTCTTACTTTTGAGAACTATTTTCCCACAAAAATGTAAGATAGAGTAAAGATAAAGATTATTCAGTTATCATGTGAAGATAAAAAGGTGCTAGAGATAAATATGGACATTATTCACACATGCTGCCCTTTCTCAACCTCCCCCCTATTGTGATATTGGACTAATTCTTTTTTAAATATATGCAAACATTTTTACAGATTTTTAAAACCTAATTTAGAAAGTTATGTTATAGTTAATTGTTTGGTTTTTTTTTTTGGAAAAAATAGTCTAAATTATATTTTATTTAAGAACTTACTTTATTATTGTTAATATTCTGAAAATAAACAAGTTATTATCTCTAACATATATTTTTAAATTGCTAAGGATTATTTTAAATAGATCAATTATTATGGTTTAAATGTATTAAAAGTTAATAAAAGCTCAAATAAAATGGAGATTTCTTTCTTTATACCTTTTCACTTTTTTTCTTTTTAAATTATTTTTTGTCAAACAGAAGCAAAAACAATCTTTAGATATAAATTTACAAGTGACTTACCATTCCCTGAGGACCCATACCTGGGGGCATCCCAGGTCCCATTCCTGGTCCATTTGGTCCCATACCCCCCATATTAGGTCCCATGCCAGGTCCATTCGGTCCCATTCCAGGTCCTCCCATCATTGGTCCATTCATGCCAGGTCCTCTCATTCCTTGATTAGGCCCCATACCAGGTGGTCCATAGTTTGGATCAAATGGTGGCCTGCCAAAGGGTGGTCCACGTGGTGGTCCCCTCATCCCATGAGGTCCTCGCATTCCCATAGGTGGGCCTCTCATGCCCATTGGCATTGGTCCACGGGGTCCTCCGAATCTGTTTACAAGGGATCCATATATATGTTTAATTGGATATGCCACTAATTTCAAGAAACTGGTTTCCTTAATTCAAATACTTTGAACAAATTGTATTTACTTTTTTATTTACTAAGATACAAATAAATAAAAATAATGATTGGATAAATAGAGTGCAGAATAAGAAAAAAACTTCAGAGTTTTTCTGTTGCACTGGTGAGACAATCAGCGTCTCATCTGACTTAATACTGAATTTGTACAGACATGCTGGAGAATGTAGATAATAAAACTACAATAGAGTGCATAGGTTTTCATGTAACAATGTTATGGGTAGTAGCAGTAAATATGAATAATTGTGCTTTTTTTTTTTTTGGTAAAAAAATTAAACATGAGCTCAAAAAAGGAATTTTCAAATACTGAACAACAGCTTATGGTTGTTGCTAATAAATCTTTAGCTCAGGCAATGGTCTATTGTTGCTAAAATTGTATTTTTAAGCATGATTGCCAGCAAAACTTTTATGAAAACGTAGGGTAGGTCTAATCAAGATACTGAAAAGTTGTACCATGTGCTAATAATATAGATTTCTATAAATAACAACCTTTAATAACTGCTCACATTTGAAAGGTTAGAGGAGATCACACACTAGAGAACTTACCAAAAATACCTGTCCACCCTGAAGAATGTACTTAGTATGTGGGGTGAGATAATAGACTGCTTATTAAAAGCACGGTTTGTATTGACATTTTAATATCCTGAATACTGACCACTAAACCCAAAAATAAAGTTACCATATACAAACAAATACTTAAGTTGACTAAGATTTTCAATTGTAATAGTTTTTTTTGTTTAATATTCTAGGCTTTTACAATTTTTACTGAAGGTAAAACCATAACTATTTTAACACAAGTGTGCAATGCATCATAGGGGCTAAGTTGTAAAATTTCTACAAAACTTTAAAAGTAGTAATCCCTAAGTAAAAAAAAAACATTGGTTGCTAAACGGTTTTAAAGATATTTCTTGATCAACCAATGCATTTACTATTGCATCTTAAACGTTTATTATAAGGTTTTTTTTACGTTTTATTTTCTATTTAAAGGTAAGCTACATAGTACATATGCATTGTAATAATATAAAAATAAGTTGATATTTATGTTTTAAAATCAAAAACATTTTTCCATTCCATTCATCCTTTAAGTGGGCTCACTAGACTAAAAATAGACCTACTTGCTTTAAAATTTGACTGTACCTTATGATATTTTAACAATTAACAAAAAATACCTGCCCTATTAAGGTTGGTGGTCATCTTTTAAATTTAACCCTTTGAGCCCGCCAAGCCGGTAAACCGGCTTTAACATTAGGTATATATGTCCGAAAAGCCGGTTTACCGGCCCGATGATCTAGCGTCATATTTCTAGCGGCCGGTATACCGTCTAATTAAATATAATTAGCGGAAGACTGAATAAAACTGCGCATGTGTCTTTTGAGTGCGGAATTATGATTTTAAAAATAGATTTTTAGGAAAAATGAAAGTATTTACATTCCGTAGTAATGCCGCCGAAACGAAAAGCTGAGCCACAACCGTCGGCTTCATCACATAAAGTTGGTGCAAACGATAAGCAAAAAGCCGAAACATCGATAAAAGAAGTAGAATGACTGCATCTCAGGCAATACAAGTACTTATCGATTCTGATGATGAAGATAATATTCCTGGTCTTTATTGTGATGATAGTGACGTTGAATTTGAGACTGAACACTGTGACATTGAAATTGACAGTGACAATGAAACTGTTCAAGTACGTTATGATGCACGTGGTGCCAAGGACAAAGACTTGCCGAAACGAAAAAAAAAATGTTTACTGATGCGAATCATGCGACGTTTTTCTTTGCATCGGGTCCGGCAGTTATAACTGTTTTGAAAGTTATCACACAAAAGTGGACTTCTGGCGATCAACTAGTATGGCCAGGTATCAATAATAACAAAACAATTACTAAATGTAAATTGGTTTCTTCTATGTTCTATCAAAACAATAATTATTTGTTCGTTTTATATACATGGTTCTGTTCAAACATTGTAAAAAAAAAAAAAAAGAATTTTACAATCTATCTGCAGTGTTGTTTGATCCTGAGTCTGGATACCAAATTTGGCTTGATTATCTCCAACGGTTCAAAAGTTATAGGCAAAGCTAGATGCAGATAAGTGAAAATTGGTTTGGGCTTGGGAGCTCAGGAAATGGGAGAAATTAGGCCAGGGAGGCCAGGGCTCAAAGGGTTAAAAGGTATCAGAGGCTACCTGCTCAACTGACTGATCAAGTGCTTGCTACTACTTAATTGTGTTATTTCCCTTTTTGTCTTTGAATTAAATTTTATGATCTTCTAATCTCTTATTAGATTGAAAATAAGATATTCTTGAATTTGCATAGAAATGAAAATTATATTACAAATTTGATAATGAACTTGTATGTAGGCCTAACTGTAATAATAAAAAATATATTACTTCTTAAAAATGGGTCTAAATTAAATTAGAGTTAAATCAGTTTGTTAGACTAGAAATACTCAGGCCTTTTAAACTTGTATTATTCTTAGTAAGCTTCAAGCTTTTCATCATATGCAATGTTGTATAGGCCTAGAATCTACCAATTCTAATTTTTACCAGTGACAGATAGATCTAGAATCTAGATTCTAAATCTAGAACTAGATCAGGTAAGATACTCAGAAAAGAAGACTTGAAAAAAGGGTTATCTATCGTTTTAGGTACGTAAAATCAGCAGAGGCTAGAAATGTGCGAAAACGTTGCCTCAGTGTTAAGGCTTGAATAGAAGTATATTATGATATAGGCCTATTTGTGTCAAATATTATAGATAACTGAATAATAAACCAAAATCAATGGCTAAATATATCAATATGGGCCAGAAAATAATTTTAAACAGCAGTGTTTGCGAGCAACATTTGCTATATTAAATAAGTTAGAGTGATTTCCCCTGAATATCTTACTATAATTATACCAAAAAAAAACACAAGATGGCTGCTAAAGTAAATGAGCTGGTTGCATCTGATGAAAACATCGCTAGTCTTTATTTTTTACTGAAAAGTTTAAAAACAGGTAGGCCCTACATTAATGAAACTTTGAAAAAAAAAATGTGTACCTTTCAAAACTAAATCTTCCTAAAATTGTGAAATAATTTTAAAAATATGGGCCTAATGAGTCACCTTTTTTTCACATTACTAGTCTCAGCCAATTTTACATCCTAAAACGATAGATTACCGAAAAAAGTTATTGGTACAACAGACAGTAAAACTCAATTTTAGCGTATTTTATTCCCTGCTTCAAGTTCACCTCTGGTTGAGCTAATTTTAATATAAACACAAATGAAACACACAAAAACGTTAGGAAAACATTGGGCTTATTTCATTATGATTTTTTGTTTTAATGTTTGATGATTTGATTTAGGCCTACTTTTGTCAAAAATTAAGAAAAATCCAAATTTAGAATATTTTGAATGTGCTATGTTCGTGTGTCACTTAAGATTTTCATGGCAATGGGTGAAGTACGTAAACGTAACTCACAATTGCAAGGCAGTAAAGTTTGTTTGTATTGTTACAAGTATCTCCCACGCATGATACTATAAATAAACATTTATGGGTAATCTATCGTTTTGGGTACGTAAAATCGCCCGCGGCTATCAATGTACGAAAATGTTACCTCATTGTCAAGGCTGTAATAGAAGTATTTTGTCATATGTTTGTGTCAAATATTATAGATAAATGAATAATAAACCTAAATCAATGGCTAAATATATCAATATAGGCCAGAAATTAACTTTAAACAGCAGTGTCTGCAAGCAAGATTTGCTATATAAACAGCAGCCATTTGTAAAATAGAGTGACTTCCGCCTGAATCTTGCGCTATGGCTATATGTTTATAAAAATAAAACTTTAACAAGATGGCTGCTATAGACAGGCTGCTATAGTAAATGAGCATGGTTGCATCTGTTGGAAACATCGCTGGTGTTCATTTATTCCTGAAAAGTTTTAATTCAATTGTTTAAAAACAGGTACATAAATGAAACAAGGAAACATTTTTGTATTTTTCAAAACATAAATCCTCCTCAAAATGTGAAATAATTATTAAAATGTAAGGAGTCACCTGTTTTTCACATTACTAGTCGCGGGCGATTTTACGTACCTAAAACGATAGATTACCCATTTATGAACTCACATTGACCCCAAAACTGAGGCCAACACAATTTTAAATAACTATTGCCCGAGCTATGAGGTATGCTGATAATTAAAGTCAATGTGAACTCACGGTGAACCCGCGACCATGTAGAGATTTTTTTCCCGCTGATGATCACACAATATTAAATTGGAATTGTTCTAATACAGACTAATCATGCTTTTTTATGTTTTTTTTTACCCTTTCTAATGAAAAAACCCCTTTTACTTTTATAAAAAAAAATAAGTAGATCTAGCTTTAATCGGAGTGTTTTCATAATGTCTTTGCTTGTTTTGGTTGTGTTTATAATAAAATGGTAAAACCTCAGTTTAGCGTCGGTTATTATTCCGGAATCGTATAGCAGTAAAAAACAGTTAAACAATGCCAAAGTCAGTCACACACTTCCGGAATTCACCGGAAGTACTGTAAACCATACATTATTTGGCGTCATCTTTTATTTTTATACAGAATGTTTAAAATTTGGATAGATTTATTTTTGTAATCATTTTTACATTTTGTAATCATTTTTACTATTTTTGTAATCTATATTTTTTTACTTGGCCTAGCAGCTAGATATCTAGCTAGATCTAATTAATTAATGGTCAAAATCCACTGCAAGCCAAAAACATTAAATTATTACATTTGACTTCATTATTTATATTTATATTGTTTTTTTTTTAATTTTTAGATCTAATTTAAATCTACTATTATATTTATTCTTGTTTCCTTTTGTCGATTAAACTTTAAAAAATTAAAACATTAATTTACTACAATCGACTTTCAATTAATTTATATTAGGCCTAATAAATATATTTCAATGAATAAACCATGGTTTACCGTAACTCTAGTTACCGAAACTCAACAAACATTACCCGATAATTTCCTACGCTAAACTAAGCGCTAAGGTTTTACCAATAAAATACCCTCTAGGGAGGTGAACGTGCAGCGGGGAATAAAATATGCTAAAATCATCAAAATGGAGTTTTACCACAACAGACACTGAGACAGTGGTACACTGTGGTACACTTACCCCCTGGGTCCTCCAGGTCCTCTTGGTCCCATAAAGCCGCCACGACCTCTAGGTCCGGGAAACCGGTTAAATTTATTAAAATCACCTTGCATTCCGCCATCCATCATGCTCATATCCATTTCAGATTGACCGTCTCCCATTCCCATCATATTCATTTCATTTCCCATGCCCATCATCATCCCCATTCCTCCGTCCATGCCCATGCCCATACCCATTTCGTCTTCTTCATTTCCCATTCCCATGCCATGGTGATTGCTCATGTCATCGTTCATATGATCATGTACAAGATTATGGTCATTTTCATTTTCTTCGTCATCGTCCATCATTCCAGAATTAGGAACATTATCGTCCGGTATTTCATCGCCCATCGCATCCATAGCTTCCATGTCAGCCATTTTTGTCTAATGGCCTCGTTCTGAAAGTCACATTAAAACAACTTCCGATTTGATAATGCAAAAACAGTGCAAAAAGTTGGTGAAACAAAATTTTACATTCAACTCTAGACTTGTTTGTATCCTAGTTTGAGGGGCGGGGGGCACAAAGATGTGAATTTTAGACAATTCCTGTGTACATAAGTCTGCTTTAGGTGCCCCCTCTGATGGGGACGTCCAGAGCCGGCGCTACCTATAAGACGAACTAGGCGGTCGCCGAGTTCGCTAACCATAAGGGGCGCAAAAATGTGTAATCTCAATTATTAAAAAGTACCTAATAATTAATAAATTGATTATATTAATATATAAACTACACACAAGGGCGTAGCGATCTATTTCGGTGCCCAGGATGAACTATCTATTTTGCGCCCATTCTTCAAATTAGACCTATAATTAAGTATTCGCGTTGGTGATAATGCGCCCCCACCTCCCTTATTTGGAAAGGTTGGGGCGCTTTTTACCAGTCTCTTTGCCTTTATATTTTGGTGTCACACAATTGATGTAAAAACAATTTTAAAAGCCCGTATGCCAAAAAGCCCGTAATGCCAAGTAGCAATCAACATTCTTTATTTTGACTGCATATAATTCAGTAATGGGCTCTTTATATTATACCTATCATGTTTGGCGCCCTTTTTGGGTCGGTGCCTGTGGCGGCCGCCCCACTCGCCCTCCCCTAGCCACGCCTCTGGTAATATAATATATGTAATCTAAATCTTTTAATCTCGAACATTTCAGATGATTATCTAATTTTAATGTTGATTTAGTGATCGCTTTAGCGCATGACGCGACATTGTAAAACGCGTGCAATTTAAATTTTTTTAATAGGGCTTGTAAGTCTCGCTTTCTCTCAATTTAAATTAGAAACCCCGTTAGCCAGGGAGAGATTTAGATTTTCAAACTAAATTAATTTTTTGAACCACAAGATCCTAAACAGAATTTTAAGGTAGAATTAATTCTGTTACCCGATCTTGGATATGGGTAGACACAGGGGCGTAGCGAGGGGGGGTGCGGACCGCACCAGGCGACACCATTTAGGGGGGTGACACCAAGGCAAAAAATAGCAAAATATATAGAGAAAAACTTGAGGGGGGGGGGTGCAAATCGAAAACTTGAGGGGGGGTGCAAATCGAAAATTTGAAAGTTTGTCCCCGGGAAGGGTCGCTACGCCTCTGGGGGGGTGACACCATTAAGTGCCGCACCGGGTGACACCCGACCTCGCTACGCCACTGGGTAGACAGACTTTGGAAGAGAGGTTCAAAGATTGAGAACAACATAAAATTCTGGTTGGCTTCCTTTATGATATCTCCAATATCATCCAAAAGACACCTGCAGATATACTTACTCTTCTTCTTCTTCTTCGTTCTTATTTTTTTTTCTTAATTTTTGAATATGGTGGAGGATTCAGACAACAAGTCCAACTTCGTGGACAAACCGGACTGTGGTTTCCAGTTTGTCAGGTGTCCCATATAATTTTTCCCTGAGTGGGGTGGGCTGGGGCCAGTGTCTGCCTCTTGCCTGGCTATACAGAGTACATTCCTGGAGTACGTGCTCCGTGTTTTCCGGGGCCTTGCCACAAGGGCACATTTCGCCACACCCAATCTTCAGTTTTCTGTGCATGTGTTGATTTAGTCTGTTGTGGCCTGTTCTAAGTCGAAAGATTATGTATTGTTGTTTTCGTGTTAAATTATAATAGCCGTCGTCTTTATTGTAGTGAGGTTGCGTTTGTTTATTTTTTATTATTCTTTTTATTTCTTTTGGGTGTAGCGAAATTTCCGGTTGTGGTTTCTTTCCCCCAATTTTTGCCAGCTTGTCTGCGATCTCGTTTCCTGGATCTGGCAGTGGCCCGGGATCCACTGCAGCACAATTCTGCTGCAGGTATTTTTTAGCCTCTCTAGTGCTGTCATAAGTGTTTGAATATAGGACTCTGGATTTTTTTAGGGATTGCAGGACTGATTTGGCATCTGTAAGAAATACAATCTGACTATTCTGACTTACTGACTGCAAACATTTAGAAACGTCATTGGCGAATAACGCAGGCCGTTTAGGGGGGAGGGGGGCAAAATCTGATTAAAAATTGTATTTTTTGCACCTTGATAGACTAGTGGTTTTGTAAAACAAAAACAATAAAACAAATTGATAACAGCAGTAATTGTTCTACTGTAACTAACACACACTGGTGCGTAGAGAAAAAAAAACAACTACAAATGTTGTAGTACGAAAAATAGGCAAACTTTTAAACCACTTATATGACTTACAGTTGCTCTTCTATAAATAGTCAAATAAAGCTAATTAAAATAGTTCTGTACTAATTTCTTTTTTATAATAATTATGAAAAGTAAGCTTTCGTACCGAATGACTAAGGGGTCATCCATAAATGACGTCACACTCGTAGGGGGGAGGGGGGGTCCGTAGTTTTGTGACGATGTGTGATGAGGGGGAGGGGGGGTCAGATGTTGCGACGTCACATTTTTGCATTATAAAAAAGCAATGTTAGAAAACGAATTTTAGACGTTATTTCGCGTTTTAGATAACTGTTTTAATAAATTGTAATAGTTTAGACAAGATTTTGGAAAAATATCGATGTTTTTAAAAAATTCAACTGCAATTTTGAGGGGGGTTGTAGGTTGAGGTGTGACGTCATTTTAGGGGGGGGGGTCTGGCTTTTTGTGACGACGTGTGACGGAGGGGAGGGGGGGAGGTAAAAATCGTCAAAAAAAGCGTGACGTCATTTATGGATGACCCCTAATGTATAAAAGGACCAGAGGCGTAGCGAGGGCGGGGCGGGGACTGCGGATATACTTGCAATGAAATATGTTAAATGGTTTAATTTAGAATTAAGTGAGACAGACTTCAAAGATATATGAATATACAGTATTTTGAAGATATCATTTTTTAAAAATTAGGCAAATTTACATTCTCCTTAGATAAACACTCTTTGCAAAATATTTGGACGCTTGCTCTGTGCGACCACATATTCAGTTTGTGAACTACCCATACCTACTCACCAGTTTCTTTCAGGCTTTTAGGGACCCCCCCCCCCCCCAACTATCCGCCTCCTCCCTGAATGAAATAGAATATGATTATTTAGGCCTATACTTAATATGTAGCCTACTTTACGGCGAGGATGAGCGCTATGAGCGCAGACTGCTAACCCGGAAGTCTCGAGTTCGGATCCAGTGTTCGAGTCCGTAGGATGTCCCTGGGTCTATTCAGCTCTAAATAATGGGGGGTACCCGAATCACGTTGGGGAAACAGGGCGGCTGAGTATAGTACTGAGGTCAATGAAACAGAAGAACTCTACTTTATCTACCCCATGTCTCTTGGGCACGAACGGGAAAAGATGCTGAGATAATATAGTCTACTTAAACCCGTGTCCACTGCCCTTCTACCCCCCCCCCCCCCCAAGGTGACCTCCCCCCCCCCCCCCCACAATATAAGTGTCTGTAATGTCTGGAATAAACACTGATGTTAATAGGCACAGTGGTGTTGGCAGGTGAGCTAGAACTGCCCATGACAATAACTATCTCATGTTGAATTACAGCGATTGACGACGGCGCTCTGGGTCTTCGAAATACTTATAGAATATTTCATATATGTGCTGGCAAAAAATAGTGGAATCGGAAGGAGAAATGGCAAGTCAGATAATGTGTTTTGTCATTCTTCGATATAAGGTTTAGACTGTCGTTTTAACTCATAAATTATGTTGCTGATGATTCGCAGATGTTGTTTATATGTTCTATAATGCTGACCAGATATTTTTTATAATTAAAAAGTACGTTTTGTTTTGATGCACTTTGCCAATTAAAAACGTGAAGCAGAAATCCGTTTGCAGTGTTTTTTTCCAGACTTTTTTCTCCTGTGGGGCACTTAAAATTTTTCGAGGGGGGGGGGGGGGCAGGGGCGTAGCCCCCCCCCCCCCCCCCCGAAGAGATGCCTGGAAGAAACTCTGTCCGTTTGTCGACTAAAGCGTAGGCCTACCATGGCGATGGTGGGTAAAAAATACCACATTGATTTTGTAAAGTTTTTATACGCCCTTTAAATCGGCATTTGTTGAACAAAAACAAATTTGGAAGAGATGGAGTAAAATCATGTTAGGGACGGAAAAAGTTTCTTCCAGTCATCTCCCAAGATGAAAATTTTACCCCCCCCCCCCCCCATAACGAAATAGAATTTACATAGAAAATAAGAAAAATATATACTTTTTAACAGTGTCCGCACCCCGGAAATTTTAGTCCGCCCCTCCTCCGAAAATTTCAAGTTACCCCCCTCCCCCCACCCGATAAAAAAGTCTGGAAGATCATTACAATCTTCTCATTCATGTCGCCATATAAGATCTTGTCAAAAACCCCGCAGTTTGAAAGACGTTGCAATCGCTTATGGTATCAAAAGTAATGGCTTGCTAAAGGAGTTAAAGTTTTAGTTAGCGGTACCTAAGCCACGTGCATTTTATAAAACTAAAATAAATGTTAACAGAGATAAGTCAACTTATTTAATTTTATAAAATGAAAGCATCTTACAATTCATTTGTGGTAGGCTGAAACTACATCAATAGCCACGGCCTCATACTTGGCAATGAAGCGAGCTTTTCGTGGCTTTATGAAGTAACCATATGAAGATTCACTACTGAGCTAAATATATGATCATATAATATGTTGCCTATAGTAATGATTAAACTAATTTGACATTTGCACAAGAGAAGGGCACAGTGGCGTAGCCAGGATCGTCTCAAGGGGGGGGGGGTTCCAATTTTTACCCGGGGACAAACTTTCGATTTGCATCCCCCCCCCTCAGACTTTTGATTTACACCCCCTCCTCAAACTTTCGATTTGCATCCCCTCAAACTTTCGATTTGCACCCCCCCCTCAAACTTTCGATTTGCACCCCTCCCCCCTCAGACTTTTGATTTGTACCCCTCTCAAACTTTCGATTTGCACCCCTCCCCCCCTCAGACTTTTGATTTGCACCCCTCTCAAACTTTCGATTTGCACCCCTCCCCCCTCAGACTTTTGATTTGCACCCCTCTCAAACTTTCGATTTGCACCCCCCCTCAAACTTTCGATTTGCACCCCCCCTAATACTTTATATATATATATATATATATATATATATATATATATATATATATATATATATATATATATATATATATATATATATATATATATATATATACCGAGGGGTCTATGGGGGGGGGGGGGTATGACCCCCCCACCCTAACCCCCCCTGCCTACGCCACTGGAAGGGCATATCTAACGAAACACCTATGCAGGTATAAACAGCAAAGTTATATAAAAACCAACATGTTTCCTGATACAGTTTTTAAAAAAAATAAAGATACACATCTTTTTAATGTTCTTTGTTCCCATAGCCATAGCCATATAGTGACAGATTTAGATCTTTGTTCCCATATTCCATATTATTCTATTGAATTATCTTCTTATGAAGCAATAATGTTATAAAACTCTTTACTTATTTTACACATATTAAAGAAAGTAAACTGACACTAAATTAAAATTTAAAAAAATATCCTGACTGAAATATCAAAATAATTTCATACCGTTAATGGTAAAAAATTACCTTTTAACTTTTAATAACAGTACATTTTTTTAATGGAAAAAGGCGATAATAACTCACCAAATCGGCCAAATGAAATTATTACCGGATATGACGTCGCAACCGATGAAAAATCAACAGCCTAGAATAAGGACAGAGACACCTACGCTGCTGAGTGTGTCCTCCACGACGTTGACAGGTTGGCAGGCTTCAGATCATCATTTTTAGGTCGCTGTAAGGAGCAGTATTTTCTTTTGAAACGAGAAACAACTGCGCAGCGACCTATTATTTAATATGTGTGAAAATTTAGGAGTCACTGTGCCTGTTGTGATTGAGCCAGGCGATAATAGCCTGGTGAGCACTGTCGTGGAGGATGTCTCGCATCAGATGGGCCCGACATCTTCAAGGGGTAACGGCGACGAAGGTCCGGCACCAGGGTCGGAAGCTCCTGTTGTTATAATCGCCCCTTCTCTTAGAGTTGAAAAATTAAAAGGGAATGGAAATGGTCACGATTCGAGTTTTTGTGCTAGTGAGGAAGAAGGTGGTGGTGGAACTCGTGATTTTTCAGACGAAGGAGATGGGGACCACTCAGGAAATAATAGCAGCATTCCTGATATACCTTTGGATGTATTGATTGATCCACCAGATGAGGAATTAAAACTTAAAATAATATCGCTTGTTGAATATTACTTTTCGGATGAAAGTATTCTGAAAGATGCGTTTTTGCTTAAACATGTTCGACGCAATCGTTTTGGATTTGTGAGTATCAAGCTTATAACCTCTTTTAAGAAAATGAAAACACTTACCAAAGATTATCGGGTTGTTGCCTACAGTTTGAAAGGGTCTGAAAAGTTAGAACTTAATGAAGAATGTACAAAAGTTCGAAGAAAAGAACCATTGCCCGATTATGACGAAACTGTTCCATCAAGAACTGTTGTTGCACTTAATTTACCACTTGAAAATCCAACAATGGAAAACATGGCTGAAATATTTTCTAAGTGTGGTTGTGTTAACAATTTCAGAATATTACGCCCAGGTTGCTCCATACCATCAGACCTGCACAAATTTGCCTGTAAGCACCCTGAATTAGGCTCAACTATGTGTGCTGTTGTTGCTTTTGAAAATTATGAACAAGCAAAAAAAGCATGTGAGATTTTAACAAATAATGATGACTGGAGGAAAGGAATGCGTGTGGTCCCTCTAATGGTTCCCAAAAAAAAAGAAGACAGAGATAAGAAAGACAAGAAGGACAAAAAAGAAAAGAAAAAAGATAAAGATGATGAAGTTTCACCTGAAGAATATTCAGCAGATGATAAAAAAAGACGTAGACGAGGAGGTCGCCGTAAAAAGACCAGAGTGGATGAACTTACTCAAGATTCATCTTGTTACAGCAGTGGGTCAGAGGGTGACTCTCCGTCCAAGCCTATTACTTCTGCTGCTAATAAGTACAGAAGTGGAGATCACCTTAGCCCAAATTTGACCCCACCAAGAGGTGGTCGAACCAGTCCAGCTGGCAGTCCCCACAACAAACGACGAGGTTTTGGAAAGTCACCTCTAGCTGATTCTAATCCAGGTGTTAGTCCTCGAAGCAGTCCTGAAACTGTGAGAAGAGGCATAGACTCATCTGGAGGTGATAGTACTCCGTCAAGCCCATGGGTGCAGAGGCGCCTGAGAGTCGCCCAGGAAAAAATTTCTGGTGGTAGTCCATTGGGCAGCCCTCTTTTAGGAAGACGCAACCCTGATGGTACGTTTATTCATGGATCAATACCAAGAATGCTGGACATGACCAATGTGTTACGTCAACCTAAAGGCCCTGATGACACCAAGGGATTTTACGGAGGAATGGGCAGAGGCAAACCTCGTAGCAGCACTATTGCTTAAGACTAACTGATAAATCACTGTCAAACAATTTACCTTGTAATGTTATTCACAGTTTTTGACAGGAGAATACTCTGTCTTTTCATCATACCATCATTTAAAAAAAATTATCATTTCTTCACAAGAAGTTGTTAAGGATATGCTACATTTGCTCTGCTTAGTCAAAGTGGTATGCTGTTATGCTTAGTGTGATGAGTAAAATATCTTGATCTTTGTGGTTCTTTTGTAATAAATTGTTTTGAACTTAACTTTTTCAGCATAGTTTTTACTTGTAGTGCATTTAAGTTTATATTACAAAAAATTACTATTTTAAAATTATGTTATATATATTTGATTACAATTTCGATTTTTAAAGTCCATAGATAATTGAGAATTGCCAGTTTGTCAGAGTATATTAAATTGTCAGTTACAAAACTTGAAAATATTTGCCTTTGAATTTTTTTTTACTGTTCATTCTAATTTTAAATTACAAAGTTGTTTATTGCATTATTTTTCTCTTGAAGTAGGCATTTTGCAAAAAATAAATAAATCGATGTAATACATTTACAGGTTATAATAAGCTAATAATGTCTTTTTCAAATATGAAGTTTTTTAAATTTGCATTTTTGTTTTCAATAGCAGCTAACATCTACTTGTTTTACATCATAATTTCAAGATGTTGGTGTTAGACTCAAGATGTCAAATTATTTTTTGAGTAATGTTTTTAAAATGTATTTTGTTAGTCATTAGAATAATATATATCTCTACCAACTACATTAGGTAGGTGGTTGCAGATCATTTCAAAGTAAATCAGCTTTTAAAATGTCTATAATTTTAGTATAATTATAAATTATATCTTTAGAACTTTTAATTAATCCAGTTTACCTTTTTTTATTTGGTTCACTTGAATTCAGTTTTTAATTCTGACAAAATTTTGCAAGTCAGTTAGAAATTCTTTTAATCTGTAAATGGATCTTTTTTAACATGATATCTTTGCTGCATTATTATGAACACAAGATTTGGAATAAATTATCTGTCAACCTTTCCTATACACTATTATACAGCAGATCTAAGTTATGGGCTGGAGGCTGACTAGTCTGGATTAACATATGGGCCAAATTTTATAATTGAATGAATGAAGTTCCTTAGCAGAGTACAAAAAAGTTGCAAAAATGTACACAAAATAGGTTTGTGAGTGTGCAGATTTGAAAATTAGGGAGAAAGCAACTTTGTCAAAAGGATTTAATGAATATAAGTGCACTTAATATTTTATACATTGATTTTATGTAGTGCTTAAATAGTTTTTTTAAACCTTAATTAAGCTCAGAACACAAAGGTAATTGAATTTGGAACAGCTGTTTTATTTAAAATAAACAGCTTTCTCTAAAAAACAATTTAGGCAGGAAGAAATATGTTTTTAGTTCTACGAACATTACTATCTTGTTTTAAAATTGAAAAGTCTTTAATTTATAGCAGTAAGAATTAAAAATAGGCATTTAATTAACTATGTAAGGCATTCCATTTGTTTTTTATGAAATACATAAATTGCACCCTTTTAAAAGCACACAAATGCTTATGTACAGTGCATTGTCTTAATTATAACTTTTCTGTTCATTCAAATGATCTCATCTTTTTACATTATTTTCTTAGCTTCCAAACTAAAATCAAACTAATATAATCAAATACATTGACCCATATAAATATTCAACAATAGCTGCTTGACTGCATTGGCAAGGATTATTTTTATTAAGAGTTTAATGATGTGGCATTGAAAATATAGTTAAACTGTAGACAAATGACTATTTGTACAAGATTTTTGATCATTCATAAAATGTGCATAAAAAAATATAGTAATGAGCAGGTACCAAATGGCCATGTTTAAAAATAATTTTCTCATACTGCTAACACAGATCTTCACCCTTAGGAAAAAAAATTAAATCTAATCAATATTGTTTATGTTAGTCCATTTATGTTTAAATTACTTAGGTCTTACTTAATAAAAAACTAAAATTTATTGTTCATGTGGTTTATCTATTTTTAACATGTATTGAGGTTGATTTAAAAAAAAATAGTTATTTAACCACTAATATAGGACTAGCACAATGTTATATAAAATGCTTTACCTTTGCCTAAGAAACAGGCCCTATGCTTTAAGGCTTAACAAGAAAGAAAAATTATGTCCGTGTCTGAGCTGTTTCTCCTTTAATTCACTTTTTTGGTTATTAATAGTAAAATTTAATTATGATTTTGTTTACAAATTTCTTTATAAATATGCTTGATTTTAAATAGCCAACAGATAGAATTAAACTAATAATAGAGATTTAGTTTGGTTCTTGCAGATATTTTTCTTCTCATTATTATTTGTCAATTATTTATTCAGTTACAAATTCCAGGATTTTAAAATTAAGTTATGCAAGTGAAATACTTGGCTAAAAGAATACAACCATACAGTAAAGCTGTTCATCTCTTAGTTTCTATATTTTACATGTATTGAATTGGCATTTGAAGTGAAGGCTTCTCTCCGTATGTATTTAAAACAATGCAAGTATAAGTTATTTTTTTATGTTCTTTGTTCAAGTAATCATTGCACTAGTCCTATTTTTAAGCTTGTTTTGTACAATGTATGTGTGTGGTTTTGCTGCCAATTTTTTATAGAACATTATTTTCTTTATAATGCATATCTGTAATTTCTGAAATACTCAAACAGTACTTAAAAGTTTTCAACTTTTTTATAATTAAGACTAAAAGAAAAACAATTTTTTATATTCCATAGGCAAATTATGTGCAGATTTACAAAAAAATAATATCCATTTTCTCATTTTATAGTTATAGTGTGAAGTTTACTATGTATAAACTTACAAAGAAGTGTTAGCTCTGTAATTAAAACAAACCATATCATACACAATGATTGTATTGTCTTCTAACTTCTAAACTTTTTAAATTTGACAACTTCAAAAATATTGCTCATTTTTTTAATGTACATATTTATTTATACATTTCCCCAAACAGTCATTGAATTAATGTACATTTCATTGTTTTCTTTTCATGGTGATATGACCTGGAAGCATTCCAAAAGTTCTTTTTGAAAAATAAGTTGTGTACTGAGTATAGACACATAAAACACATGGCTTATTTTGTTTTGCAATGTTCTTGTCATAGCAAACTGGCAATTTTTTCATTGTATCATGATAGCTAAAATTGAAGCCTAAATTTCTAAAATTGAAATTTTCTTGTATATAAAATGAATTCTGATCAAACTGGCTGTTACAAGGGGTACTTATTGTTTACAAACATTACTCACTTGCCAAAAGTGTTTACTCTCATACATACTGTTGCATTAAATGTCCACTGCAGCATTATTATGTTGCTGTCAGGATAAAGATTAAACTGAATCTAGTAAAATGTTTTAATTAGATTGTATTATTTATCAGTAGTGTTTTTAAAATGGGTATATGGTTAGCTATTGGTGGTGGGAATTAAAAGTTAAGTTTGTAGTTGTATTACATTGTAAGCATTATCATTTAGACCAAAAAATAATTGAAAATAGCTAATTAGCAGAACAGTCTCAACATTCTAATCATATTCATGCAATAGTCATTGTTTCCCACTCATTCTGCTTTTCTAATCATTTAATAAATTTCACCAGAAAAAAGTAATTAAAATGTTTAGATCATGTTAATTTTTTTTTAAATTCAGCTCAAAAAAGCTTAGTTATTATTTTATTTGTTTTAAATATTTTAAAGCATTTTGTTTTAAAATGTTATGAAAATTTTATGACTAATTTTATCTGATCATCTTTTTTTAAAGCAAAAATATTAGAAATATTCTTTTGTTTTTGTGTGCATGCATAAAGTTGTGGGTTTAAAAATTGATCTAAAAGTAAGAAATTTATTTTATTAAATCTTTCCTTTTGGTTTGTTTAAAAATGTATCCTGTATTTTTTTTTTATCCCTAAGTTAAAATGCACACCACATTGGTTTTTTGAAAGTGCTCAGATATAAATTTTACATACAACTTGTGTATAGCTTGATTTATGAACGATGCCGCTTAATGTTATGAGTTGACTCAACTTGATATATTTTTTGTTTAAGTCAATGTTATTTTTAAACGTGTGTAACTGAAGTGTCAGTGTGGAGTTGAATTAATCACAGCAGCATTTTGTGTACTTAAGATTGTGGAGTAATATTCTGTTTCTATCATGCAATTTTAAGTGTATTATAAATTTAACAAAGTGAGCTTAGAATCAAATTTTCTTTCATGTGAAAACATGACTTTTTTCAATTACATAGGAAAAAAACGGGTGGGGGGAGGGGAGAGAACTTTTAAAAATTGCTTTAATTTCTAATGTCTATTTTCATATTTAAAAAGCCCTCTGTAGATCAACTGAAATTGCCTTAATATAAATAAGTACTATATCTGCAAATGTTTCTCAAAAGCTTCCATGTTTGTGCCAGCCATGTTTAATTCTCTTGTTAAAATACACTGCTCATGTTACTTTTGATCAATCTTTATTTCACCTATGTTTATAACTGCTGACAGATCCTCAGTTTTCATGCAAGTGGTATCAAATCTGGTAATAACTAAGCTTATGACCATATATTGAAACATGTAGCAAGGTATATCTTGCTCTGGAATAGCAAATTGTTGCTGCATTAATGTCAACAATTTCTCTCCACCCGTGATTATAATGCATTGACTAGTTAAGTTCATGCAAATGTTTATATTTTATTCTGTATCAGAATCTTCAGTTGTGCTTAAACATTTTCTTTTGATACACTATGATTGGTAATAGAAAAATATGGATTTTCTTGCTGCAGAGAGAACTAATGAAACAAAGAATTTATTTTACTGTGTTCATGAGATAATTCTGGATAAGTTTTTGAAATCTCATTATACCTTTACCTCTGAGTTTTTATTTATCTTGAAACTAACATGCCAGCAAGTTTTATTTTTAGTTAATAATAAAAACAAATTTTAGATTACAAATTGTTTTCTTCACTTATCTGAGATATTATGTTTCTGTCACCTGTGATGTTTAAAATCAAAGTATTGGCTTCTTGTTAGTTTAAAAAATGTACGTTTAGTTCACCAAATAATCTGTCAGAATAATATCTTGAATCTTGTGTACAGTAAACTATGCTTTTTGGCTGCTGGAAACGTTTTTTTTAAAAAAAAAGCTATAAATAGCATTGGTGTTTGGTAACTAAACACTTAAAAAACTGCCTGCTATTTTTTAAAGGTTTTTTTTCTGGTTAAATTCGCCATGTACTGGCGTTGAAGGATTCAATGTTTGCTTTAACACAATACTCGGGATGGTGGGTTTTTTTTTAAATTAGTAAAGGCGAAAGTCACATGGCTCGATATAGCAATGATGTGTTTAAATAGCATAGATTTTAGTCAAAAATGTGTACGACCCTATAAGCCGACATATTTGTATAAATACACCCCCCCCCCCCCCCATCATTTAGTAACAAGGTCTAAGAATCACTATCCTGCACAAACCAAAGTTCGATAGCACTAACGAATGTCTAGCTAAGTCAACTTACTCATCCTTTTAGTAGGCTTAAATATGATAACAATTCGCATTCACATTGAAGGAAAATATAAGTACATCTAGTATTTAACATTGAGCTGTATCATACCCAATACATATACCACCCCAAGGCGTGTACTGTTCCGTAGGGAATCTGCATACTATATTAACTAGTGTCTATCGTAGACGCTGCCATTTAGTACTTATTTAGATTATTGGTATTGAGATTTGAGCATTGTTTTGAATTAATTTGAACATTAATTTTCCAGGTTGAAAAATCATTTGGTCTAACCGTTCTAACGTCTGACGTGTGTAATTATTTTCTTCCTTAACAAATTGTTCAATTACCCTCTCTCGTCCTCACAATCTTTACCGCTGAGTTACACAGGTGAAATGTCAATAATCAACTGCCAACACGTGGTCAGTGTTTACGATGTTGGGTAATGTTAGCTAACACCGCAACGTTAAACTGGCCGGAGGCCATATTGGCGACACAAGCTGTTGGCATTTAGTCAAACCAAAACTTGTCGCCATTTGATCAGTAGTAGGAAGAGTCCTCGCCCCTTGTAATGTTCGTTGTTCCAATACGTCGCCATTTGATCAGCAGGAAGAATGCTCGCCCCTTGTTCGATGTTCCAATCTGGGTTAGGAGGAAGGAATTATTGCACATCCTCGCCAAGATGGATCACATAAACCACAAACATTAAATGAGGTGTTAAAAACCTTAGCATAAATGTGTGTGTTCTTTACACGCGTTTTATATGTGATAGGTACAGGGGCGTAGCGAGGGGGGGGGGGGGGGGGGCGGGGGGTGCGGACCGCACCGGGTGACACCATTTAGGGGGGTGACACCAAGGCAAAAAATAGCAAAATATATAGAGAAAAACTCGAGGGGGGGGGTGCAAATCGAAAGTTTGAGGGGGGGTGCAAATCGAAAACTCGAGGGGGGGGGGTGGAAATCGAAAGTTTGAGGGGGGGGGTGCAAATCGAAAATTTGAAAGTTTATCCCTGGGAAGGGTCTCTATGCCTCTGGGGGGGTGACACCATTAAGTGCCGCACCGGGTGACACCCGACCTCGCTACGCCACTGGTGATAGGTACAGGGGCGTAGCGAGGGGGGGGGGGGGGGCGGGGGGTGCGGACCGCACCGGGTGACACCATTTAGGGGGGTGACACCAAGGCAAAAAATAGCAAAATATATAGAGAAAAACTCGAGGGGGGGGGTGCAAATCGAAAGTTTGTAAGTTTGTCCCTTGGAAGGGTCTCTATGCCTCTGGGGGGGGGGGTGACACCATTAAGTGCCGCACCGGGTGACACCCGACCTCGCTACGCCACTGGATAGGTACACATGTGTATTATTAATTGTTAATTGTTATATGTAGTGTGTGTGCTCTTTGGTGTTGTAAGTAAGCACACTTATGTGCTATGTAAAAGTGTTGTATGTAAGTGTGTGTGTTCTTTTCACATGTGTTGTAGGCCTTCATGTGTGTCCGCTACAGATATGTTGTGGTTTCTTTTCTATATACTTTATACTTATATTGTGTAGGCTATTTGTGCGTTTTGAGAAAGTGTGAGTGACGTGTGTTGTAAACTTGTATGCTGTATACTAATTATTTAAACTAGAATCGTCCTTGTATATATTATCCGTTTTCTTATTAACTACTTTTCATTCAGTGTTTTAGCTGTCTTATTTGATAGATGTACAATTTTTTTTAAAAGGACGGACAGTAGAGCTTGTGATTGCTAACCCGAAAGTCTCGAGTTTGGATCCGAGGCTGTAGGTAGTCCCTGAGTCCTCCCAGTTCTGAAGGGTACCTGACTTACATTAGGGAAAACAAAACCAGCCGAGAATTGTGCTGACCAAACTATCCAATTGAAACAGATGAACTTTATATTACTTAAGACGTCATATTTTGTACTGTAGTATGTATCTGGTAATTCCTGAAATAAATAAAAAATTAATGTTGATTGGAGTGAGCTATGCACTTGAAGACCTCGAGCCTAAATGTGCAGGTAAAAATATCATTTGAATGTAGGCCTACGTGTAAAACTATCATCTGAATGTAGGCCTATCTCGTGCTAGTGCAAATGGAAGATACGTTGGTTACATCTTGAAATAGTGATTGCAATACGCGGTAATATGCTAAAGATGGGAGGATGATACATCGGTTATTAGTGAGCAATCGCGTCAAAATAATCCCGCATATTAGCGTCGAATCAGAAAAAAATACCCTCGGGGGTTTAAGCTGATGAAAAACAGAGATAGCATCTTTTTTACGTCCTTGTTTTTTTTTTTTTTTAAGAAGGCCATATATAGATGTCGCTGCTTGCTGAAATAGTAGACTATTCTAGGTCAGAGATCGAATGTTTATCAAAGTCGAGGACAAGAGAGATAATCCCCCACCCCCTATTCATCCCAACCAGTTGTATATATATATATATATATATATATATATATATATATATATATATATATATATATATATATATATATATATATATATATATATATATAATATGGTTTTATACGTTTATGCTATCATGTTCGTGGGTAGGCTATTTGTTTTGAAGATGATATGATAAGCTGCACAGATAGATTGAACACAAATAGAACAGGTATTAATTTGGCTTCACTCTGATTGGTGTTCAGATGATAAGATATAATACCTTCCTACACCAACGTAAAAAGTACTAAACTAGTGTGGTTAGGCCTACACATAATTTAATTATGTCTATCTAACCATTTTCTTGACAACAGGGAATTTACTCCGATTTTTTTTTTACCCCAGCTCTCGACCACGCAAATCACTGGTGTAAAACTTTTTAAAAAAGTTTTAAAATTGTGCACCTGTCCAAACAAGGTAGGACAATGGGTTAGCTAAATAACATTGAAGACGAAACATCTCGTGCTATTGACGCATATTCGGTTGTTTACCGGTTTAAGGCAGAACAGACATATACTAAATTAATAAAATGCCGATGTATATATAGTATGTCATCGTGTGCATATAAATGCAACACGAAGGAAGCATAAAAGAGGGGGAGGGGGGAATCTATCAAGTTGTTGAGTTACAGTTATATGGGGTGGTGGAATTATAAGACTGTCTTTTATTTTCTTTAAGCCTATTTTGGGCAGTTTTCTGCCATTTCGATGGGTTTGAATAATAAGTTGTTGTAACGGGGGAAAGCTCCCCCCCGAAAAATTCAAGTGCCCCCCAGAGGCGTAGCGACCCTTCTCGGCGCCCGGGGACAAACTTTTCGATTTGCACCCCCTCAAGATTTCGATTTGCACCCCCCCCTCAAACTTTCGAGTCGCACCCCCCCTAGAGATTTACATTTGCACCCCCCCTCAAACTTTCGATTTTCACCCCCCCCCCCCCCTCGAGATTTCTATTTGCACCCCCCTCAAACTTTCGATTTGCACCCCCTCAACCTTTCAATTTATTTTTCCAACCCATTTTGGCGCCCCCCTTAGGTCGGCGCCCGGGGATATATGTCCCCCCCCCCCGCCCCCCTCGCTACTGGTGCCCCCCCCCCCCCCGGAGAAAAAGTCTGTAAGAAACACTGTTTTCAAATTGGTGGGTGAGGCGCGGGTGAGGAGTTTTCGGGAACATAAGTTAACTATATAAAAGTGGGGAGGAGAGACGCAAGATTGATAGATCGCCACGGGCGCCCGAATGAGTCGCTACCCATCTGGAAAAGACACAAGTAGTTATACAAACACCCATATATATATATATATATATATATATATATATATATATATATATATATATATATATATAACTAAATGCTTTCTAAATGCATATTATACATTCAGATACTACTATATTTTAATATACAACTAAAACGAATAGTGGAAATTTAGAAAAATAATCGAATAAAAAGAATAAAAGTGTTACTAAACACAGCTCTTGACCCTTAACTCCCATAGATTTAGTACAATAAGTTAACAAAACGGTAGATGTCTACATTCAAAATAAAACCCCACACTATGTGTGAACTATTACAACAATGTGTACGGTCCATTGCTTTAGAAAATATGGGTGTGAGGGGGGGGGGGGTTGGTGGTTGGTGGTCATAATTTTTTGAATTCTGTTTTTTTTATGCTATTGGACATATGTTATACTTATATATATATATATATATATATATATATATATATATATATATATATATATATATATATATATATATATATATATATATATATATATATATATATATATATATATATATATATATATATATATATATATATATGTTAAGTTGAAATCTTTTTGTTCCAAATAGATCTTTTTGTTCCAAATAGACATTGACCTTTATAGTTTTACAATTAAAAGTATTATATACTTCCTTTAGTAAATAAAGTAATAAAAAGTTAAAAAGTGAAAATAATCATTTACTGGCTTTCGATAAAAAAGCTTAGCTGGCAGAAATATTTCAACGCTATGTTGTTGTTTCGACTTTTTATCTTTTTTTTTTAACTTCGTACTCTGGACTCCAGGTGATTTTGTGGACTTTGATCTTAAGCTTGATTTTTAATCATATTTATTTAGTAATTTACTGTTTACCATTAGTCAGTAAAGGTGTAGATCTATATTATCTTAATAAAAGTGAGTATGCTTATCTAAACCTGTTAACAAACTACACAACTGTACACACAAGTTAGACGAAATCTCCTGATCAGTCCTCCGGGCTCTTACCTTGCCAGCAGACTAGAGATCTAGATCTAGTGAACTCTATGTACTATGTATAATGTACTATGTAAATGTATATTAAGTATTTAATAGATCTAGTATTTACTAGATCTATTTACATTTTATTTTTTCTTAGTAGATCTATTAGAATTAGAGATCATAGGCCTTGTTAGTATTTAATTACTATAATTAGGTTCTGTCTTGTAACATTGTAAGTTTTGTGATCACATTGCTGAAGAAAGCTGTAGCCTACCCTACAGTCCTACAGCTTCTGAGAACATGACTAGGCAGAGGTAGGCAGATGAGGGGGGGGGGAATAATCATGTAGCTTGTTAGTAGAAGCGAACTTAATCAACATAATGTCAGTTTTATACTTGATGCTTTCACTTCCACACTTAAGTTTTAGATATTATTATTATGGGCCAAACTGACAATGACAATGTTACTGTTAGTAGTACAGTAGAAATACACAACTTAAATCACTTCCCAACCAAGTGCAACAGGCCTTAGTTCTGGTCAATATAACTTTCAACATTCAAGACAGTCCACGGGACCAAGCAGGGGTAGCTTTTCTGTGCTTCATCCTCCAATAACAAATATTTTAGCCCCAGCTGGTGTCCACATATGATGTGAGGCCGCACAGAGTGGAAGGGAGTTCTGACTAGTGAAGATGACCTACATCAGCATTTCATTAAGGGTTTCTTAGAAATAAAATTATATTTATTTCATTATAATATTTTTGGTTGGGATGGACCTGTCTTAATTTTAATGATGATATATGGTAGTTGAGGGTGTTGTTAAATATTTGCTAAAACTGCATGATATAATTAGTTGATAATGAATGGATGGTACCTATCTAATAAAGTGAGATTTATTTTAGATGGACTGTCAAATCTTGATAAATTACATTAGCCTACACTTTTCTAAATTAAAGCCTTTAATCTGGGTAATAGTCATTATCTGAGAAACTAGATTAAGCTTAAAACACTGTGTAAAAAAATCCAGCTATTCAGCGTTTCTTCATTATAATTTGAGACAATTTTATCAGATATGATTTCTTTTAAGGCTAGAGCAGTTTGAAAACTGGTTTTTATTAGTTGAAATTTATTGTATATTTTTTCAGATTAACAATGACATCAGTGGATAAAATAGTCATGTCTGACACAGAAAGAACTTTCCAGTATAACAAAGATCTATTGACTTTGCCTGTACCAGATCTATCAAACACCCTGAAAAAATATTTACAGTCAGGTAGTTAGGCAAAATAAAAATAAAAATATAATTAGTCTTGTATTCAGTTTTAAAATTTCACTTGCACAAAATATCTATCATTCTTCTTTCAACCTAAGAGTAGAAACACAACACAGGTTCCATTATAGGCTCTGCATCAACAATAAAAACTTTTCACAACAATTAAAATATGGATGTATTCAGTATCAGCTTTGCCATACTCATAAAAATACTCCACCAACTCTTAATTTTTTAAAAATATAACGAAGTATTGAAAATGTATAATTTTTTGTGTTTCAAATTAAATTTTAGTAAAACCCTTGGTGACTGAGGATGAATATAAAAAGACTGAATTTATTGTCCAGCAGTTCGCTTCAGGAGAAGGAAAATACCTTCATGAGAAATTAAAGGAAAAAGCAAAGAATAAAAGAAATTGGGTGTGTAGGATATCAGTATAAAATGGCTTAGATAAAGTTCAATTTATAAATTTTACAATTACATGTTTTTGTTACAGTGAATTTTTAAAATTCTTAATTCGTATAGTATGCTAAAGAAATAATAAGTTAAAAGTTTAGCATTCAGCTTCTAGATAAAATGTATATATTCAGCAAATAAAAAGTTGTATTGTTTTATATCTTTAGCTAGAGCTATGGTGGGAAGATGCTGCATATCTGGAACTTAGACTGCAGAGGCCATTGATGAACATGGCTGGTCCAGCACCATATTCCTTAGATGTTTGGCCTGCCGAACCTGGATCACAAATACCCAGGGCAGCTCTTATAACCTACTACATTTTAAAGTTTTGGGAAATGTGTCGCAAGTATGCCCAGATTTAAAAAAAATTTTTCTCTTACCTTCAGAACCTAATTTATTCCTAATTAAGTAATTATAAAATAAATTTAGTCTGAGTTTTTAGTAGTGTCAAACCTCTCTTTACCTTGACAGCTAAGAAGCTGGATGCACATTAAATTATTTTAAATGTATTTTAGAATCCTTATTCTTATTTAATTAAGTAGAAAATTATCTGTTTTACTGGTTTTGTAATTTCCCTTTAGTCAACTTTTAAGAATTTTTATTCATGTTTTTGCCATATCTAGGGAAACATACAGACCAATGAAAGATAATAAAGGTAGACCACTTTGTATGTATCAGTTCAGAAGAATTTTTAACACATGTGCTGTGCCTGGTGTGCAGAAAGACAAACTAGTGGAGTATTTTCAAACTGGTAAAGACCTTTTTTGTTGTCTTCTACAATACTTGGTTTTGATTTTTTTTTCTAGTACACTTGATCACGATTCAAAATTATTTTTTTCCTACTAAACGTGATTATGATCTAAAATATATTATGTTTTATACACTTGCTCATGATTACAAATATATTTTACTTGTTTCTAGTACACTTTATCATGGTTTAAAATACATTTTTTGTTTGTTTCTAATACACTTTTAACATAGCTAAATATTCTTTTGTTATAATTTCTTCATACGTAATAATTATAACTAATTTTTAAAATCTATGATAAGCTTGTGATTCAAAGTTTAGATTTTCTCCCTCAGATTCTGAAGGTTCTTGTCCTTCTCACCTACTGGTGATGTCTAAAGGACACATGTACAGCTTTGATGTTTTGGACGAGAAGGGTGAGATTCTAACAGTCCCAGAGTTACAAGCACTGCTACAACAGATCAGAGACCACAGCTCCACACTAGGCCCAGCTGATGGTATCAATTTTATGACTTCAGAAGAAAGAACAACATGGGCTAGGGTGAGATGTTTTTTTTTTTAAACTTATCTTTTACTAAACTTGAAATAGATCATAATTTCATTTAAAACACTTTTTTAAAATTGAAATATATTCACTACATAAAAAAAAAATTCAAATGAAAATATGATTATTGTTGTAATTTCATTTGATGTTAATTTTTTACAGGCACGAAGTCACCTAGTAGCACTCAATCCCAAAAATTATCAGGTTATTGAACAAATTCAAACATCTGTGTTTGCATTATGGCTAGAGGATGGCTATGCAGGGGATGAAACTGATGTAAGTTTTGTTCCATTAAATGTTTCACATAATGCTTTATTTTAAAAAAAATTTCAAGTATATCATAAAATTAGTTCAACTTTTGTAACAAATTAGTGGAAAAAAGGTGTTTCTGTTTCTTTACATTGTTTAGTTGGCAAATAAGTCACTTCTGGGACCTGCTGAAAACAGATGGTTTGATAAATCCATATCCATGGGTGTCTATGAAAATGGGCTGTTCATCTCTAATGCTGATGTAAGAGTTTAATTTTTTCACTCTAATTTATTGTATATGTATTGCAACAGTAATGAAGGAAAATAGAAATCAGGATTTCTAATTTATGTAACTACATATTTAAGAATAATTTATTGTCTAGTTGCAAATGGATTGTTAATTGTCATTATTTGATTGCTTACAGCACACCCCTGCTGAAGGTATTATGATGGTATATGTTACAAGCTATGTACACTTAAAACTTCGTGAATGTCAGGGGAAATGGCAGGTAACTTGCAACTAAAAGTATTTCTTACTAATCGTAACAGAAATTGTTATTGGTATATGTAACTTAGTTTTCCTTTTTGATAATCTAGGGAAAATAATCAGAAGATCATTTGGGCAATGTTAATTAGGTCCATTATCTAGATATAAAGGGTGGAGTACTATAAGTTTTCAATTAAAATTATATTATGTTTTAGTACCCATTTAGAGTAATTGCTAAATTATAACAAACCATGTTTTCTAATTCTATCACACAGGGCAGCAGCCAGATAAGAAAGTTAAAACAACCAGAGCTACTACAGTTTGTGATAGATGACTTCCTTAGAAAAGAAATTGAAGCTGCCAAAAAAAATTATGCAAAGCTGGTAAGACCAAGTTTTTACATTTTAAAAATTAAAGCAATCCTTTATCAGTAACCAATTCTTGGTATTCCCCTTTGTTCATTTAGTGTACATTGCTGTAATTAACATAATTAATTGTTTTAAAATCTATTTATGTAGAGCCAGATAGCAACAGCAGAGTTGAGAGTGTACAGTAAATATGGCAAGCAGTATTGTAAAGAGAAAAATGTCCACCCAGATGCTCTGTGCCAGCTGGCTATGCAGTTGGCCTACTATAGGACTTACAGAAGGTCTGTCAGGAAATTATACTTCTACTAGGGCAGGGTACACCAATATTATTGTTCTGTTGTATGGACGGTGTGGTCAAATTTTAGCAGGGTATACCATCATTATTGTTCTGCTGGGTGGGACAGCGTGGTCAAATGGTAGAGCGCTTGGCTGCAAGCCTGAAATCTTGGTTCAGGCTTGTGACTTTAGGTCCTTAGCCCAAATCTCATTTTGGATGTGAATGTAGGTACACCCAGCAAGATGGGTACCAGACTAATGTTGAGGAAAGTAATTTAGTAAATAAGCCTGGGTGTATTGTTGACCGCACCATCCCTTCATATGCCAAGGTCTAGAAACATAAACTGTACTTCATCTTCCCAGTGAATCGTTAGGTCCAAAGATGAATCTTTAAAATTTTTCTTTATTGTTATGTTGTACACTGGGAGATAAATTATCCTTGGCATGCTAGTGTTCTTGGGGAAACCAAGATTAAAAATATCCCAGAAGAAATTTCTTAAAGCCATGGTTTTTCTTTCAGGTTAGCACCAACTTATGAAACTGCTCCCATTAAACAGTTCTATCATGGTAGGACAGAGACAATGAGAACCTGCACTAGTGAGGTAAAACAGTGGTGTGAGGCAATGCTGGATCCTTCTGCCAAGGTAACATTGAATGAAAGGATGTACTTAACCGTTGAAAGGTTCTATCCATTGATATGGTTGTTTGTAAATATTTATTCGTAATTGCACCCAATTTTTTTTTCCAGCCTCAAGACAAATTAAAAACATTCTTAACAGCATTAAAGAAACATGTCAATGACTTTAACGAAGCCTGTGAACTGAAAGGTCAGAGTTCAAGATTTAAGTTTCAGTAACTTTATGAATGAAATTAACTTTACTTAATTATAGCAAACTTTAAAATAAAATCTTAACTCCTTGAAACCCCTGAAAATATAAAATTTTATTTCATATCTTACTCCAAATTGGAATGTAAACAAGCATCTTATAGTTAGAATATATGTATGTAAAAAATAATGACCTATGTTTAAAAAAATGTTGCAGGTTGTGATAGGCATTTATTAGGGCTCTACCTGGTAGCTAAAGAAGAAAATCTTCCCGTCCCCATGATCTATCAGGACCCATCCTATTCTAAAAGGTTTGTCTTTATCTCTGAACACATAATTAAAAATCAACATTGGTATAAAGGTGATAGGGGGTTTAGGATTTAAGTGTGTGATGGATAATTTGATGAAAACCAAGAGAATCTGTATAGAAAACCCATGATAGGTTTGTGCAGCTTTAAATTACATGTTTTTAAAGTTTTGTTAAGGTACTAATTTAACAAAATTTAATAGTTAAAACAATTTATTTTTAAAACATTTAGGTTTTAATTGATCATTGTGCACAAATGTTAGTTAAAAACATGAATACATAAAACAACTACAAATATAAAGCCATCCCCCCCCCCCCCCCCAATTCTGCTTCTAGTGGTGGTGGTGGAAATTTCATTTTATCTACAAGCTGTCTTGGCTTTACAACTGTCATTGGAGGAGTTCTCCCTATGTGTGAGAACTGCATCGGAACATTTTATCGCATTAATGATGACAGGTTAGTAGCCAGACAAAACTCTAGTACCATAACCAATGTACAGAATTTCAGGTGACTGAAAATTTTCTGTTTAAGCTGACTCTTCAAACAGCCATGTTAATTGTTTTTTATAATTATAAAAAAAAAATACTTTTTCAATGAAATTTTTTAATTATTTATAACCTTTCATGAATTACTCTAAACAAAAAATATATAAATATAAAATACAAATTTTATAAAATACAAATTTAAAAAGTAAAAATGTTTTCACATTTTTAGTGTTAGATTATTGATGCTATAAATGTTTATCCTTTTAGATTATCTTTTTATGTAACCACATGGAATGCCGACAAGGACACAAGTAGTCCTGGTTTTGCTGATGCAATATGTAATGCCCTGGACTCTTTAAAAGAATTGCTGGATGTAGGAACAACCATGTCAAAACTGTGATATTTTCTAGCTGGTTTTTCAAAGTGCTGTTATATCATTCAGACTTCAAAAGCTTTGAGGTTTTGTTACTAGATTTTCATTACCATTTAGCATAATAGGCTCTTATTTATGAATGTATTTTATCATTTCTTACTACTTGAGGTAAAATATAATTTTGGAATGATTTTAATATGTTACATATTTTTGGACACCACTCTTTCATGGACACAAGTTTTTGCTTTGTATAGAGTAAAACTTATTCATTGCACCAAATCAAAACTTGCAGCTTAGCTAAGGCATAGGGGGCTTTTCTGTTTTATTTTTATCTATATTTTACAAGCCTGAATAATTATTAAAATCCTTTGCAAGTAAGAATTCTTTACTGCTTCGTTTGCCACCGAATCTGTATGAATTTTGTTTCAGGCAAATTCAGGGAATTGGCGTCTATATGTAGCTATTAATCAATATTATTTTAAAAATCAGTTTTATCAGATTATCATTAAAATAATTTTTTTACTATACAATTTTACAAGAATTCTCTTTTGTACATATTCATACAGTAATCACGAAAATTGTTTTAAAATAAATGGCAATTTGATTTTTTTCATCTACTATGTTAAAATATTTAATTTTTTTTGTTAACAAATTTTTAAAAGTTCTGGATATTCTAAATGGTATATGGGCAGCAATTTTCATGAAGTGAATTCACAGAGGAGGGGAAAAATCATAGTAAAAGTGATTATTGCAAAATTAAAGATCCCTATACCAAAAATCTTACAAAAGATTGTGTGTAAAGAATGTAAAATTACATTTTTTTTACTTTGTTACTTTTCACATAATGAAATGGATCATTTAAAGAGTAAACTTCACTTGTAATGTCTTTTGAAATTTCACTGTTTACTAATACATACAAATAAATAGCTCAAATCATCATATGTAGTTTCTGTTGTATTCATCCTATTTTTAAAAAATAATTTTACTAAATAAGAGAACCAAATTATTTTTCTGACAAAGTTTATTTCACAAAATGAAAATGTACAACCCCATACCCATAGCAGTTTATAACAATACAAATATTGCACATACAAAATTAAACAGTAATTTAAAATACAAAGGACTAAGAGAAAATTAAACTAAGCAATGTGAAATTAAATAAAAGTTTAAAAGCCTGCAATCACATAAAGCAGAAAGCCATGTATCTATATCACATTATCAAAGGTGTTTTTTTTTAATAATTGAAGCTACTCTTTCTTAAGTTGTAAATAGGAAAAAACTAACAGTTAATAAAGAGCTAACTGACCACATTTTTATTGTTTTTTTTTCTAGAAAAAAATAACAGTTAATAAAGAGCTAATTGACCACATTTAATTAATGTTTTTTCTGAGACTGAATTTCAAGTTCTGTCAACGTTTGGTCCCACAAGAAAAACTGCTTGGAAAGCAGAGTAACCTATAAAACATGTTAAGGATAAAATAGGCAAACTTCAAAACACATGTTCTAATGCTAGTCCCCATCTAGTAAATGTGGAGCTTCCAACATCCTTTAAACATGCCCCCAACTCAACCAAATTTTTTTAAAGGATACAATATTATTGTAGGTGTTTAGCAAACTACGGGTTTCTTCTGTGAGATTGGCTACTTCATCCTGTCAATACAAGAGAATTTGCATTAATTTATTGGCATATGGGTACCAAGACATATATGTAAACATATGAAGTGAAGAACACTTTTTAAAAATGGTTTTAGAAACTTTCTAGTACAACCTCTAAGCAATAAATTACCTGTTGTTCAATCTGTATTTGACTTAAAGCTTGTAACTTATCCGCTAACTTTGGAACAGCTGGAAGCAAGGTATATTATAATATATTACAAATAAAAAGATACAAGTAAAACTAGACTATACATTGTATAAAAAATTAATGCTAAAAGATAAAATTTAACATTTTATACCTTGAATATGTTCGCTATTTATGTGCTCCTGACTGAGAGATAATTTTTCCCACAGTACAGCTTGTTTTTCTAAAAAATCAGCCTCTGAAATTTACAGCAAGAAATGTGAATAAACTGGCAATAGCCAGTATCATAAATAATTTCACAAAATGTAAACAACCAAAGAGTTTTATCAGAAAAAGGATGATGATTTTTTTGACAGCTAATCGCTGGAACTGTAAAAAGAGACACTTGCCTGCTAGAACAATTTCTGCACGAGAATCAGTAGAAAGCATCATTTCATCAGTGTAGGCATGATCAAGGTACTTCTTAAGCTCTGGTACTAAAAAATGTTTAAGCCAACCAAATATGTAAGTATCTCATCCACCAGCAAGTTAACTTCTTTTGAAATATATTTATAGCTGATTAAATAAAATCAATTCAGGGTTACTTATCAGTATTTATATTTAATAAATAAAACTAAACAAAAAAGTAAGTACCGAAATTTGAGGAACTTATAGACTACAACTTACATTTTTCATACAATGCAGCAGCTCTCTTTTTGCCAGACAAAGCTGTTCCCAGTTTGCTTTGGACTTCCAATAGGCTTTCTATGCACTAAAAAACAAACAAACAACCAATATTAAAAACTAAAGAGATATGACAATTTAATGTGTGTACCTATAGCAGTGTAAGGCAAAGGTCTGAACTACTAAAATGAGTACGATGCAACATCAGCACAATGCAATCAAGAAACAAAATACACATTAAAAAAAAACATGATGCAAAATTGATGAATAATAATATAAAAAAAATTAAACTTCCTTTTGTTGGGCGTATATTTGTAAACGGTTATCTTAAATTATTCGCACATGTTCATTTTTCAAAGGTAAATGGATAAAACATACCTGTAATTTCACCTTTTTATCCTGAAAAAATTATATAAAAATTAATACGTATTGAACAAGCAAACCTATATATATATATATATATATATATATATATATATATATATATATATATATATATATATATATATATAGACACACATGTAAATAAGTAAAGTTCCCTTTTTGTTCCTGACGGTCCATAGGGCAAGTGAAATAGAGTTCACCTGTTTCTGTGACCTTAGCATATTAAGGGAAAGTGTGGTCAGCACTATCCCCATTTATGTATATGTATGTATATATGTGTGTATATATATATATATACATTTGATTTTCTGCCATTAAAAACAAATTTTAAAACTTTATAAATAGATAAGGCAGCATTTAAAAAGTAAAAAAAAAACTCTGAATCAATATATTTGCTTAGTAACATAATACATTTTCTATTGGTGTCAATTTTAAATTAAAGACATTTCACTGCAAGTCTCATGGCACATGAACATGCATGTCACTCACAATGCACAAACATTACATGTCCATTAATAATTAATGTTTAAAACAGAGAATAAATATGTAAAAAGAATATAGCATGTCTGCGTAATTGATTTTTTTTTTGGTATGGTTGCTGATTCAATTATTTGGCTGTTTTTATGTTAAGTGTAAAAACTCTCTATGACAGCATCTGCAAACATGTACAATCTATTGTATAGCATGGGGATGATAATCATCAAGGAGAATTTTAAAAATATTAATCAAGATATAAGACTGTTCTGATGTGGAGAATGGCTTTTTATTTGAACATAAATGTAATAATGATCATGCTTGTTAAATATAAAGCATCATCAGTTTTGATTAGATAGAATTTAAATGCAACATCCTTATTATAGATTATAGAGACATTCTAAGAACTACAGGTAATAGCTGAAAGTAAGGAAATAAATATATTTTGAAAGCAACAATTATCAACAACATACCATCACAGAAAACAACTAATTAAGTAGATAGTCCTTTACTGAAGCTGACACAGCAAGGAAATGATGCAAGTACAACATAGGGGAAATGTACCTAATTATTATAGAATGATAATCTACATACTACATCCCTATACATTAATATTTTTTTTTACAAAAAATATCCTTCTAGGTCAAATAACATTTTTGTAAAAATGAATTTTCACTGTTATGGGTGGAAAAGCTTATATAAATTGTAAATTTGCTTTATAGTTAGTGACATGCCAAAGATTACCATGCTATATTCTACATGTTATTAGGTACATTACAAATAGGATAAATAGGTCCTACAGACCAATTTTCACACTCTACTTCTATTTATTTATTAAATATATCATGATAAAATGTTGTACATTGCTGCTAGAGAATGCTAGAACACAGTCGCACAGGAATCAATGTTTCTTTGGATTTGCAACTTTAAAACATTGTCATTGATTCTAAAAATATTAAAATTCTGATTTAATTTTAAGCTTAAGTTTTTCTTTTTTTAATTATTTTTATGGTTGCTTTGATTGCAAAATCTAAAAAAAAGCATGTTTTTAATCCATGTCAATTATTGTCAACAATATCATAAATATGACTAAGATATGATGATGATCGGTATTAAATAGAGATAAGCGATGTTTTCATCAGATGTAACCAAGCTCTTGTTAAAGTTTTGTTGCTGTTGTGAAATTGTAGTTAGAGGTTCAGGAGCAACCACTCTAATTTACAGATGGCAGCTGTTTACTTTAGCAAATCTTGATCCTGCAGTTTAAAGTTAATTTCTGACCCATATAGATACTATACCTATTCAGTATATTCAAAGTATATATTGACTATATTGATAAATTTAAACATTGCTTTTGGATTTACTTTTGGCTTATTATTAAATTATAGATCTATATTATCTAATGTTGAATTATTCACAGAATTAGTGACTGCTATTATTAGGGGCAGTTAATTTAAGGGAGGTAATGTGTTTATAATAAAATACGCTCAACTGGAGGTGAACGTGAAGTGGGGAATAAAATACGCTAAAATGGAGTTTTACCAACAAGGTCTGCTTCATCTTTTCATTGTCGTCTAAAAACTGTCATCACGGACTGCTGTTTGTTTTTACGAAGTGACTAGTCGGAAGAAGATTTTTCTCCCCAACGTCTCTACTTAGTCGGCAAAAGATAGCTCTGCGCATGCGCAGTGACCTATGGCATAGGGTTAGGGGTAGAATGAGGGTTAGGGGTAGGATTAGGGATAGGGTTAGGGGTAGGATTAGGGATAGGGTTAGGATTAGGGCTAGGGTTAGGATTAGGGGTAGGGATAGGATTAGGGATAGGGATAGGATTAGGGTTGGTGTTAGGGTTCTGCGGTTGTAAACACACGCATGCGCAGTACCATCAAAAACATCACAGCGAAGGCAAGTCGTAGTTTCTCTCCATTGCGCATGCGTATCGCATGCGTATCTTATTCCGGCTAGAATCGGCCTTGTTTTTAACTTTAGTTTTAAAGCACAAAATATTTTCAGTTGCAGCATTGGTTATTGAATTGTATTGGTGGTTGTGTTGAATTCACAAAATTAATAATTATGATTATTAGGCTAATTTTAGCCTAATATTCTAAACGACAGTTTACAGACGACATTGTCGTGTCGACAATGAAAAGCTGAGATGTCTGACAATAAAAAAAGAATAAAAAGATTTTTAAGAAGCAGACCTTGCTGGTAAAATTATTAAATTATACTTATAGCCTACTGAAAAGTAGAAAACAGTTAGATCTATATTCCTAGTGGGTCTAGTGATCTAAAAATGATCTTACTTTTGGATAATCAGCATCTTTTTCTGAGTTCCCAAACACCAGTGATTCAAGCTTGGAAATTCTCTGTTCGAGAAATTCCACGGACTCGTAGGCTGCCATTATTTATTGTTATTATTGAATTTGTTAATGAATACAATGTAACTTCCTGAATCCAAACTAAGTTTCGCACCTTAGGCCTATTACAAAAATTCGAAATGAAAATAAAAATGACGTGAAATCAGTCTAGCCTTTTACTTTTAAAATTAATAAACACAAAAAAAAAACAACAACAATAACACAAAAAAAAATAGAAATAAATACCAACACTTGCTACAGTACTACAGAACACTAGATCTAGTCTAGTAACAAAAATATGAACTAGGCTAGATTCTAACTATTATGACTGAAGTTTTAGTTTTTTGAAAATATTTATTTATTTGGTTAGGTTCAAATAAAGTTAAATAAAGCATTAATTTATTAATGAGCTTAATGATTAAGGTATTGTAATTATAAACCATTGTCATTAAACCATGATAATAACTATAATCTTGGCCTCCTGATTAAATTATTTTTTTAGTTTATTGATCTTGTTACTATATTATGTTTTCTTAAGACAGAGTAACAAATAAGTGGTACGGCCGATTCTTAAAGTGCCAAATCACTCCACATCAGCGGTGGGTGACAAAAATTAAATTGTGGAATTGTCAATACTGAATACTCATCAAATACTTGTTTAGTTACTAGCTAGTGTTTCGCTCCAGCTTGTGGGCTTTCATTATTTATGTTAGTTACTTTTGTCAAAGCAGAAATAATAAAAAAGTATAAGTATTCTTTTGACAGCTGAACACAAACAAAAAGACTATTTTAAAACATGACTAGAATCCAGAGATGAATAAAAAAGATTCATTTTTTTTTACTGCTATACAAATCTTATATTGACATTCTAAACTTATTCTTGACCCATTGCTTTATTTTACTGCACTAGTAACTTTTTAAATTTTGCTTGAAATTAAATTAAATTATTTAGAGCTTGTTTTTTTAATCATATTAGGTAAAGAGCTTTAGACTATAGTCAGTACTGTTGTAACCTATTTAGAGTTTAAATCAGTATTGTTTATATTTTTATATATTCTATAGTAAAGCACCAATGTTTCTGGTTAATGTACTAGATTGATAAATGAAAATTGAAGACATTGTAAAACAATAGTATTTTAATCACATGTTTATTTATAACATTCATAATATTATATTATATAACATTTTTGCTAATTTTTAAAGCTTTCTAAAACTAATAAACATTTAATATTCAAACTTCACAAAAAAGAATTAAGAGATGGCACAGGGCAATAAATACATTTTTCTACTTAACATTTCAATACACACAGTTAATAGGTACAGCTCATTTATTCTCTTAGGTACTGAAACAAAAAAAGAAATTTAGGCACAATATCCTCCTTACATAAGTTTGAAACCAATAAATAATAATGATCTGTGGAGTTCAATAACCTGATTTTATTAATGCAGTGACACAATTTTGAAATTTTATTCAAGAAAGTACAGCAAATCTATGAGCCATACAAAATTAAGTACAACTCAATATTGTGCCGCTTGAGGGGAATCCCCTGGGGGGGGGGGGAGGCGGCAAAAGAGAGGGTGCACAAGTCAGGCCTGGGGGCAGGAGTCTTCCTGAAGAACTAAAGATGGCAGAAATGTCTTGGGAGACTGTAAAATTAAGTCAGGATCCAGATGATGGTTGAGGCCCTATGCTCCACAGAGTAGAAAGAACTAAGAAAAGTTAGTCAACATTGAGGCAACAGTGTTTTAATTTAGAATTATTTATAACGATCCCCTTGATTTGTCAACACTTTTTTTGGAAATGATACAAGAAACACAAGTGACAAGTTTAACATAGTCAAGTACAGACAACTCAAACATTCCTACTTGTTTAATTTTTATGTGCCTTTTTCCAATAATACTGTTGCAACAAAGGATAATCCAGTGCACTAAATTTAACTAATTCATCTTCACACTAACTTTTTTTAAAATTTTAAACATATACAAAGTATATCTCTAAATATATATATATAAATTGTGTTACTTTTTTTTTAAAGATGTGAAAGGCTACCTACTGGGAGGTAGCTAATTTAGAACCTTGACCAATAGATGATTTGGAAGACTTGTATTAAAATCAACTAAGATACTTGAAAAAAAAAAGACTTAATGCAAAACTCGGGACAGAAACACATGTTGCATTAAAAAAAGAGATTTATTCATTTCAGTAAATGGGCCAATACTCAAATAACATAACCATCACCTAAATATACATAATTTATTTGAACCTTAAGCCCATAAAGTATTGGAGTGTTTCTATATATCAAATTATGTATAATTTCATCAACTTTTAACTTTAAATAACATTTGAAGATTCAAATGTGATCTCACATTTATCTGAAAATTTTATGGATATTTCCCAATGTTAGACATTTAATGTAACCATAATATAATTTTGTATTCATTTTAAAAAAAAAAACACAATTATATATTTTAAAATTTATTTGATAATTTTAGGAAGTAAACATTTTAGTAATTTTCAACAGAATTTCTTTTAACAGAAAATATATACACCAAAAAAAAAAATCATCGCTGTGTCAACAACATGAAAGTGATGTCCATGACATTGTGCTATCATAGAGATTGTTCTGTCATAGACATCAAATCATAGAGGACTTTGAGCATTAGAAAATAAGGATGCCAACAAGTCTATACTAAAGATGAGTCAACCAATAATCTACATATAGTCTGGAATTTTAACAAGAAAAATCTTAAACCACAGCTGATAATGTAACTTTTAGGTAAAATAAATGTGGGCATCTAGTCTTTTTTTTATTAAACAATGAATCTAAAATAAATTATTACATATCAAAATGCCTATTTATTGTAAGTAGAATAAATAAGTTTTATCATATAATATTCACATGGTCAAATTAATTACATAACATGTACATAAAGAAATTACAGCACCATAACAAGATATGATCATATGGATTGTCTCTGATCCAATTTAAAAAAATTCAACCAGAATAGCATATTGCCACATGAAACATTTATTTAAACCAGTACATCTTTAAAATCTGGCTACTTTCATTTTAGCATGATTCATGAAGGAACAACTTCAATTCTTTTTCTTTTGTAGGATTTATTTAGAAAGATTTGAGTCTGAATTTGAAGGATGTGGCAATTTTATCTACACAGCTTTTATACTGAGTGGCTCAGATAGGTTGTGAACTGACTGCTGCGAAAACTGAGAAATGTTTATTGGTGTGGCACCCAGACCAGATAAGTGGAAAAAATAAGATTGTTTTTCTACTTGTACAGTTATTGAGCTTATCCCAGCGTCCTTAAAGATTGATGTCACCTGCAGAAGAAAAAATTATTTAAACGTTTTCTTCCTGTTATACAATCTGCATGTATTTATTTCAAATTGATACATTTTAATAAAGTTAATAAAATATAAAAACCCAGAAAAACCCTTTTTATCAAGTTTAAAATTTTTTTTTGGCACTAACAAAATTCAAATTTACTTTTTCTTTAGGGCTTTAAAAAAGTTACCAAAAAAAAAATTAATAATTTTCTACAAACCCATACAAAAAGCTTGAAACCCATCATACCTGGGCAATTATCCTTTGCTCCTGTGCTTGTGGCCACACCTGGATATGAATCATGCCAAATATTTTGTTGGCGGTGTGGGACCAAAAATGGGGTTCTCTGTAGGATAAAACTCCTTCTAGGGTTGTTATCTTAGGGGAAAGAAAACAGTATCAGTAAAAATAACACCAACCTAAAACATTTGAGAGGGATGTTATGCAGAAGATAACCCATGGGATTTTATGAAACAAAATTCAAGGATTTTGATTAATTACTACCAGAAAGTACTGTTAAAATTTACCTTGTGCAAGGCAGTGTGTATTGAGTCATCAACATCTGTGGGAGACCTCAGAATGAGAATCACTGCAGTTTCCTTCAGAAGAGGAATGACACTGAGAAATATCATTGTGGCGATGAACAAGGAACATATGGGATCAGCAATGTTCCAGCCAAAGTTTTCAATAAGAAGTGTTGACACAATGACACCCACACTTCCCATTGTGTCTGCCACAACATGGAGAAAAACTCCTGAAATTTTAAGATAATTTTTTTTTGTACTGAGGTATTTAAAAAAAAACCCAACAATCTTATCTGTCTGATTAACGGTGATAGCTATCATCTAAAAAACAATAGTCTAAGTTGATCATTTTCAATATATAATAACTACATTAACAGTTACATTAAAATATGCAGCTTTGTCAAGAAATGTTATCAATCAAGATGATTCTGTAAATTATTATATTTTTAAAGCTATATTTATCACAGACAACATCACACAACAAACCTTCCATGTTAGTGTTATGATGAGCATGCCCATGTGAGACAGCAGGTGAGGAAGAACATTCCTGAGAGCCAGCACCATGGCTGTGTCCATGACCTCCGCCTCCATGACTGTGGCCATGACCTCCACCACCATGACTGTGTCCATGACCTCCCCCTCCATGACTATGGCCATGAGATAGTGAACTCTGGAATGCAACTATCCCAATCAAGTTGACCAAAAGACCCATTACTGACACAGTCTGAAAATTGTAAAAACAACATTATTATAACTTGCAAAAAAAATCTCAAACTTAAAGAGAAAAATAATGAATGTTTCTTATAATGGTTATAGATTTTGGTAATTGAATGTTCAACAACTGAAATAACATACAGTAAAATGTAAAAAAATCAAGCTTTGCTTTAGTTCTTTAAATTATGTGAACATGAAGGCTACCAGATACAACTTACCAGTAACCTTTCAGTGATGACCTCAGGAGGTTCAAACATTCTAGCCAAGGCCTCAGCAAACACAAACAAAGCAATAACTACTAAAAATAGTCCATTCACAAATCCTGACAAAACCTCCACTCTGTCATATCTAAAATACAAACAGGATTTGTTAGAATAAATTATCCTTTATAATCTTCAGCTAGAGAATTTTTTTTTTAAAGTTCATTTGTTCATTTATCACAAAATTACAGGTTACAAGTTAACAAATCATTACACTACAAAATAATTTATCCTATGAATGGCACTGACTCAGAATACTTTTTAAAGGGAGATAAATATTTTAAAAATCTGATGTAATGTTATTAAAACAGGTGATTATAACAATTTAATCTAATTACTTTTCTATAGACCAAATATATTTACTAATAATAAATAGTAACAAAACACATTTTGAAACAAAAAAAAAGACAAAATAAATTTTTTTCTTTCCTATTTGTCACATGGCATCACTCACAAACTAGCTCATGTGTTATACAAAAAAGAAATATCAGGGGAACATTTGCAAATTTTAAAAACAAGTTTCTAATTTTTTTTTTAAGCTTCAATCTTGATTTAAAATAAAAAGTTATTCAGGGCACAAAAAAATGTTTGTAGGCCATGTCAACAATAATTACTAGTTAATAGATCTGATACTCTCTAAAAAAACTTTTAATACAAAGTTAAACTATATACAAATACTGAGCAATGAATTTTCCATTTCTTAATGTCAGCCTGAAATCCTTACCCAAAAGAGAAAACTCTAGTCGCCTTCCATCTAACCATGATGGATGCATAGAGTCCCATAACAAGGGCAGAGCAGTCAAATAACATGTGAAAACCATCTGATATCAGTCCTAAGCTGTTGGTCCAAACACCATACAACAATTCTACAAATGTGAAACCTGTTCAAAGTTAGACATAAAGAAGACAAAAGTGTAAGAAAACTGATATTGTTTTGTAAAAATTAGATCTAAAAAAATGTTTACTTTAGATATTTAAAATGAAAGGACCCATTGTAAAAATGTGTTTAATTTATTAATTTACTGTATCTATAAAATTAGCTTTTCACAACTGAAGTTTGCCAGGTGGAATTCAATCTGACAGTGCTTATTTGATAATTTTAAATAGATTAAAGAACTATTTAAAAGACAATTTAAGTTAAACCTACAAAGGTTTATGCAGAGAAAATAAAATATTTTTCTAGAGTCTCCATCCTCCAAAATTTGTCTCAGCCCACTTTTTAAAACAGAAATAATGGACTGCGATGTTTTCTGAAGAGCTTCACTTGAAATGGAGTAGAGTGGCAGCCCTGCTGGGTTATAGCCAATAAAGCTTCCCTTAGCTGCGCGTCCACGAGCCATAACCATTCTCGTTGCTGAAAAAAATATTTTCTGTTTAGCATTTTGAAAAATAACAATCCATAGTATTAAATGTAAAATTTTCATTTTTGAATACATATTTACCTAAGAGAAAAGCAAAAACACTGAAAATAACACCCCCAGACAGAACATGATCTTCTGTTATAATATCATCCAGCTTGTGTAAAGTTGTCACCCGTGTGATGTATGGGTGGGTCCATGTCAGACTCAGCACAATGGCGGCACTAAACATGGCTGCTGGTGCCAAGAAGACAGCTTTGATTGGCTGGAGATGACTAGACGCAAGACTCTCAATGTAGAAGTCAAACACGCCAACAAATAAAATTACCAGCAACAGTGGGAATATGAGGTAAAGCCAAGACTGAATCTCATTCTGAAATTATCAAAATAAAAATAGTTTAGTTACAAATTATAATGACTAATAATGACACACAATCTTGTCACATCTTTTAAAAAATTAATATAAATTCAATTAAAAAACTTTTAATGAAATAAAACATATTTTAACAAATGTTATAAGATGAAATAAAAATTAGGGAATGTGATAATTTTTTAAATGCCACACCTCGGTAGAGATATAAATAAAGCAAGCCCAGGGCCACAACAGTCCTGTGGAGACTAATGTAGACAAACTGTGAAGGCGTTTGGCGCCTCCAACTTCAACTGAAAGCTTCTTAGAAGCAGAATTATATCCTGAGTGGAGGCACAGAGTAAGGAACAACAACAAGACACCTCCCTGTGAATACGAAATTTTCATAGCTTAAACATCTAATTATTTCCATTGCAAAATAGTTGACTTGATATTGAACTTTAGGCTACACATTTTGTAATTACTTGGTATAAACTAACCTTGTGATCTGACCATCCAAGAAAATCTATTCCATGTTTAAAAATATGAGTTAATATGTTGTGATGAATACTTTCTGCTGAAATATCAAGACAAGATTTAGACATTATTTACTGCAAGTTTTATAAAAGTTTACCATTAGTATTAAGCCATTTGACCACTAGTGATCTTCCATATATTTATTTTAAAAAGTAATAAACTAGGGCTATGGAATGGAAGGGGAAATAATTTTTATATTATCCACTTTAAAATTGTTAAACTACATGACATAAAACAATGAGGCGTATTTGCCATACTCACCATTTTCATGATCTCCCATTTGGCTCAGTTTCTCATCATGATCAAAAACCAGAAGTGACAAAACAGCCACAATAAAAAATATAGCACCCCTAGCCTGTAACAGTTATGTAAAATTTGTTAGCCCTGCTCAACATCTACAAACTTTCAAATTAAAGTATTACCAACACCAAAATAATTAGAGAAAATAACTAACAGTTAACTATTCTAGTAGGTAGAGTAATTTGCTTAATATAAAAATATGCTTAACATTCAGCAAGAAAAGTGTCCTTCACCTTAGCTGGTCCACCTCCAGGTCCACTAGATGAAAAAAGAGCACTAGCACCAGCAATAACAACCAATTCACTATGTTCAAAAAGCACAATAGTCCTGGGAAATAAATGCCATACATGAGTTTGTTTCCAGTTTAAATATATTACTCCACATTTATACTGATATATAAAGTTTCAACAGATTAATATGCCAATATTATTATGCACTTCTTAACTTTCTACAGTATTCACTCAAAATCACTGAGATCAATACATTTTTGTATTACCTTAAGGGGCCACAAAGCGTGAGGCCAAATATCCACAGAAAGTGGATTCCTGTTCCAAGTAATGCATGACGCCAAATACGAAACCACTGAGCAAATAATAATAGTTACAAATTAAACTAAAGAATATGCCAATGCTGAATTTTAAATACAAAAACACATTATAATTTACATTATCACATTAGACGAAAGAATAAATCTATAAATTGAGAGTTGTAAATAATTCAGATTTAAAAAAAATATAATTATATTGAAGAATGATTATTAAAAATAATTTACAAATAAAAAAATATTACAATTATTTAGTAAATTTGTATTATGTAGTTTTCTAAATTAAAAGCAGCAGAAGTGTAATGTAAACTCTTGATATTCATGTTAACTCTTCCAACCAGTACTTAATCATGGCTATCAAAATATTTTGTAACTTGATAGAAATTATATAACGCCTTCTTTTCACTCACAGCGGTGTGTGTGGGTTAAACAAATTTAAACAAATGTGACTACCAATACCTGATGTTTTGAAATTTGAGGTCCAGAAGAAAATGGTTTTTGTAAAAACACTAATGGAAGAGCCGTTCTGAAACAATTACAAGAAAATTAAAATTACTGAATATCAGTGAAGAAGAAAAATGAGTTGGTATTCATCACAATAGATTAACTCATATTTTTCAACACAGTATTGTGTTAACAAATGAATTTAGTACTTTCTAAAATATGAAAATGTTGTTCATGGATCTAATCTTACCCTGCCTTAAGTAAAAATAGAAATACAACAATTGGGATTAATTTCAGTAGATCATAGGCAATGAACAGTCCAACAGCTTTTAGCACCTTTGAAACTATGAGCAGAACAATATATACTGACAATCTGTAATGGAGAAAGAAATGAGAACCATGTATTTTAATTTACTTACAAGAATGAAAGCGTTTACTGAAAGTTTATTTAAGAGAAAGATCAATATTATAGATTAATATATAGATCTAGGCCTAATAATAAAAAATAAACTAATTTAAGAGACAAAGTTATCACATTATCATGATTATCTATCTTGATTTATATTATGATTAATGACATCAAACAGGCTGAATGCTCCAAGCAGTTTATATATAAGCTAGATTATACCCGTGATTCGCCACGGTGTGGATATGGATATTACCTCAGAGTTTACCGCGCTGTGCGCGGGTCCCCTCCCAGTATCCTCAGAGTTTACTGTGCTGCGCACTTCGCTATGGTGGGGATATGGATATTACCTCAAAATTTACTGCGCTGTGCGTAGATTGGGGTTCCCGCATTGGGGCGGATATTCCTTCAGCGCACCTGCGAGCAGGTGTTGGTAGCACTTTGTGAAAAATTGAGAGCCAACGCTCTCAAGAACGTTCGCCAAGACATCTCTACTCCCCGAACTCATGGCGTAATCTAAACCGCTGCCTAACAACGCATTTACCCGGGCGTCCGCGCCCAGGGAGAGCCTTCCACATGGTTCCAAAATCTATAGCGATGACGGAAGGAAGGACTGACACACTACCATCAGCGTTATACTATATTTATAGATAAATATAGTATAGGCCTATAGATTTATCAAGAACTTAGTCTTCTTAGTACTTATGACTTACCCTGAAGAAGAATGAAAACTTCTGCTTGGCAGTCCATTGTTTGTCAATCTTTGAACCATCTTCTATTTTTTTTTTTTTTTGCTCCCAAGTAGTACTGAATGTGTAGATCTAGATCCAGCTAGATTTTGATTAGTTAGTAGTTGTATGAAATGTATGCCTGGCTTTATTTACTCAAAGTTCATCATAATTTTAATTTAAAATATTTTTGTTGATGTTGGATATTTCAATTTGACCAACTGATGGTTTGATTTTTTATTTCAGTTAGGCCTACTGGCAGTCAGTGTTTGAGTGTAGTGTATACGTACTACTATTAACTTACTACTTAATCTTATAATTATTACTATTACTACTAGATTAGTAAATAAATTAGTAGTAGTACTAGAGTACTAGAACTACTAGATTCTACTCTAGAGTAAAAGTCTAACTTAACTAGAATCTAGAGTTTACTAGCAACATCAGTAGATAAAAACGTGTTTATCATTCATTACTATAGTTAAATACGATAAGCTATTTGTATTTCAAATATTCATTATTTATAAGGTTAAAGTGTAGATCTATCCGGTAAACAACGTATGCTCATTCCACCAAAAGCGATTTCCTTGCTACGGATCGTTAGATATTTTTCGAGTAATTTGCCGATACTATTTTGTCATGTTGGCAACTTGAGAATGATCTCCCTTTAACTTAATTGCTAGATCTAGATCTGTGCGCTCCAGTAAGTTATTCGTTTTATATTTGCGTCTAAATTAAAATCATTTTTTTTTTAGGTCTGATAATTTTTCCAAATGATAATTTCCAACAGTGAACTATTTATTAATCTATATAATTCTCTTCATTGAGGGACCATGCGAGACACCATGAGTGTTAGCATGCTCAACCACCACCTCCCTCGCTGTCTAGGCGTATCGCTACCACCCCCACCCCATCAGTCTGGTGAGCTGTGGTTTGCGTCAAATGTGTACAATTGTAGAGCCGGGTCGCATTAGTGATGGCTATTAGGGGCAGATAATTTAGTTTTTAAACAATTTGAAACTATGGGGAGGTAATAAGTTCTGCTTGATCTTTTCATTGACCTGTGTAAACTTTGGTCACGGATTGCTGCTTTCATGCAATTTTCACGGGAAAGGGGGGGGGGGGGGAAAGGGAGGGTGAGGATAATTGACTGTCCTTCACGAGCTACTGATAGTGTTTTAAAGCAAAATATTTTCATTTGCAGCATTGGTAGTGTTGAATTCACAAATTATGAATTACTGCAAAGTAGAAAATAAAACAACTAAATAGCGGCATATGCTTACGGCGCGGATCAGCTCGTTTAAAATAATAGATCTATTATATTCTATATTACTGTAGTATAGTTCTATAGGCCTAATAATAGTAATAATATCTTACAGATGTTGGTAATGGTAAAGTCAGATTTGAGGTCAACCAATTTGAATGATGAAAGCACAGTAAACAACCTTCTTTGGAAAATTAGTTACATGACTGTAGAGGAATCTTTCCAAAGTAATGAAAAAACCTAGGTATGGTATCAAATAAGGTTAAAACCAGTTTTTAATATGTGTTAACTAAATCTTCAGTTTGATTATTATAATAATAAATAATACAGGTGTATATCTTTTTAACAATCGATCCTACATTAATGTTTAGGCATCCTATATTCACAGGTCAAACTCAGTCCTTAAAAGTTTCATGAGTGATTCTAAGTTAATGCTCTCTTTAACATAGAAAGTGTTTGGAAATGACATTAGTGACCCTGATTTCCATCACTTTGTTGCTGATGTGTAACTACTAGCTGATGTACTGCTGAAAGATTTCCAGACAGGGAGAACCTATGTGAAGATGACAACAAAAAAAAGATGAAAGATAATTGATCAAGTTTGCTGTGGCAATATGTTGACATATACACAATTTATAGTTGAGTGTGGTGCGAGGATATTAATAGAAACTGTTTTATTTCTATAAGGAGAACTTGACCTTCTATTAATGGCCTGTATGATTTCTTTAATGTGAAATCAAAGTGACCGAGACATTATATCATATTATCATATGCACAAATCAATTTATTCTTAATCCTAACTTTACTGTCATTTGCTATCCTACACACTACTTCTGCAATCTAATGGTCTGACTTCACCTTTCTACTACTTAACAATCTACTCAACTTTAACTTCCTAACTAATTCATGATCTAAATTTAACTGTCTGCCATGCTAGCATTTTTCCAACTGTAGCTGACCTGCTGATAGTCACACTTGACCGGTCATATCAGTTTTCATTAGTTCCTACCTATCCTCAGCTTCTTGACTCATTTCTAAATATATCTACGTTTGTGTCCTCACACTGAGTATAAAAAAACTCCTTTGTTAAAAACAACCTCTTTTAAAAAATGTAGGCTAATAGTTTTATTTCTATTATTAAACTGTTACATTTTTTTTATAATGTTGTTGAAATGTTACTTATGAATGGCATATAAATGTAGTGTTTGTGATCTAGTAATGTGCAAGCTGCCTATTCTGTTTTTGTGGTTTGTTTAGGAAGTTTGCTATTAACATTTCAGTGTACAAGGGATTATTCAAGATTTTAGGCTTAAAAAACCCCCGAAACAATACATACATTAATATTCAAGATAATCTCTTTTTTTTATGAACTTTGGCTTTGTTCAGTGTTAAAAACAAACTGTATTACCTAGATCCACTGTTTAAGTCCTTGGATAAATTCAAGCTTCAATAATTTGTGTTATTAAACTTTCAATATACTTATTTCAAGTGAAGGGTGCAATAGGACAGTGGGATTAAATAATCTTTAATTAACCATGGCACTAGCAATATGTGTGGGTAACATTTTCTTGAAGAAAAAAATAAAACAATAAAATTTGCAGCATGGTTGCTATTATTATTATGGGTGTTTAAGTTATGTCTGAGATTTTTTCTTAAAAGAGTTAAAAAAACAACAACAAATGAGGCTTAGGATAAAATCTACTTTATTTGAACAAAACAGTCTTGCTACCAGTCAATTTTATATGATAACAGCAGTAAAACGTTACACATTTCATCACTATGATAAAATATTTGTTTTCTGATAGATTTTAATTAAAATTACAACATAAAATGTAATTTTTAAACATATATTTGAAATGGTACCAAGTACCCCCACTAATCAAATACAGTTAATGTTTAATCCCAAAAATAAGAACCAGTCTTTAAAATGTACAATAAAACTAATTCTAGTTAATATGATAATTTTAATGATTGAAAATGCAATAAAAATATATTTAGTTTCCCAGACATTTTAAAAATATCCAAAGTATTTGAAATGAAGTTATTTGATATGATTAGAAATATGTTGGATTATTAACCATCAGTAACTACTGTCAATAAAGGTAGGTACTTCAAACTAATAAATAAATACATCAAACACTTATGATTCATATCACTCGGGGTCAAGGTCAATTGCATTTAGTAATTGTTTAAAACTGAAAACTTTTTAGAGTACATAAACAATCATACTATTCTTAGGTTAAATAAAGCTAGCATAAATCAGTTTCCAGAATATGGAACACAAGATAACCTCAATCCTGCCCTGGATATTCTAAAATAAAATTTATTAAATGTGCTGTAAAATAAAAATAAAAAAATGACTACTATAAAGAAAAAAAGCAAGTATCTAGTAAAAAAAAAAACTAATGAATACTAGGGTACCTTTACTGTAAACAATTCCCTCTCTTTATCAGGTAGATTCAAATTAACCTGAAGAATATGCAGATCAATGTTCGAAACACAAAAACATTTAGTATTGTTTAAAATTTTATTAAAGATTTGTTTTCAGTTTAGAATCTAAAAAGTGTAAACATTGTCCATAAAATCTGTTTATTTTAAAGCAAGACAGAAATATGGTTTAAAGCTGCCCAGTTTTTTATTTAATCATTCTGTCAATCTAATATTCAAAATAAAATGTTTTTATCTTTTAAAATTAAAACCATAGTACACGTTTTAACAATTCAGCAATGCACCAAATAATTAAATTGATAACAAGAAAACAATATCTTAAGATAACGAAAGGGAAACATTTGTGTAGAATTGTAACCTTGCTTGCAAATAATATTTTTAATACTTATTTTTCATTAATTGTTTTTAGCATTGCACACATATAGGTATATTTTACATACACTAAATGCATAGATGCTTATATAAAAAGCTGACTTATTTTCTGTCTATCAAATCTTGCTTACATTTTATCAATAAATGTTTGTGAAAATCTACAAGCTCCATTTATAAATTACACACCTTAAATTAGCCAAACTCATATTTGGAAATTTCTTTGTTACATTCATAATGGATTAAAATATTTTCTCCCAAGTAAAAAGTGCAATGCCAACTAAATTATGACTAGGAAAACAAAATGTGATAGACCTGTTGAGCTTTTATGATAAGTCACAATGGATGATGTGGTATATCCATGATAACAGGGGAAACCAAAAGCATCAGAATTGGTGTTGTATCCACAAGAATATGGACACACAAAAGCAATCAAACCAGCAATGGAAATTTTTGCTCACAGAGGGTCTCAAACCAGATAGGAAAGTGTCCTTGGCAATGACAAAATTGTGCTTTTAAAAATAAAAAAAAAACATGAGTTATGGCACCTTTCCTTGCAAAAATATAAAATTACTTAAAGTAACTTCAATAATCCTTTCTACATAGTCTTAATTTAACAGCAGGATTAACTTAACTACTATAAATAAATATAAGAATTTAATACAATTACTAACATTACAAAAACATTAAATTTACATTTTGTATGCAGAAACGTTAAAAGAATAGTGAAATCTTATTCTGTTAATATCACAGCTCACGTGAAAAGCTTATGATGCCAAAATGGGACTGTACAGGACCAGAATGTTGATTGGTTTATATCAACTATTAGTCCACCATGAAATTGGGACTAAATTGGTTTCATATTTTAAAGCTTGATGCTTTGTCATATTTTTTAAGTTTCACTTTCACACAGCTAATAAATACTAAAATCTAAGTTTGTCATGGTTAGTACAGAATTTCCTGAACATTTTTTAAATTAATAACATTAAGATATGCACTGAATATGGAACAAATGAAAATCAAACTGCTGGACAAAATTGGCTATTATAATTACAATTCATATGAAACAGTTCTCTAAGCATTCATACAAATATTTCAATCAAAAACACATTCGTCCTGGGCAAGTTTAGCAATACTAAATTGGAATAACAAATATAATGTTTACTATTTTATAAGAGAAGGATGAGGAAATTAAAACTTATTTAGTAATTTTAGTTCTATCAATGCTAGTAAGTGTTTTGGGACAATTTCTAATAAATGTAGAATAGTTTTGAATAAAAATGTTGACTATATTAGGAATAAAAATAGCAAACTGTTATCAACAATGTAATCAAACTGCTAAACTCAGTAGTGCATAGATGAGTAACAATACTTTTGACATAAAAATAGGAAACAAAAGTCCATAATTTTTTTTATTAACAATTTTAACAAATGTTTGTCTCCCTTAGAATAGATAATTATGGGACACATCTTCTGAACCTAAAAAAATGTTTAATCTAAATGTTTTTTTAAATCTTCAACTTTATAAACAGTAGAAAATAGAATTCACATAAGAAGGACTAGGACTACACTGACTGGCCTATATTATATTAATTTTAAAACTTACTGGTGAGCTAAATGAACATTGTTGATGAAACAAACATTTGTAAGAGAGATAACTGACACAAGAGCAGGTGGAAAAAGATACTTCTACCTATATATATATAGTCAATGAAATTGTTATGTCAAAGCATGTATGAAACAGTTTTTTGTTGCAAAAATCAGCTGTAAAATGTACTGACCTCTTATCATGATTGATCTGTTTTACTAATGTTAACTGATAGAAGTTGGTAAAACTTAGTGTCAAATTTAAAATCTGAAGCTGCACAACACCAGCATCTAAATTACAGTATTGCTCTGTCTGATCTATTTACATAAAACTGAGGTCCATCAACATGAACTAATTGTTGCATACAAAGAAATCACAAGTAGAAAATTTGCTTTGTATCTCAACACATTATGCTTTTTAAAATGAAAGAATAACAGCAACTTATTTCTAACACAAAGCTTTTCATCAGTAAATATCAAATATAAGAAATAATTACTTCCTTAATAGTAATACTCCACTTTCTCCCTCTAAGGTTAATCAAACATGGAAGCATATTATTAAAAAAATTGCAACCAATATTTTGCACAGGTGTTTCTCAACAAAACATTAAAAGACAATAGAGTAATAAATAAGCCTAACTAAATGTTGTGTACTGTTGCAAGTGAAAGTCTGAGAGTTGTAGACGGCATAGAGACCACAGTGAGTTATGTGAAGCTCCTCAGCAAAGAAAGCTGCACAAGGAATGTAGTTTTCTTTGCTAAGAAGGACAAGAATGCCTGAGCTTTAAATAACATTCTATATCAACATTCAATAATATCACCAGAACATTACTTAAACATTTTGGTAACAAAATTTACTCAAAAATTATTCTGTCTTCCAGATATTTAATATCAATAGTAAATTGATGGTAATGTTGTATATCCTTGTAGAAGTCATGCTGAGACTAATATAATGTTTCATTATATTCAAGCTTTGGTTTTTTGTTTTAAAACAATAACAACAATGTCTATTCTGTGGAGACTTCTGCTGTTGGTGGTGTAACAAATATATCAATACAAGGATTTGGCACAGGATGAATTTTCTCCCTTTGTTGTGATTTGATCATTTCTGTCAGCGTAATGTTGATATCCCACTCCTCATGAAAATCTTCATTGTTAAATGCTGGTGGGACTGGCAGGCTGATTGAGTGACGGCGAATGGCTCCATCGTTTAACATGGGTACTTGGAGAGTGATTGTGCGTCGCCTGAAAAAAAAAGTATTTCTTAAAAGTTGGGAGGTTATGACACAATTTTAAAAGTAGCCTTAACAGCCTGAGTATTTCCTGAATCTGGAAATGATATAATTTTAAGTTGCCTGAAAAACAAAGAATTTCTTGTAGCTGGGACATGATGACACAGTTGCCTGAGTAAACATTCCTGAATCCAGAGCTTTAGAAAAAAAATCAATAATGACAGGTAAATAGACAAAGATGAAAATTCTGGTTCTGTTCAAAATGCAAAGAGGTCCTTTAGTTTTTTTTTTCAACCAATATTGCAGATTGCAGCATAGCTAAGGCTAGAGTGCGGGTAGTGTAAGCGCGCATTATAACTAGTAGTGTATAACACAATTACATTTCATTAAAAAAAAAGATCCAACCAACTAAAAATATAGTGTGAACTCAGGGATAACCATTACACTTCTTATCAACACAGTGAAAAATTATATACCTGTGTCTTGGCTCGGCTGAGAGATCTGTATTCGAACGCGATCTCTGAACAAAAACAGAGTTTCCGTCGTGACTTCGTCTTCTATATCGCTCCTTTGTTTCAGCTTCTCCCCTGCAGCCACAGGATCTTCCGCAGCAGAGCTGGCCCTCCTTAAATGTTCCATACCAAAGCTGCTTTTCCTTGGTTCCAATGGCCCAAAGTGCTCCTCCAGTTCCGCCTCCTCCTCCTCCTCTGCCAGGACTGAGGCATCTTCCGACTCTTCTTCCAATGGAGTTTGCTTCACACTCTCTGCTGCAAGCTCTGCCACAACAACTTTCGCTATGTCGCTTATGCTTCCGCTTTCGTCCTGCAAAGAAGGAAAAAAAATTAATTAGCTAAATTAATTCTGTGATATATAGCGGCTGTTAAAAAAAGTTCATATCTCAATTGAAAACAATTTATTATTTGATATAATTGATTTAAATAATTTTATTAAAGTTTTAAACTAATTGAATAATATGAAAAAAAGAGAGAAAAAAAAGCATTTAGAAAAAATAAAACAAAAATATATAATTATACCACATACAACATTTAAAATGTTTAGATACATTATAAAATATTCACTTGCATTTTTAATATTGTTCAGTTAAATTATTTAAAAAACATTCCATATAATTGAAGTGACTACATTATTACTAGTTAATCAAACATTGTATTAGGCAGCTTAAACAGTGGACTGGTAAACAAGTGTAGTTTCTCTGTCACCGAGTTTGGCACATCCTTCATTTGATTAGCATGAACATGCCCTTCCTGACAGTAATAATTAATCATACATTCATACTGGAAATTTCACATTCTACTTAATTGACCTTGTTTAATTTTTTCATAGGAAACAAATCGCTAGTTTAGAAACTGACAGAGATCATTGATGTCTTTAAAGATGTGGTGATACAAGTATTTATAACACTGTCTTTGAGGAATGACTAAGTTACCATTTCTTCTGAAGATGTGTACATTGCAGGCTTGAAAACACACTCACTCCATTAAAACAACAGTTAATTTAAGGTTTTATAAAAATATGAAATATTAATTTAGGGGGAACCAAACACTTTAAGCATAACACCAATCTAAAGCAACACTAAAGAGCAGTATGATTCTCTTGTTTAATAAGCTACTTGTGGTTTTTGAAAAGCAAACTCACGTAACCAAAATAACAGCCTTACAAAAAGTTTTAATGCACCTTATCCAGGGTAGTATAGATCTACAACTAGTATGTTGATAATAGTTATAATTGAACATGTTAAGATAATCTGCTTAATTTTTACTATTAAATTATTGTATTATCATTTAAATGGTTTTTCTCATGTATAAACAGTTCATGAATGTTTTCTCATGAAAATATAAAATAATTCAGTTTGAAGAAAACAAAAATAAATAAAGACTGTCATGCCAACAACAATTAAAAGAAACAATCAAAATTTTAACTAATTTTATGTTGTATCCAGTTTTTGAGATGTTTAAATGCATGCGTTCATAATTTAACTATTAGTAAAAAAGGAAAATATTAGTGATTCACAAATTCCCTTTTGTTAAACCTTTATTTCAACAATTGAAATATTTTTTTTGACAAATCACTTATTGTATAAAAGAAAAAAGAAATTAAGAAAATAACTTAAAAAATTAAGTTGTTTGAAAAAAAAAACATACTCTCATTAATGCTTTTTATTTCAGACTTAAGCAATGTTGAAAATCTTTTGTAGCTGAGACAAAAACATATAGACCAAGATATATTTATAGAATACCTGGAATGACAGGTGACAAACCTTAAAGAAAATCCTGGCTAGCCTTTCATCCTGTCAGTAGATTGTTGCACAAAACAAAGCAATCTTTATACAAAATTTGGTTGCACATTTACACTAGTCATCACAATTTGTTTAAAAACAAAATGCATGAGGGGAGATAATTTCCCTTTTAATCTCTAATCTAGACAATGTTTGAATATTAGGCCAACAAATTGTCGTGGTACTTCCAAATTAAATGCTCTTGTAGACTGGTCAGAGTTGGATTAGTTTGTTAAAAAGTTTACCTTGACATTCTTAATTTGTCCTTCCAAAAATAAAAGAGCTTCAAATGAACTGGCAAAAGTGGTAAAGGACCCAACCCAGAGAAAATATAGTTTAGCAACAAGTTATATTTAATTTAATTATTAGTTAGGTAACTTAGTCAATGTGGTTAAATAACTGAGAAACTATTTGATTAGAGAATGTATTAGATCATGCACAATGTATTAGGTCCCTCAGAGAACTCTATGGGCTTAAGGACAGGTTAGACAACCTACCCATGAACTCTAGCCAATCAGGCTGTAGAAAAGAGTTACAATGTTTTTAATGATGCTGATTCCTCTAAAATATAATGCACTTTTCAAAATATATTTTAAAAATAAAAAGATAAATTAATTAAAATACTTGAAATGAAATTAGACAAGAGGTACCACTAAAAAATTAGATAAGAATAATAAAAATCTAAAATACTAAAAGTTTAGAACTACACACTAAAAAACTAATACATCTCAACTAACCAGAAATTTTAAAAATTGTGGTGCATCATCTAAAGAAAAAAAGATTGGTCAGTGAAAGTTTCTATCTCTAGCTAAGAAGAAGCACAAGTAATGATGTGATGCACAATTCTAAAAAATAATGGCATTTACCTGTGAAATTTGTCTCAACCTATGTCGGATTAGTGACTCCATTCTTTGATGTTCCATCTCTTCTGCTTGCTTTAACTCCCTCTGTTTGCTATCAGCTGCTGACCTTTCCTTAAGTTTGGCATCCACCTCGTGGTAACTTTCTGAAACTGAGAACATGATGGCCGAGTTGGATGCGGGAGAACAGGGCGGGGAGCAGTCAATGAGGCAGGAAGTGTCGATGTTGTCAGTGATACTTGTGTACTCCCCAATCAGGGGGCTGAACATGGAGGTCAGGTCACGCACTGCCGCAGGGGGGATAGACTCTGGGTTAGGGGTCGTGAAGCAGGCAGACGACTGAGGCATTGAACAAGGTGTGAAACTGGAGGCTAGGTTTGTGTTGAGAGACAGTGACTGGCCGGTTAAGCTGTTCCTCCCTTTTCTGGATGGTTGGCTGGTGAATATCACAGTACTTGGCACACCTACAGCTATAACTGGTGGCTCAGGTGGAAGGTCATCTGGAGTTGCAGCCTCTGCTCCTCTCTCAGAGACGGTGTAATCAGGAAGTTGAGAAGATGTATGAGTCTCCGAGTCCAACTTAGACGTGACATCTATTGAGCTTTGTTTGGACAGCCGGAGCAGCCTATCACTCTGGTCGTAAGCCGAGTGGACCACAGGCTCAACAAACCTAACAGCCTGTGCAGCAAAGTTTTTAATTTTTTGTTTATGTGGGGTTTGTTCTGTGCTCTCAGTGGCACTCTCCTGCTTGTCTAAGACATCAGACAGCTCATCCTTGGAGTCTGTGCTGGTGTCTGTCAGTCCTAGAATGAACTTCACATTTCTGGCTGCTAGTTCTCTGTCGGCAGGCCCAGCACTCTCACCAACAAACTGATCAGTTTCCTCTAAGGGAAATTCGGAGCCACTTAACTGACGCCTTCGTATGTTGCTGGTGAACCTGAAAGGTACAAAGGTTATGTAAATTTTAAAAATGTATGTATAATTTAAGAAATTAATGGGATATTCAGACATATTAACCAGTAAATCCCAATCAGTGATAGAGTATTGCTGTTTAGAAAAATATAAAAACAATAAAAAAGCACAAACCAGTGAACAAGAGACAAAAAATTGATTATCTAATGACCTGGGCAGCAACTAATTTTGTTGAAAAAAATATTTACTATATGTTTTAGATCTATTTAAAGCTTGTGACTTATTTTCTATTTAATTATTGGTTATTTATTTTTTTTCTTATTTTTGGCCTTCCAACATTCAGTTTTTGACTACAAAACAAAATGTAAAGGTAAAAATTAAAGATATTTTATTCTTGCAATATGTCCTTACTTTTTGAGTTGGTCTGCTAAAGTTTTTCTTTTGGAATGCACAAGCATGGGTGAAGGGATATTCCTATCCCCTATATCAGAGCTGCCTAGACTGAATGTGCGAGGATGATGAAAGCTCCCATCCACACTGCTACTGCTGCTGTACACTGGGGGCTGGAGGTGGCTGTTGCTCTCCTGGAAAACATGACCACCAGGTCACATTGGTAAAGATGGAATCTTATTGGAGTTAAACACAATAATTCATACGACTTCAAAAATTATGGATTAGAAATTTTAGAGAAAACATCTGAGTAATTAAAAAGAAAGCTTTTGAGTAGACCATCATGACATGTGACTTACAATGACAGTTTGAGTCATCAAGCACTTATGACTGTAAGTTTTCAGTCATTCTTAAAATATTTTTTAAAGTTTTCAAGAGTAAAACCAAATCTAATAGGGACCAAAATTCCTTGAGCTTTGAGTTTTACTTTTAAATCTACCCAAAATGTGATTCTGAAAAAGTTATTAATTTACTGTCTGGTATCTTTGTAGCTAGTATATTAATTATCCGTTTTTCAATTCTAAAAGACAATTTAAATCATTTTAATTTGGATAAAAAAAACCCCCACAAATATGTACTCATATGAACAAGTAGCTAAAATCCCACGACTCAAATTTTAAGCTCAAAACAACTACAGAGCGACAAGTCATAGACAGTCACTTAACATATTGAAGATGTCTTTACCTCAGCCTATCCCTAAACAAAAAAGGGATTGTTTGTCCCAAGAATATAAAGAAACCATTCCCTCCCAAAGCATTTGAAGAAACCTCTGTGCATAGAGCATATAAGGTGATTGTACTACACAATGTCCTGCAGCCCAAACTTTCACCCAACTAGATGGTAACCATCAGATCTGGTGTATATGGGAATGTGTTATCAACACAAAGGCCAAACTCAAAACTTTCTGATAGCTCTACAAGCATCCATTTTCTGAATGCTGTCTTGGTTTAGATTGTTAGGAATATTATGTAAATAAACTATCAATATATCTGTAAATGATGAATTAATATCATACATTGAGGGAGTCCTCACTGCCATGTTCATCTTTGCTGGCCATGAGTTTAATTATTCTGATGGCCTCGTTTAAGCTGCCTTCAAGGTCATCTATTCGACTCATTCGATGATCTAAAGCTCCAAGACTAAGTCGAAGATGGTTTTCTTTGATGTTCATGTCGTCAAGCCTCAGGGACATGTTTTCAACTCTGATGTACAGATTCAAGTGATTACATTTTATAGCAATAAGCCTTCTTGGAAACAAAAAAAAAAGCAAACTAAAATAAGTAATCAACATGAGAGGCAAAACCCTATCTTAAAAGTGGCAATAACCTTTCACTAATAAATTTAATCCTTTCTTCAGAAGAGTTCTGATGTTTCAGGTCCTTCTCTCTGTACAAATCCTCCATACATTCTTCTTCAAAATCATGAAGTTTTTCTGTATCCTCATGTGACAAGAAAAGCTCTGGCAAAAAGAATAATTAAAACATCAATAGCGAGTGAGTGTAAAATACATAGCAGTTTACATAACTGCAATGTTCTTTGAACTATTTTCATTTTAAAAAGTTAAACATTTAATTCCTTACTTAATCCATTATCATAAAAATCCCTTTTTCCTTTGCATCTCCTCTTGATGTACTTGAATGCTAAATAAATATGAGTTATAATGATGAAGGGAGGGGGTAAGATAGGTCTCATTTCATACTGAAGAATCAGACCATAGCGCTGGAACATCCAGATTTCTTTGGAGTTGGCATTGTTGCGTATGAATGTAGCACTGTGGAAAAAAAACAAATTTTAGGTTACTTTGCATAATCTTTTAAACAGGCTTAACATACTAGTATCTAATGAAAGCATGAATTGTCTGGATATTACTTATATTTTACATAATTAAATAACTTATACTGCACCTCATTAAACAACTTATATCACACGTAATTTTTAAAAATTCTTTGATACAAAATAGATTCAACACTCAGTTGAATTGTGTTGTATTGTGTTAAAAACAAAAATGTTGAGTGTTTATACTAAAGAATGTTGGGTTTAGAATGTACTTACTTAAACCTAGCAATGAGCAGGTTAACCATGAGTATGTTGGCCACTAACAAGAACACACACATAAAGGCAGGTGCCAGCCATGAGGCATACACATTACAGTACTCAGCGTAGTCAGTGGAGTTTTCATCCAAACATGCTGAAACATGAGTTCTAATGTATACAACATCACGACTTTTACAAGATTATGGTCAGACATATTACCATTGTTGCTTATGACTGCTAGCCAAAAACGTTGTTAGAGAAGCTAAGGCAGCTAGACATAGTGATGACCACACTATTCCCATTTATGATCAAGTAATAGAAACAGATGAACTCTACTTCAGCTGCCTCCTGTATCTTGGGCATTTGCGGAAAAAGATGATGATCTTACCATTGTTGCAGAAATAACTACTTATGATTTGTTAACGTACAAAATTATAAAACACATTTTCAAAAGTTATATCATGAATATGCCAGGAATAGTAAATGATCTATTTTTCCATAAATACATCTTATCACACAAAAAGTATAATAAGTATTTTTTAATGTTAAAAGCCTATTGAGCCTTTATACTTTACAAGTAAAATCTTACGATCAATTTCTTCAGCAAACAACTCTCCATATATCATCCAGTACGGGTAATACCAAACATTTCTCAGACGTAATGGCCATGATGCATTTTTGTTTTGGAAATGGACAGTCTGACGCACTACTCCAAAACTTGTCACAGCAATGAACAATATGGTTAGAAAATAGCACATGTCTCGCAGCTGAAAAAAAGAAAAGGATTAAAATAGCTGATTGTCAAAGATGAAATTTTTAGCACATTAAAAATAAAGTTAATGGATTTGTTAAAACAGGCTGAACTTTTTAGAATATTTTTTTTGGTGATATTCATGTCCTTAATTCTTACAATAACTATAACCTTAATCTTGAGTTATTCATGAACCTGACCATAAATGTAATACTGTTAGAAAAAGCAGGCATAAAAAACAAGAAGTTAATTGATATGATTCCTAAGCTATAAATTGGTGGTTTTTAGATAGAGTTGGAACTGTGTCTGTATTATGATCTACGCACCAATTTGCCCATGATCTTCACATAAGGTCCCAGATATTTGTTAACAGAAAATATCTCCAGCATCCTGATATTCCAGAAGATAACATCCACGCTGTAGATGAGCTGTGCATCTCTTAACGTTGCAGGAATGAAGCGCAGTACAACCCCAACAGAGAACAGGGCTATGCCAATTGTGTCTAGAATATTCCACAGTTGGGAGATGTACACTCGAAGTTTCATGCTGATATTCACAGGCTCTGATGCAATTATCTGAATAGAATTAAACAGCCAGTATTTAAAATGATTTTTAAACTGAAATTGTGACTTACTGGTTTTAAAAAGTTTACACAAATTAAAATTACTTAAAAAAACCTTGTACATCAGTACACACAGAAATCTTAAATTTAATTTAACATTTGCTACATTTTAGCAATTTGGGAAGTTTTTGTTTATATTAGACTAGTATATAATGTTGTTTCTAGAAAATGACTTGAAATTTTAAAAAGACATAGGTTTTAATTTAGTGTTTTACCACTATTTCCACTGCTGGTGGTACAAAATTTTGGACAACATAATGTAAAACCAGTTTCCACCAATACAAATAGAAACAAAATGATCAGCTTATTCTGATACTTATTTGAGATACAAGTATAAGAGAAGGAAGAATCTCTTTCTACCAGGTCCCTACTTGAACTCAGCAAAAGAGAGCTAAGTGCCTTATTAGATAGCAGATTGAACGAGTAGTAGCAGCTTGGATGTTCTGCTTGTGTGGGCCCAATAAAAAAGCATAGAAAAACACATTCTTTAAAATAGAATTAAAAATGTTCAGTTTTAATTGAACTTATTTAGGTATCTGAATGTATCACTTTCAAAAGTATTTAAAATCAAATAGCATATATCCGTATGTCTGAGAAAAACTGATGTGGATATGATTGTAGTGTTAACAGATGTTGTCAAGAATTGTAAAAACTTTCAAATACTACATGCTGTCAGCCCAAGACAAATCTTTTAAACCAACAATTCGTTTACCAGATATATTTAAGATAATTATTTAGCTAATTTTGAGGACAAAAGCCATACCAAGGATTTAATATTAGATTTTAAGAATTCTTTAACATGTATGAGTGTTATAATACATTATAATATATAAAGTTTCACTAAAAGAACTACATCTAGGACGTTGGGAATTAATTCTCATAAATTACACAAAACCAATAAAAATATAACAATAAAATTATGTGTTTAAATTAAATGTATTCAAATGCTTAAATGTTAACAATTATTCCCAGTGTTGGTATCAGCTGGTCTGACATGAACCAAACCAGTCTATTGTTACCAGGCAACATGCCAGTTATCTTGCTGATCAACTTCTATCAGACTACCGCCACTGATTACACAATTAGCTTTAAATGAGTTTACCTTAAAAATTAAAGTGTTTTAGTGTTGTCTCAATAAACGTATTACTTTTTGCTGTGAGATAGCAATAGGAAATTAAAAAAAAATTGTATTATAAACAAAGATTGAAAACAAATTATCTCCTTTTGGCAAGCATACAACAAACTAGTCATGTTCTTGGATGCCACTTGCTAGCCACACTTGCCATAGGGCTTCTTTTTTAAAAATCCATTCTCTCAGGCAAAAAGGAAAGAGAAATTGGCAACATCACATCCGTAAATTAAAAAAGGCATGGATTAAAAACAAATTTAGCTTGCTTTTTCTTTTATATTTTATACAGGTCTTAGCAGTTTTGCACTTTACCGTTTAGAATTTAGCTTCAAGGTTGCTTTTTTTGGTCACAGAACACAGGTACAGGTACTTGTATTGTGGCTGGTACTTGTATAGTGGCTGGTACTTGTATAGTGGCTGGTACTTGTATTGTGGCTGGTACTTGTATAGTGGCTGGTACTTGTATAGTGGCTGGTACTTGCATTGTGGCTGGTACTTGTATAGTGGCTGGTACATGTATTGTGGCTGGTACATGTATTGTGGCTGGTACATGTATTGTGGCTGGTACATGTATTGTGGCTGGTACTTGTATTGTGCCTGGTACATGTATTGTGGCTGGTACTTGTATTGTGGCTGGTACTTGTATAGTGGCTGGTACATGTATTGTTGATGGTCCTTGTATTGTGGCTAGTACTTGATTCGTGGCTGGTACTTGTATTGTGGCTGGTACTTGTGGCTGGTACATGTATTGTGGCTGGTACTTGTATTGTGGCTGGTAACTTGTTTCGTGACTGGTACTTGTATTGTGGCTGGTACTTTGGCTGGTACTTGTATAGTGGCTGGTACTTGTATTGTGGCTGGTACTTGTATTGTGGCTGGTACTTGTATTGTGGCTGGTACTTGTATTGTGTGGTACTTGTATTGTGGCTGGTACTTGTATTGTGGCTGGTACTTGTATTGTGTGGTACTTGTATTGTGACTGGTACTTGTATTGTGGCTGGTACTTGTATTGTGGCTGGTACTTGTATTGTGGCTGGTACTTGTATTGTGGCTGGTACTTGTATTGTGGCTGGTACTTTGGCTGGTACTTGTATAGTGGCTGGTACTTGTATTGTGGCTGGTACTTGTATAGTGGCTGGTACTTGTATAGTGGCTGGTACTTGTATTGTGGCTGGTACTTGTATTGTGGCTGGTACTTGTATTGTGGCTGGTACTTGTATTGTGTGGTACTTGTATTGTGGCTGGTACTTGTATTGTGGCTGGTACTTGTATAGTGGCTGGTACTTGTATAGTGGCTGGTACTTGTATAGTGGCTGGTACTTGTATTGTGGCTGGTACATGTATTGTGGCTGGTACATGTATTGTGGCTGGTACTTGTATAGTGGCTGGTACTTGTATAGTGGCTGGTACTTGTATTGTGGCTGGTACATGTATTGTGGCTGGTACATGTATTGTGGCTGGTACTTGTATAGTGGCTGGTACTTGTATAGTGGCTGGTACTTGTATAGTGGCTGGTACATGTATTGTGGCTGGTACTTGTATTGTGGCTGGTACTTGTATAGTGGCTGGTACTTGTATTGTGCCTGGTACTTGTATTGTGCCTGGTACTTGTATTGTGGCTGGTACATGTATTGTTGCTGGTCCTTGTATTGTGGCTAGTACTTGATTCGTGGCTGGTACTTGTATTGTGGCTGGTACTTGTGGCTGGTACATGTATTGTGGCTGGTACTTGTATTGTGGCTGGTACATGTATTGTGGCTGGTACTTGTATTGTGGCTGGTAACTTGTTTCGTGACTGGTACTTGTATTGTGGCTGGTACTTTGGCTGGTACTTGTATAGTGGCTGGTACTTGTATAGTGGCTGGTACTTGTATTGTGGCTGGTACTTGTATTGTGTGGTACTTGTATTGTGACTGGTACTTGTATTGTGGCTGGTACTTGTATTGTGGCTGGTACTTTGGCTGGTACTTGTATAGTGGCTGGTACTTGTATAGTGGCTGGTACTTGTATAGTGGCTGGTACTTGTATTGTGGCTGGTACTTGTATAGTGGCTGGTACTTGTATTGTGGCTGGTACTTGTGTTATGGCTGGTACTTGTATAGTGGCTGGTACCTGTATAGTGGCTGGTACTTGTCACAACATTTTGATACAATCCTACACTTACCACGTGAGTAGGATAGTTAAGCTTATGTGGGTTTCTTATAACCAGACTTGGGATAATTATTTCTTCAAACACATTGATAACTAATCATCTACACATGAGTCCAAATGAGTTTAGTTATAAAAGCAACAATATTCTGTGGCTATGTACTGTTTTAATGCTAAGGATTGTTTCAAGATAAACCTGAATAAATTGTGAGTTTTAAATAAAATCAGTTCCCCTTTTGGACTCCACTGTGGAGTAGGTATGTCCGTATTTTTTAGCATTTTAGTCATTCACGAATGACACCAAGACACACTTAAATAAGTGAAAACTACTTTGTTTGGGCATTCTAATTTTGAAGCGTATACCATCAGCTTAACACATATACCTAACCGCATAGATCAGGTTCGATAACTGCTCACGCGCGAACGGTAACTCTAGCTTAGAAAAGCAGATAGCCGAGAACAATACCGGCGACGCTGAAGAGCGTGCCCATTGTGGGAGCGCTATGTGAGCTAGGTTCTTTCATTGTGTCGCTTCAAGGGCCCCGACATTATTTGTTACACTGACAACGCTGCGGCCTAGAGTGAGAAAACGACCTGAATTCAAGACTTTAAAAAGTAGGGGGAGTGAGGGGAGGGAGGGGGAAATGTGTCAGCTTGTTTAAAAAAAAACCCACATCTTTAACGAGAATAATCCGAAACCCAAGAGTAATTAGGTTGATTAGTCGAAAAACAAGGGCAAATGTCGAGAAATATTTGCCGCTGTTGCTTCGTGAAAAAAAAATATTCCGTGAATCAAATTGAAAAATAAAATGAGCTGAGTAATAAGGTATTGTTCAATCAAGTGGTGAAAATACTTCAGCTACTAGGTCAGTGGTAATCTTCGGGTAAACAGTGTCAGTGAGGCCTGTAAGGGGGGGGGGGGAGGTAATAGGGTTTCATTTTTAAAAATCACACCAAATTTGATGTGGGTAATAGAGTTTTGAAATATTATAATGTTAACTTGATAAACAAGATGTAGATCTAGGTGTAATTGCGTTAGGCAGGGTTACTGTAATGAGCGACAATTTGAAGGACGGGCGGGGGTGGTGAACCCTACCCGCTCTTGAGTTTCTTTACTCAGCACAACGTTTAGGGCCCGGAGGAATGTCCGGCCGTACGACTAACGGTATTTTTGGTAACACTAAACACACGAGGACAAATCTGGCACTCTCACAACCGGCTACTTTATCTTGTGTACTAAACCAGGTTTGTGCCGGCGTTCATGTGTTTTACAATCATTTCAGAGGATATGATGTTTTAGTGCAAATCTAATTAGCAGTATTGCGTTCGTTATGTAGCTAGATTTTAAATATAAAACTGTTTCGCATGTCGTTACGTTTTTCTAACAAAGCGAAACCATTCATTTTAATACGCTGTGTTGTGAATTAAAATGTTGCCATTATTGTAAACACAAGGACGTCATTGAAGAGATATTCAACACAATGGGATTAACCGTGTACTTAATTATAACAGGAATCTATTGCTGCTGTTTTGACGCTGCCCACGTCAAGCAGACATTGGCTGTCAATTGTTGGGACCTGTACACTACAGCCACAAGATTTGACGGAGCTTCATTCACACACAAGAGAAGAGTTTATTTAGCTTAAAGAAGTTTAATTAAACAATTCATTGAGCAA